GATTTTCCAAAAAATATTTAATGTACAGATTCCGCTTAGTTACAATTTTATTATATGTACCTATAGATTTAGACACTCGTATATTCAAAATGATTTTAAATGTGTGAAGATTTTTTATCAATAAAGTAATGAATATTCCCATTATACTGTAGTCCCACGGCTGTAAGTGATTACTCGAGTAACAAAAGATTCAATTGAGTAACTCCAAGAAAAATCAGTAGTTAGCAAAACAAAGAATACTTCAAAAAAATACAAGCTTATTTAAATTGAGAACTTTATTGTATTTTTTTCAACAAAATAAATTCTGAAGTCTTTTTCTTCTATATCTCAGCTAAAAGGATCAAATAACCATGAAAGAAATGTTCGCAGATAAAATTTCGAAGAGTATATTTGTTGCGTCTGAATTGTTTCTTGTTTTTACCGAGTTCCAAAAAGGAGGAGGTTCTCAATTCATCAGAATCTTTTTTTTTTGTACTGTATGTTCACCGTTTACTCAAAGATGCCTGAACCGATTTAGATTTTTTTTGTTTTAAAGGGTATATACATATATACTTCCCAGCTGTACATATCTCTAATCTATCATAAGATAATTTCAGGTGGCACAGACTTCGAAAATATCTGATTAGGTATATATTCTAACCCCCCTCCCCCTTCCCCGTTTGATAATTTTTTACATTTTAGTTCCTAGAAGTCGGTTTTAATTATTTTTTTTTATTTTTTAAACATCATAAAAGCTTGATATGACTTACATGAAGTAAATATGTAATAACATAAAAGGAAAAAAAAATATTACGACAAATGTAATCTAACCATATAGTGTAGTTATTTTAGTGTTCATATGTTTTAATTTTTATAATGTAATAAATATATTTTGAAGTCATGCAAACTATTTATTTTGAGGTCGAATGTACGGGTCACCGGGACAAATGGCAAATTGCGCAATGGTTCAAGGCCACTGAGCCGCGGACTATTAATACTTAGTACATCATTATTTTTAATTCACCGGATACACTATAATGTAACTTTGTATGGCATAAATAGCGTGAAATTGTAGAATCCGGAGTTCATAATTGTAAGATGGTTATCTAAATTAATAAACAGAATGGTATGAAATCTTAACATTAAATTTATCTACACTAATATTATAAAGGTGTAAAGTTTGTATGTTTATATATTGAGTGATATAGGGTTGTTTTTATTCTGATAAATTGTCTTCAATGTCAGAAGTTATAATAACTTTAAATTAAGTTAGGCACTGGCGAAGATAACTAGTACTAAATACTAGTGGTATTAAATAAAAATAAATTTAGGTAGGTTATTTTTTATCAATTAAGTCTTGCTGTGGAATACTCGCTCAAAATTTAATATATCGTATAGATTCCCACATAGGGCAAATTATGACATAATTGACTCTGTATGGAAAACGAACTTTAAAACTCCACATTGATACTATAAAAATGTGCCACTTGCACGATCGTATTGTAAATCGCGTAAAACATTACATATGATATACATGAGCTTGAAAATTTATTAACAAAATGAAGCTTGACGAGCTCGTTGATGTCTTCTATACAGAAGCAAATGATCAATAAAGTTATAAATCAAATATCCTATTTACACATAAAACTAGTCGAATAGTTGCATGTATAAGTCATTATAAGGCATAGAAGATATATTATAATTATTTGGATGGCATGTGTTGTAACAAAGATGTGAACAAAATTGCACAAGCAGTCGTGGAAGTTTCTGTTTTTACTGTTGTGTTTATTTTCAATACAATAAATTCATTTAGTGTCATATTGATAGGGTTAGTGGGACAGTCTATGTTTATCTAGAAGATTGCTTAGTAGAGTTGGTCAGACGAAACTCGAAGAAAATATACTCGATTTAGTTTTGAAGTTTTATAAATAAAACGACAATATTTTTTTTATATGTCAAATTTATAGGTACTATCACTGGACGTTATTATTTAAAGATTATTTACCAAATAAATTGAGATTAAATCGAACCGAAGCTTATTTCTGAACCAGTCAGAAAGTAAATAAGGCACTATACTATAAGTTCCCTTGTAACATACAATTAGGCAGTAGGTAATAAGGATCGTGAACAGGTTAATTATATATTCATACACTACATCAATGTGTAGTCAAAACTATCGCAATTTTAATTAGGAAATTTCAAACAAGACCATTTTGCAATTTAAAAGTTGAAACGGCTAAAAGAGCTGCTTGATTAAAATACACAGTTGCAAAATGTTAGATAAAGATCAATAGATAAGAAACTTTTGTTTCGAACTTGGAACATTTTAAGACCTCTAACTACTACTGCTGCTGCTGTAGATTGAGAAACAATCTGTTATTATGAATAGTATAACGATATTATTGTATAACTAGCGACTCACCCTTACTCCATTCGTGTTCGTCCCTAGATAGGTTTTAACGGTTAGTATAGATTTTTCAGAGATTAGATATTTTTCCGCTGTAAAAAGTATCCCTTAAATTGACCTGGATAACCAGCTATCATCGTACCAAAATTCATTAAAATCTATCCAGTGGTTTTTCGTGATGCTTTCCCAAATAGACAGACAAACATTCTAAAAACTATAGATTCGGCCTCTGTATCGATTATAATAACTGTTTCAATAAGATTTTCGGCTTAGATAGAATTTTATTATAAAAAGACGATTTATATTATCAATCGCTGATGTAACGAGAAAACGTTCATACAATGACCAGAAAATACTATTAATATTGCGTAATCAATTCATTTAAGTTACACAACAGTCAACATTGAACTTGGTTTGATCACGTGACAAGGTGACATATGCTGCTAATTAATGCGTAAATATCAGGTGATCTGTGTGATTTTCTCAATTGTAAAAACAAAAAATTAATGGTATTTAAATAATAAATATTAGAATTTGTAGAGAATTTGTATGAAGAATACTGGACACGTAGTGGTTAGAAGCTTTGTTAGCTGCAAAATAAGTATGTGGAAATACTAAGTTAACATTATGATTTCACTAAAGCCTAGGCATTGGTTGCAATCATTTAAACGCAACAAGTAGGATTTATTATTGAAGTTTTAGAAACGTACATATACTCGTTTTGTATCATCGCTTTGCTTAGGCGTTGGATGTTCTAAAAATGCATTCCATAATATATTTGATGTACCTATAGGTATCTTTTTACCTTTGTAAAACATTTAACTGCGGATTACTACGGGTTTGAGTTTAGTTTAAATATTTGAACAGTCATTCCTGCATATTTTAGATTCTAGATATATATCCTTGTGTTGTCTTTACCTCTCAACTACCGTCAGAAGGTAACGTGGGATGTTGAATGTGTATATGTCCTTGTATTGTCATCTCAAGAACTACCGTCAGAAGGTAGCTAATGTGGGTCGTTGAATGTGTAGTGTAAAGAGTATCTTCCGGATTGATTTACATCTATGTCACTTTTATTAATCAGTCGTCGTAATCGATTTGGATGTAATGATGCACAAAAATTCAAACTCCTACATAAAACTTAAGTAAAGATTTTGGACATTAAATTTATATTAGAAGAACAATAAATAGTATTGGCTAAGTATATACTATAAGTTGTAATGTTGTAATAATTTGCAACATCTCGACGGTTCAGTTTATCCATTGAATTCTCTACAAATGTCACGACTACAATACATTCAATAAAAGGTTTTTCGTGGCTGAGGTACCTACTTGTTAGATTTGACGAAAGGATATTTAAAACAAATATAAAACATAGAGTAGCTTCTAGCATTTACCGAATATATTGGTAATGATATTTACCAATGAAAACTAGCCAAGTTCTATATTGCGTATTGTCTGTCTAGTTCAAAGAAAGTATTATTGTCCAAATAAAGAGCATGAACAAGAAAAACCAAGAAATGTCAACGTAGAAATAATATACTGTTTTTTTTTTATATTTTCGACATAATATTGTATACTTTGTAAAAAATATTTTATCTATACATATAATAAAACTGTAGAGGTCAAATGTTTATACGTAGAAAAAAAATGCTAAAAACCGCATCAGGAGGATGTAAGAAGAGAAATAGAACAAATCCAGATTTTTTTCAATTTTTTTCTCTATCTGTTTGTACGGGCTAATCTCCGAAACTGTTGAACCGATTTGAATGAAATTTCGCATGGTGGTATCTTATATTCCCAGTCAACATTTTAGATACTTTTCGTCCCGGATTATTAAAGAGCTCCCGTGGGATAGTTAAAAAACTATAGTAGTGAGCCGCTAGTCAATAATAAAGTATTACGCTACTTCTATAAGGTATATGCTTACGGTACTTTGCAGAACATAAAATTTTACCTTCAAAGAAAAAAAAATATTCTTTTTATAAGTATATAAGTCTTTTAAATATGTTAATGCTGTTAAAGCAGCAGTTACGTGAAAGGGACAGCAAAAGTTTCACCTGTTTATAAAAACAGTGGGTAGTATGCTCACAAATTCGCCGACGGACTTGACTTGAATTTGATTAACTTCTATAAAATACAATATTGTAGTATATACGAACTATTTTGGCAATTTTAAGCAGTATAAAATATGTATGTATTTAAATATTACAAAGCACTAGTGGCCAGGTGATTTTTTAGTCTGAAAACTTATTGATATTATTATTACAGCATATTACTTTATGTTACTTTAGGATATTGTAGCCTTCTAATGATGAAAGAAAAAATCATCTGTTCATTTATCAATCTGTTTCAGTACATTTTATCAATTACAAATAAATAAGTTATTTCTACGTATTCTATTAGTATAGATAAATATAATAAATGAATATATCGAAAAATGCATAATGTGTGTATAATTATGTAAGAATTTTAGTCCAGAACCTCTCTGAATGTAGAGTCCGTACGTGCCAATTTAATCGTCTGTCACAGATGTAGTTTAAAACTGATCGTGGCGGCTAAGTGATTAGAACGTTCGATGCAAGGTACTAAATTGGCTGCATAAAGTACCTCACGAAGCGTCGAGCGTCGTGTCTCGAGAAACTGATGGTCCGGCCTCGAGAGCTTGCAAAACCGCCACATTGTGGTGAACCTCGCACTGAATTCGCGATTGGTAAATGTAAAGAACACCATTAAATCTGCTTTGATAGATGTACAATGTACAACGTGTGTATGAAACGAAGTACACACTCCTTTACTGTTTTAATAGACCACGAATGTGCAGCATTCAATAGGTATTAGTTTTGTTAGAATTCTGCAATCTCTTAAGCATGGGTATATTCTCTATAGTGTAGGTACCTATGTGGTGGCAAGAATATAAGTCATATTAAATCAATCGATGGAATCCTCATTGAAGTTAGTAAACATTATGAATTATTAATAATTGTGTACGTACATATTTATTTATATTACAAAATCTCATTATTCCTGGATAATTAATTTAAATTAGCTGTAAACTTATTAGCTAACATAGCATGAATATACAATATACATGGTTATCTGTAACCATAGGAACATGGTAGGCATGAATATTCAATATATCGCGAGATTGACGACGACATGAGTGTACTTCATTGCTTTCAATGTTAACATCGGAGGCTGCATCGTACGTGTACTTATGTACATATTCTAATCTAGATTGTTTCCATGTACAGGCAAGGAAATTAATTAAGTCTTGCCCTGATATTGCGCGATACGCCATCGCGTCTGCTCTATTCTTTATTGATGAAGTAGAATCCAATTATCTATGTACGGCAATTATATCAGTTAAAAGCGGTAAAACGTGTCAAGGTTGACTTCACGTACTAGATGACTCCTCTGCATTCCGCTTAACGACAGACACCTGTTTCCGGGTATTTATACATGCTGCTTTTATTCTTATGTTGATGCTATGGAGTCTATATTAGCATGTCTATTGACGCGTGTGTACACTCCGCAGTCCGCACCGAGTTTTTACTCATCGACACTTATAGCTCATAATAGTGTTGATCCTTTTAATGTTTTGATAAAACTTAGCAATGGACAAATATGTGAGGCAACATTTAGCTTAGAACGTAATGAGAGTTACGTGTTAACGTTGTAGAGGAATACAGCAAAAAACGTTATGGCAGCATTGCATTGTCACACGGATTGTGACACGGTTTGCAGTTTACGCTTGTTTGTAAATTGGGTCGAAGCGTTTCGTTTACATGTGTATTGTCGCCTGCGGCTCCGGCGTCGTCTCGGGCGCGCCTGTTTTGCGAACTGTCCGGCAGAATTACGCAATATAAGACAGGCACGCGGAGTCGCTTGATCGATGACCCTCCGGCAATAAGCTGACACCTCGCTGAAGCATATGAGAATACCATTACGTGCAACTAAATCAATAATGTCGTCACATTACACAATTAATCTTACATACTAAGAATGAGTAATAGATTGCCTTTTCTTAGTAAAATCAACACATATACGTTTATTAAGATATTTGTTTTATCTCTATTTTAATCTGAATAGTGCAATTCATGTAGTATTTTATATGAATAAAGTAATAAAAGAATCGGGCTTATTGTATATAGCCTATTTATTGAATGATTTTTTATTAAACTTGTATTGAGCGGTACAATAATGTTTTTCATCATACTTTCTTAGATTTACGCGAATATTTGACATTTTAAATGAAACCATCTTGTCGGATTTTTTCGCCAATTTATTTTGATTTTTGGTTACCGATACGACGCGGTTTCGAATGCTTTACAGCAATCATGGTAACGGGAAACTAATCCGCGAAATAATGGGTATTTTTTAATTGTACTTGTTACTATTCGATTTAGAGTATAAATTAGTTACATTCTTATTAAAATTGTTTGAAAGTTTCGAAAATAGTATGGAATTCGCGATCTACGCGGTCCTATATAAAACCCAGAAAGATACATAATTGATGAGTAATTAAGCAAACCAGACGGCTTGTTTTTTAGAATAATTATTACAATGGTGTTATTTTTGTTAAATATTTTTTAAATTAATATTCTTAATTAACACTTGGCTATAGGTATGTATTACACAATCTGCAAGCCGCATTCATTCATCGTTGACCGCCAAAACGACGGGTCAGTGTGTAATATTGCACTAAACTTGAAAACAGCGGTGGTGAAATATCGTTGTCAGCAAGCTTACTCACAACTACGGCAGAGTGGCGCCATTCTGCCAAAGCTTATTTGGAAAAAATGAAATTCGAAATAGTTTTATTTCTACACTATTTTAATTTATTTAAGTCGTTCGTGCTCTCCACTAAATGAATATATGTTTCTTTAATAAATAAGTAAATTCACATGAAATGGGGCTAATATAAACAAATTTCGAAACCAAATAGAAGCGTAGTCTAAAAGCCAATCGTGAGTTCGATTACCTCGCTCATTATTCTTGTAAAACCTGACGGCCTATTAAAAATCTATTAACCTGTTGCTGGCATTTGAGCCCATATATTATTAAAAGATAAAAAATAAATATTCTTTATTACATAACTTATTCCTCAGAGTAATCCATCCGGTGACATATTAATTTATTTATCAACATTTCTGCTCGCTTACGTTATGCGTAACCCATTCTTGGCATCTGATGCAGATTCATTATAATAAATTATGTTACAAGTTACGCATTATAAATACTATGAAACTTCCTTTTAAAGTTTATTCTCAGTATAATTTAAAAATAATAATATTGTAAAAGCTTTTATTTAATCTGCCTTAAGAGGTTTGTAAAGCTGTAAATACAAAAAGCGAAACCCTTTCCCCTCGTAAACATAGTCTAATTTTCATGATTTTTGGAAATGTTGTTAATATAATGAAAAACTAGGTCCGTAAGTTTTTATTATAAAGAAATATTGCGTACAATAGAAGTTCCTTTCCATTTTCATTTTTTTTAATCAAACTAAACTGAATTACTAAAAAAGAAACGTACAGACCTAGATTCAGGTGTACCTACTGAATCTAATGAGACGAAAATTGTCTCATTTCGTAAATGTTTGGGGGGGTGAAAACCTTATCGCCTGAAACAATATTTCAAAAAGGAAATGTAGGTAGTTACCTCTAACATTTGCAACTCTCTCTATCGCACCATATGGGTTGGCAAAGCGAGAGGTATGAAACAGATAGCATTTTTTAAAAAACCTCGCGCGTATCGGCATTTCACAATCCTCATAACTTTAGCTACTATAATTATGATTTATAAGTAATTTTGTTTAAGATGAAAATCCTTTACGAAGTTAGTATATAGTTCAATCAAACCCCTGAGATGGCTTACACAATGCACAAATATCTTAATGTTAAGTAATAGTCGGTAAATCATTTTAACTATTACAAATATAAAAACATACAATTTAAATAACCCAGATTATAATGATATACTTTGTCACATTTTCACAAAAATAATTAGTTATAAATCTATCTACTAAACAAGTAGAAAATAGATCTAATCAGTTTGATATTATTGGAATTTTTTATTTGCAGATGCAGGCGTGGTTGGTGGTGGCGTGCGCAGCCGCTCTTGCAGCGTTGGCGTCAGCCCAAAAACCTGGACGGTTCCTCTCCCTCCCAGTACCGGAAAAATGCGCTAAAAGTAAGTTCTTTTCTCAACTCACTTATATATTTGCGTAAAAGAATGAAAAATATTACTATAATAATATTTTATTCATATTTTTCTGCTAAAGACGATGGCGAAATAGTGATCTCGAAATAACATTGGTCTTAATGTTAGAAGTGGCCCACTCAGGTTCATGGCTCGATTTATTTGTATAGATTTATTGGTAGTATCTATAATAACTTATACTCCCAAAACCGGCCTTGATGATATTTTTATGTAGATTTTCAGCAATTATATTAGTCATGTTACGTAATTGAAAGATATTAATAGACCAAAATGATCTTTAATTGACACCATTTATACGACTACACAAATGATTTATAACCTTTTCACGTTCGATTAATTTGTTTTTTTTAAATGACCTTGTTGCATAAAAATTAGTAAAATTTATTATAATGGATATGAAAGCTATTTATAAAAATAACAATTCTTTTATAGCTAATAAATTTGCATATATATTTAATTATTTTTTATTGGTTTATTTATCTCTGTTAAAGATAAATTTTTGCAATGTAGCCTCGACCTCCAAGTGCTCATGACGTAATCTATACTAATATTATAAAGAAGCAGAGTTTGTTTGTTTGAACGCGATAACTTGAGGAACTGCTAATCCGATTTGAAAAATTGTTTTTGCATTAGATAGCCCGTTTACTGAGGAAGACATAGGCTATAATATATCATATAATATAATAATAATAATAATAATAATAATAATAATGAACACTTTATTGCACACCACACGAGAAAATAAATAAAGAAGTGAAATACATAACAATAAAAAGATGCACAGCAGGCGGCCTTATCGCTAAAGCGATCTCTTCCAGGCAACCTTAGGGTAGAGGAATCAGTATATAAAAATGGTAGGCGGTGTACTTGTATAAATACATACTTATACACATACATTTATACATACATACACACATACATACATAAATACATACATACATACACAAATATATACATACATACACACATAAATACATATAATAAACATATAATATCAAATATATTGTACATAATATATTATAGTAAGACAAACTAAAGAGATAAATAATGCGTTTTTAACATCGTCTTAAACTTGTCCAAATTATCAGCCCGTCTGATGTGTACTGGTAAAGAGTTCCATAGACGTGCAGCTTTCACAGAAAAGGAGTTGGTAAGAAAACAAGAGGAGTGAGAAGGAATTTTGAGGATAAGCGTTTCACTAGAACGCAGGGGACGAGTATGAGAATTCCTTAGAAGCTCGAAACGCTCTTTGAGATAGGAAGGGGTAGAAGGATTAAACAGCACGCAGTAGAGGAGATGAAGTATGTGAGTATTCCTGCGAAAGCGGATTGGGAATATATAGTCTATCTAAGCCATACGAACCGCCAAAACGTACCTAGGGACGAACCTGAGCGAAGCAAGGGTGTCGGTAGTGTTAGAATAAAGTAATAATGATTTACCAAACAATACATTTTTAATTCCATACATCACTATCACTATACTAATATACTTATATTGTTGTTTTCAAAATCACTCATTCCCATATAGCAGACACATAATATTGCATTTTTATAAACGATACGAACAACAAAGTATAAGAGTTTCATTGAATCTGTATTCCTAATTATTTATTTATGTAGCCTATATTACCTACTTTCTCGGGTGAAAGTAAAAGCTCGGGTCGTCGCCCCGTCAAGGCCACGACGTAGAGTCGAGGACGCACGTACTTCGGGAAAACGATTTTCTTAGTTTTAAATAAATATCTTTTTTCTTTGTCATGCTTTTTGCTTTCTCAATAAAGTATCTTACAAAAATTAGCAATAAAATGTATATACTGTGACAAAGCTCTCATCCATACTAATATTATAAATGTGAAAGTGTGTTTGTTTGTTTGTTGTTGTCGAAACGGAGTGACGGATTGGCGTGATTTTTTGTGTGGAAATAGAGGACTGGAGAGTCTCATATACTACTTTTTACCAAGGGAGATCTAATTCCCACAGAAAAACACGTTATAACAGAATACAAAAAAATATTTATGATCAGAATCATTTAAACTCTTTAAATACTCTTTAAAAACTATTTAAATGCTCTTTAATAAAGTTAAATAAATACGTGTTTTAGCATTTTACGAATTTCATTCTATAAAGCGGTAAAATAGGAGATGAAAGTTTGTATGAAACTACGTTTTTAGAGTTTTTTGTAGTTTTAGCGCGAGCGAAGCCGCGGGTTCTGCTAATTGATCATAAAGAATAGTTAAATATTTATTTTCTTATTATGTAATTTAAATAACGTATGAATGAGCATCACTGTCAGTATCGGGAAGCTAATTACGTACCTCGCTGTGGTGGCTTTTAAATAAGATTATACAACATTCTCGTAGTATGGAGAAAATGAATGAATCATGTAACAGATGTACCAGATATTAATATCGGGTCGTCCGCCGCTTTAACTTAAGATCAAAGAATGTTCGAAGAGCATTAAGTTTCAAATTTATTAACTTTTAATATTGTTGCTCTATGATGTAACTACTAAATGTAAGAAATAATAATAAGATAGACAGAGAGTCAACACAGTGATTAAACCCTAAAACAGTATTTTATTTGTAGGCTAAAAATGGTTCATCAAGAAGTGGCCTCAATTCGAGAAGCACGAGTTTAAATCTACTTTCATAACTCTATACCTTTTGCCTAGCCTACCTATTACCTATTTACCTATTTTTTCAGCCTAAACTTGGGCCATTAAGATATAATATTTAAAAGCATGACAAAACAGTAGAATAGCAAAAAAAACTATATAAATATGCAAGTAAAAAAACTTAGAAATGAGAACAAAGTACCTATGTACATTATAAAAATTATATACAAGCATATACATATAAACAAAAAATCAAAAACAATAAATCACTTAGTTCAAACTTCAAAGTAAAGCACATAAAAGCAATAACATTAATAACTCATCGCTGTAAAACAAGTAACTATAAATACTTTTAATAATCAAGTAGTTAACATTATGTTCGTTACATAAAACAGTTTTTTTTCTAACATAACAAGATATTTAAAAAACAATGACACAAATTATATTGTACTAATATTGAAAGTACCTACGTAATGGTACCGCATAGTAACAAAGAGTTATTGGATAAAGCCATGGTTTACCACAAAATAAATGAATTGGAAAATAGGAAGAATGCTCGTTCAATGAACTAAAATTCTGCAACAAAAGGTTTTTAGCAAATAATTGTAGAATTCATGTTAAAGAAAGAAAGAAAACAGAGAATCCCGTTTTCGTAGAACACAAAAAATAGTATATATACAACATTCATGTCATAATAACTGATTGTATGATTTGTGGCTATGTATATATATATATATACTAGCGGACCCGACAGACGTTGTCCTGTCTACACGTCTTTAATTTGAAAATTTCAAACTTTTTTTAATAATTTTTTTTGATGAAAATTATTATTCAAATTGTGAATCTAAACCATTCCCAGATCCCCTTGAACACACACAAAAAATTTCATCAAAATTGGTCCAGTCGTTTAGGAGGAGTTCAGTCACATACACACGCACACAAGAAATATATATATTATATATATATATATATATATATATATATATATATATATATATATCTCGCAACTATTCTTTGCAACATCTTTAAAAACGGTGATGTCGTATTGTTAATGGGCTTTAAATGAATGACTATAATTCTAACATGCGTTTTATTTCTTCAGATATGAACGAGCATGTATCAATAACCTTCACTTTAAAGTGTTGTTGTAATTTGAATGTTGTTTTATAATCTTAATATTAAAAAGTTTAATTGCTAATCTTTACGTTTTAAAAAATGCCAAAAACTAATCCTTCTCAGTGACAGATAGACACTTCGCCATGTTTTTATAATTACAAGAATTAACACAAGAACATTTATATTTATAAAAACAAATAATACATTATTTTAATGTAAACTATAAAGTAGATCTAGATTTTGTATTTCATTCCCACACTAACAATTTCCATTAATTGTAAGTTTAAGTATACCTAAAGCGAAATAAAATCACGACGCAGGGATGTTGCAACGCAGCCTTCGTTGCTTTGTAACATTTATTCTATTCATTCTACAATGTTATTATAACAATTTGACTTACAGCATCGGCAGTTTAAAGTAATATTATTTAAAAGATACAACGTATAATTATAAGGATGATAGACGTTACTGTAATTACCGAGGCATACCTTGTAATTTACAAATTAACTTTCTCTTAAAAAAAAACGATAAAAAGTTTATCGTGTAAAGTTCATGATTAAGAGCTTTTTAACATATTTACTATGCATGTTATCTTGCCACAAAATGCTGTATAAATATTCTTTCAGTAAAAAATTATTAATTTTATATAAATCTATGATGAAAATGCCATAGTCACTAAGAATAAAAAAATAAAATATCGAAAGATGAAGTATATTATCTGTTTAAATCTTATTATTTATTAAACTCCCACTTACATAGATGATTCGATAAAAAACATCGATTTTATTTAACTTTCTATAAACATGTGTAATATAGATTATAATCTAATCTATAACGCTGGACGTTATATAAAAATTTAAATTAAGATAGATATATTACATAAACAAAATATAAAAAATGATGAAGTTGAAATCTTTTGAATATTTACCACTAAACATTAAATCGTTAGCAATTATCCGTGGAAGATTAATGTGAAGTTCTACTTGCTAAGTTGCCATTGTGCTGCGAGCTCGATCACAGACAATCGCACATCTGTATGTCTGTCAACGCACAAGGCCTCACTCACAATAATTGTCTGTACTTCGTCGTGCGAATCTTAGCTATTTAAATTTGCAATCGCTCATCAAAAATATCTGTGTAATAGAAGAGTTTTATTGATGTACTAGAGGCTAAAGGTAATATTCCAAGTATAAGTTTTATACATATATACCTACATATAGGTTTTCGTAATTTTTACTACCCTAAGAATAAAAACGACAGATTTATGAATTAATATAATACTAGCAGAACCCGCGGCTTCGCTCGCGCTAAAACTGCAAAAAATCTCTTAAAAAGTAGTTTCATACTAACTTTCATCCCCTATTTAACCCCCTTATAGAATGAATTTCAAAAAATGCTAAGACACGTAATTATTTAATTTTATTGGAGAGCATTAATACCAAGTTTCAAGTAATTCTGATCATAAATATTTTTTGGATTGCATTATAACGTGTTTTTCTGTGGGAATTAGATAATCTCCCGCGATAAAAATTTGCCTATGTCACTCCAGCCCTCCCAAAAAATCACGCCAAACCGTCACTCCGTTTTGACGTGAAAGAAGGACAAACAAACAAACACACATTCACATTTATAATATTATGTAAGTATGGATATTCTAAGGGAATATTTATTAAGTCTTTAATTGACAATGCGTACAACGTTTTTTATTTCCATTGCTAAGAATTCTATGCGCATATAATGAGGAGCTATGTAAGTAAGCAATTAGGGTCGAATTATTATGAAGCTCAAAAGAGTAGGAGTACTCATACGTATTCCTTGGCCTAGTTGGAACCGCGTGACAGACGCATCTGCTCGACTAGGTCGAATCAACAATGTCAAACAGTATAGTGCCGACGGTCATTAAAAAATCTTTAAAATTGCAGTTAATGATAAAACTGTCAGAATAAATAAATGCCAATAATGCGCTACCTGATATTGTGCTTTTTTCTTAGGGCGCAATTATAACTTTTAACGTGATTTTGAGCCCGTTAACTTCTTTTACTTGAAAAGTTGTTGTTATTACTCGTATTATACTTAGAACTTAATCTCAAAAAATTGAAATAAATTATAATATCGTTCCAATTTCTATATATCTAATATATACGTATATAAATGGAAAAGACAGGAAAAAGGTGACCTATAGTAGGTGCATAACCTTTTACGTGATACATTTTAGTTGGCACGTCTCTTTTTACGGCATTTTTATTTTCCGAGCATAAAATATCTTGTTATATAATATTTAAAAATCCTTACAAACAGATAAAATATGTAAATAGTTTAACCAACGTCAATATAAAAATATATTATTTCGGCGCCGTTAACTCACTGGACTTGTTAGGTGTCCGTTCTTATTGCACAATACGGAAAGGTCGCATGCTGGGTTATGTAAAGACGTGTTCCATACACTTTTACGACACAGGGGTACAATTTTACGTCTTATAAAATTATAGACTTCAATGTCATGACCCTGATAGAACGCATCATGTTTTGGCTGGGTACATGACCTGTGGCCTAAGGTTGCCTTTCATTAACGAACCTCTAAACTTACATGTGAGTGTATGTCGTGTGAATTGTTATTCACTTAATTCGTATTTCTTGTATTACAAGAGGTCAAATGCTATGCAACCTCGTCTTAACGTTTTGTAATGCCAATTCTATTACTAAAGACAGAATTTGTTAAGAAATAAAGGAATAATCTAATTTTCTACATCATAAATGTTTGTTTTCAGGACCCAAAGAGTTTTCATATGGCGGTCACAATTACTTCTACACTGGCCACGTTCCCGAGCTGGCCAATAGGAAATTTGACTGGCTAGATGGCCGCAATGTGTGCCGCGAGTACTGCATGGACCTCGTCTCAATGGAGACACAAGAAGAAAATAATCTCATTTTCAAACTTATTCAACAAAGTATGTAAAATTTACATTTTAATTTTTTTTAACAGGTTATTTTTATCGATATTCATATTTATTTATAATTAATTTGATTATCATATCTCATTATAGGTACTTAGATTTATCTTAACAATGCCACCACCGCATTTTCCTAAACAAATTTGAACTTTAAAACAATTCAAAAAATATTAATATTAATTAAGATTATGTATTACGTTCAAATGTTTAATATTGTATTTTTGCTAACTTACATTTGAAAACGATAGAAAAATACGAAAGGAGCAAATATTTAGCTGTTAATTCACAACACTATATTACGTAATTATGTGTCATTCCAAACAAAAAAATACATAGACGGAGGACGCTGAAGATTAGTTTACGCCTGAAACGGTTATAAAATTAGCTATTTATAATACCATACCCCCGCTGTGCCAAGTGTTCATAATAAAAAAAGCATTTATAACATGTCGCATGGCAAAAAATGTAAAAACTGAGTTAATTTACAAATTTATCGATTAAAATGCAATAAAATGCGTTTTTCCAAAAAGCTGAAAAGACTGGATGGATATGAATAAAAAGTACACAAATAGACTGTGACACATAGACACACAAATCTATACAAATACTACAATTCTGAGACGAATCTGTACATTAAATATTATTTTGAAAATCGCATTGAAATAGTCATTAATATCGATACAGAGGCCGAATCTAATTTTTAAAAATTTTTGTCTTTCTGTCTGTCTGGAAAGTCATCATAGGAAACTACTGGACAGATTTTGATGAAATTTGGTATAATTATAGCCGATTATCTGGGTCAAAATATAGGATATTTTTGCGAGAAAATATCTCATCTCTGAGAAATCCATACGAAACGTTAAAACGTTAATTTTATAAATAACAATAAAATTTTATAAACACAATACTATATTAGTAGTTCAATAAAGAAAAAAGTTTTTTAGGGTTATGTAACTCAAAAGGTAAAACAGGAAACCTTATAAGATCACTCTCTTGTACGTCTGTCCATGTGTCACCACCGATTTTCTCAGGAACGGGTGGATCTAGCAAGTTGAAATTTATACCAGATACTTCAGTATCTGTAGTCCCTATTAGGTGTATAAAAATCAAGGTCCTGAGTCAACACGAAAAAAAGATATGGGCAAATTTAGATTTTCGCGAAAACTAAGTACCAAAATTTACCTTAATTTTAAACTTTTTTTTGTTTTTGGAATTTTTCTTTTACTTGTGCTGTAAGACCTTGCTTTTAACCAAAATTGACAATTCTATGGCAACCGGAAGTACCCTATAGGTTTTGGGTTGAAAACCTATATGGTAGTTCCCGTTGACCTAGAATCACGAAATTTGGCAAAAATCAAGGCAGCACAAATAACGGAAAAATTCCAAAAAATAAAAAAAGTTGAAAATTAAAGTTAAACAGATTTCCTACAAATTTGTACGGAACCGTCGGTGGGCGAGTCCGACTCGCAATTGTCCGAAATTTATTTTTAATTTATACTCCGTCAACCTTATTTAGTCTCAACAGCACTGGTGTTAAATATAATATTGATCCTAATTGCAGACGATATTCCATACATTTGGACCTCTGGTCGTCTCTGCGACTTCAAGGGATGTGAGTCGCGTAGAGACCTGGAGCCTAAAAATCTCTTTGGATGGTTCTGGTCTGCTAACCGAGAAAAGATTCCAAACACCAGTCAGGTAAGGAAATATAATATTAGCATTATCTAACAAAAAAGCTACCGCAAACTTGATCTTCGTTTGCAAAACGTTTTCCTTAATTAGGTAAGGTCATTTATAATATTCAGCGACTCAAAAAAAAGGGGAACTCAAATCGGCTGTATATTTTTTGTGTAGGTACGTTTACAAAAATCCCACACCTTACAAATAATTATATTTTAATTTATTCAAAGTGTTTTTGTTTCCCGACGTTTCGAATGCTTTACAGCATCCATGGTCACGGGAGTGACTCTCCCGTCAGGTCAGTCTCTCCCGTGACCATGGATGCTGTAAAGCATTCGAAACGTCGGGAAACAAAAATGCAAATAAATCCGCGACAAAATCCGAAAAGATAGTTTTATTTAAAATGTCAAATATTCGCGTAAATCTAAGAAAGTATTATTCAAAGTGGTTGTACCAATTCAGAATGGATCATTCTTTTTAGTTAAAAACTAATAATTATTAAAATATATATACTCTTTATTGCACATAAAAACAAAAATACAAATATTAAAAGAAAATTGAAGGCAAAGGTGGAATATATGAAATACAAAGGATATTTTTTTCTAGATCCTTCCTGGTTGGGGCTACAACCCATGGTCTCAAACAGGCCACAAGAAGCAACGCCAACCGGACAATGCAGAGTTCGACATCAACGGCACATCTGAATCCTGCCTTAGCGTACTTAACAATGTATACAACGACGGTATAGCGTGGCACGATGTCGCTTGTTATCACGAGAAACCGGTCGTGTGCGAGGACTCTGAGGAACTCCTTAATTACGTTAGAAGCACCAATCGCGGCATCCGCTTGTGATTCCACAAACTATTTACATAACACACTCTTATCTTTGCCTGTGTCTCTTAAACATTACGAAAGCGCCTGACGTATATATAAACCCGTATTCACACTTACTGTTCATTTTAAGGTATTTGGTAATATTTTATTGAATATTTTAAAATCACAGTTTACCATCGTCCAACTGTAGTCAATTTTTTAAATTTGTAACTAATGTGTATGTATAAACAGCACCATTTCGTAGAAATGAATGATAATAACTTAAATCATTATCATTTTTCGATAATTTTTCGGAAATGTTAATTTCTAATACTTCCATGCACATCCATGAGAACTTGCCATATTTCAAAGTATAGCGATCTCTCCAAAACTCACTGCCCTTCCGTCGTACAATCTCTGTACAAAGTAGCTTAAGTATAAATAAGTACAACTAAGTTTATTTACCTAAGGGAAGAATTTATATTTGTATATAAAATAAAACAAAAATAATCAAATGGTCGTTTTATTTTAAGAAAATCTTTAAAAACAAAACAAACTTCTTTTCAATTCAAAATGTTATAGATTGAAGCTTAACACAAGATGGCGATACTAGTATGTAATATTTATTATTGAGAAAATAAAATCAACTACTTGTGTCACAAACAGTTTATAAATATACTAGAAATATAAAAATTGAACATATGTTATTTTATTTTAGATTGTGAATCTTGTACTTTATAAAAAAAAAGAATTTAAACAATAACCGAAATTACATCACTATAATATGTTAAATCCAGAACATAGTAGCGAATAAAACAAAATACACACTGCAATATAGTAAGTACAAAAGTAGCACAATCTAGTGACAGTTGTGCAGTAAGTACTTTTCCCATAATTCACCCGAATAAACATAAGATTGTAACATATAAGTTATAATCAGCACTACCATGTAAATATATTAATAACAAAGATACATCTATTATATTATTTTTTTTAAATCAAACAATAGGTAATATTAGGTACGTTTATACCACTACTTATCAAATAAACCCTTCTAATTTACTACTTCTTTACAATGATGTTCTCCTAGCCGATTCCGGCTACTGCGGCCAATCTCATTGAGACTAGCCAACTGCGCAGGAGATATTATAGTGCACAAGTGTACGCGCAGACACAAGTGCACTCTCTATTTTTGTCACTCTCATACTCCAGTGGGATGACTGCTCGACACGACCAGTGAGAGTTAAGGCGCAGGACCGACGGCTTTACGTGCTCTCCGAGGCACGGGGGTGAAGCACCGCCAACTTCCCAACTACGGGCTGTTACTGAGACTTACTATACAGAAAGACTCAATAACTAAACTTGGCCCGACCCGGGACTCGAACCCAGGACCTCCGATATATATGCTAGCATTAAACTTAATGCAGAACATCAATCAATTACTATAGCATCAAAAACAAAAGTAAACTTATCATATTCATGTCAAATATATTTTATAAAAAAATCAATTTAAATAAAAGACGATCTATATGAACAACCTCTACCAATAGATTTAAGGTCATGATCTTTATATCTTTCACAAATATTTAAATCTCTGGCTTTATTAATTAGCATGGTTAACACATTATACTCACGGCCATTAATAGTTATATAGCTATTGGAATACTTTTCTATATCTGTTGGTGTTATTTTTATTTCCCTTTTGTCTTTATTTTCAGAAAATTCCACTGCAGTGCTTTCACCACAGAGAGAATCATATTCAAACTTAGTATCTAGCTTTGGCATTTGTTCTACCTTTGATATATATTCATCTAAGCTTATATTACATGATATTTTAGGCAAATCCGGTAAGTCTGGTTTATATGAACACAAACTATGAATTCTTCCATTTGTATACATTTTATGCAAATCTGTAAGTAATAATTTTGAATTAAGCAATGGTATATTGTATATAATAAATAAATTAAAACTAGTGAAAAAAATAAAATGAGTATTAAACCAATGAGGATAGATACACTCAAAAAAAATACATTTATAATTAAGAAATGTTGTCACAATTTTGAAGGAGAGCAGAAAATGGAAAGTAGGATCATTATGTTCTTTAAGTTTATTTCTCATGCGAAACAGTAATAGTATATTTATTTTATTATAATTATTCTTTAAAAAATGAAAGTATTATTGCTTAATGCAGCTATAATTTGATAAATTTAATATTTACTTTTAATATAGACTTCACTATTTCTTTCCAAGAATATAGGCCAACTTTCAAGTTCATCAATTATATTTACTGGATCCTTTCCTTCTATTTCAAGAAACAAATCACCAAGAAGCTGTAAAAGAAAGTTATTTCTATAAAGATGAATTAATCAAATAAAATACATATAATCCAACATCATTCTTTATTAACTACTTACCACTTCATTATGTGCTGTTTCAAGAAGAGCAAAAGGCTGAAAAAATATTTTCGTTGCACTTCTTATTAGTTTCTGAGACTTTTCAATGGAACCTTGTGTCCATGAAGTTGTTATTTCATTTTTAATTTGGCAATCTTCACTTAGTACCTTAAATAATATTATTGTTTAACTTTAGTAATAGTACCTGGTATTTCCAAAGTTTTATTAAAAACAAAACTTCTCAAATGGGTGTACTTACTTTGTCTAAAGGAGCTACGCCATGGATGCTTGCTTCAAATATTTTCGTTGGTTGTTTTCGATACTCTGAAGGAAGATCTATGAAAATGGTATTTTCATTTGGACGCAAGAATATACCGTAATCTATGAGCCAAATTAAAAATTGTGACTGCATAGATATAACGCCACGGGCCCATTTATTTTTCCACATAACTGCTACGTACTATAAATAATAAGAAGGTATGTAACTAATTTAAATTATTCTATTTAGAATCTCACAGAATTTATTTTACATTCAAATTACTTACTTGACCATGGTTAGCATCTATTAGTTTATTTGATATATTTTTAGGCACCTCACCCGGGTTACTATCAATTAAGTTTAACTTTATATGATCACTATAATCTTCATTCACACAAAAAAAAGAAAAAGGATTTGTAAATGATGTAATTTTAATATTCATTTTGAAAATAATTTTATTATTAAGACTAAATGAAGTAGGTAAACCGAAAAAGTTATAAGTATTAAGTATTGATTTTCACAGTTCACTGTCAAATTGCGCGCCACTTGCATTGAAATTTAAGTTGCGTCAATTCAATAGTGCCTAAAAAGGGTTACTTCTATGATAGTACATATTCATCTTGGGCTTTGTTAATTTGCCAATTATTTGACTTAAAATATTTTCTTAATCCCAATTTTTTGAATCTTTTAATTAATATTTTTACGTTTATTGTGTCTTTGAATTACAAAAAACAATATTTGTATTCTCCTTTACAAAACCGTATAATTGATAGCTAGGGCTTTCATCCCGGGAGTCTCGGTCTCGAAAATTTCGAGAGTCTCGACGATTCTTTCGAGTTTTCGAAGCCTTACTAGGTACCGATGTTTGTCACTATGTGTATGAACTATGAAGTGAAGACTAAGTACAGGTTTCGTTTTTCATTACCAACAGATACTTGTGTACGAACCCTAAAAAATGGATTGCGATTGCGATAACTTGTCGAAATCTTCTTAACTCAGTAAACATAATAAATCGTTGAACGTAGTATATTTTAAAATTTGGCGCCCTGGCCCTATAAGGGCTCGTGTAGACGGCGCCGCTTCCGCGCCGTCACCGCATCGCGAAAACAACGCTGACTGGACGCTACCGCGCAACTTGATTTTACCATATTACTGTTATATTTTTGGTGCCTAATACATTGCTAGGTCCAAACATCATACGTTTTGAATTAACATGTCAAGTGTCAAATTTAACGAAAAAAAGAACCTAGTATTTGCATACTATACGTACAGAAAATTACAAAATCAACGTAAAGAATCAAATAGAAGTTTTTAAGATGATGCAAAGAGAGCAACATGGTGGATTCTATACACTTTATGGAGATCTACAAAAAGACGAACGCAGCTTTTGTGATTATCTCCGCATGAATATCGAGGCATTTGACAAATTATTAGTTTTATTACATAGCAAATTGCAGCACAAAGACACAAATATGCGAGCAAACATGTCTCCAAGAGAGAGACTTCTGACTTGCATTACATCAGAACTTACTACGGCTATTTATTAGTGTGCAACTTAATGCAGAAAAGTCGGTTCTTAAACAAGCGGTAATCAAAAACTGACTTCAAAGAATGACGATACGAAAGGTATCGGTAACAAGAGCGAGACGGTTTATAGAATGTGTGTTTGGCATATTAGCTGTTATGTGGCGTAACTTGTTGTTCTTGGTCTATGCCTTCAAATCCGTCATTTGGATTTAGCTGCCAATACTGTAAAAGTTGCTTTGTTTATTGCAAAGTTTTATATACAAAGAAGAGGGCTCAAGGAGGGAATTTTTCAACGCGAGAGATGAATTACAGGAACCATAAGAAATAGTTGCTAACACGGCTAGTGAAATTCGTGATAAATATAAAAACTAAAAAAAATGTGTGGTGTCGTGGGACCAGATAGAAAAGAAGTTTCATATTACATAAATATTAATTGCAAGTTCTAGTCGAGGTAGAAAGAAAATAATTATTCGGGTATAATTTTTTATTTATGATTTTTTTATCGATAAAAATCAAAAACTACTTAACAAAATTATCTTAACACTTTTATTTTATTCACAATTATTCATAAAAATATATAATAATAATAACAGTCATCACGTAGACTATATAATATATATACATTAGACACTGTATAGCGAACACACATTAACTATACATAAAAATCTTACTCCACGCATTTTCGTTATGGACGTTACGGACGTTTTTTGACGGCTATGGGACGATGCGGTCGGGTACCCTCTGCATCGTCCCATAAAGAACTTCATTCCAATATTATTTTATTTCTGAAGATGGCAGTGTACTATGGTAAAATATTATTGTTAATTTAGAATATTGTATGAAACAAGAATCAATAAAAGTTTACAAAAATACAATTTGCCGTATTTATTTTTCTTTGTGTCTGGTAACTCATTAAAGTTCTCAATCAGTATTTGATAGATTTTAAACTTTAAAATTTTTAAACATTTACGCTTATCTTTATATGTTTCTAAATTTTTATTCCGTAACTTCTCTATCCTCCACTAAATTTATAAACGTTTCATAATTAAAATTTTCCATTATTTCTACACGAGTGTACTAATTAAAATGAATAAGCGCGTGCACTTGGTAGGCGGTCAAAAATATAATAACAAAACACACACTAAACAAATACGCTTGTAGACGTCCACTTTTTCTACCGGACGACGGACCGTTTTTTTGCCGGAAGGGCAGTGTTGTATGGCTTTTAATGTATGAACGTGCACCGGACACAGGTCCGGCGTAAGAATGAGCGATCGCCCACGCCAGTGTATGGGTGAATGTAAACGCTACGTATCGCTCGTTTTTCGGTAATTAGGTGTCATTTACAACTTCTCAAAAAGAGTATGAAATACACCATATTCTTCTCCTTCCAATAATAAACAATGTATCCACACTGACCTTTTACCTTTTTCTGATTCTTTTTGACTTTTATAAATAGTACGCTAATTATGTTTTTTCTTTATGTTTCACATTATCAAACGAGTAATCTTATTCGCTACCAGTTCAAAATTGAGTCGATAAACTGCACTCGAACCTAACGCCCACCCGGCAGAATACCTTATATGTATTCAAGAATATTTACGGTCCGTCGTCCGATAGAAAAAACGGACGTATACAAGCGGCCTTATTGTTAGAGGCGCGGCAGCGGCGCGGTATCGGCGTGGTTGCAGTACCGTCTACATGAGCCCTAAGATTGACTACATGTCTTATACGTTCCTCGCTCGTTCCCATTAAAAAAAACGAAACTAAAAAAAGACCAGTTCTAAGAATGAAGGTCATATTAATTATTCACATTTGGTTTTCACTATGTAATAATTTGATTACAAAATCCTCAATAACATCTTTTTAACTTTTAACAAGCAATTAATAGAATTTCTTAAAGACTTGCGCCACTCCTCACGCTTATGCTCAGCCTGCCGCTATGGACCCTACCGCAGTAGGGTACTACTCAGCTACTTTAACGGATTTGAATAAAATTGGACACAAATATTTAAATGGTAGATTATAATAATAAAAGGTAACATACTAAACAGCCCGCAATATCATGATGAGCCTTACTCCTAAAGTACCAATGAATATATAAAACATCCAGATCTGCAGCCGAACATAATAGTCACTAGGCCAATGTGTGTAAGTATTTTTATAAGAAAATAAAATCCATTTTTATTGTAGTTCTTTTTTAGTTTGGTTTCTAGTTAGTTAATTAAAATAGGCATAAAAGTTAAATATGACATATATGTTTTAACAAGCATTGCCCTCGGCTCCGCCCGCGTTTAAATGACCAAAAACCAAATTCTTAAGTTTTACATAATATTAGTATACTCTTACAATGCAGTTTTTGTATATTTTCTCAGAAATGAGATATTTTCCCGCGGTAAAAAGTACCCTTTATGTTGACCCGGATAACCAGCTATCATCATACCAAATTTCATCAAAATCTGTCCAGTGGTTTTCTCGTGATGCGGTAACAGACAGACAGACAAAAATTCTGGAAACCATAGATTCGGACTCTGTATCGATAATAATGTCTATTTCAATAAGATTTTCCAAAAAATATTTAATGTACAGATTCGGCTTAGTTACAATTTTATTATATGTATAGATTACATATTATGTATTAGCATTGTATTAAAAATACTATGTATAGTTTGTGTGAATGTGATATTTCATTGTAATAAACGAAGACAATAATTAATGAATACGCGACTTGATCAAGGAAAATTTTTCTACATGCCTAAATTTACTATGTTCATAACCACATAACACAACCCCCGCTTTACATTAAACTACACAGTGCGGGCCACGGGGAGATCAAGGTATTTTTGATCGTAGGTAGTAGACTTAACGAATTAAAATGAAACTTTTAAAAATATTTTCAAGTTCGAATTACAAAAAAAATATACTAAAATTGTTAATGTACATCGATGTGTTTTCTAAATATATATGTAGAAGTGGATTGTTACTAAAAACGGTCACAGAAGGCAATATGCTTTTTCACATTCTGTGCTATTGCTAAGGTTTATTAATCAGGCATTTTGAAATTAAGTTATTCTATAAGGTAGTAAATATCTAAGTACACAGAGTAGATAACTTAGGATAAATTGAACTTCAAGATTTGACTTGGCTAGTTTTTACCAGTAAAGGAAGTTTTTAGAAGAGTGAGACATTATGATATGAAAACAGTTTTTAGATTGACCTTACAACATAAAAACAATAACTTTCATAAAGAAAATAAGTATAAGTGATTAGCCGAATATAAGATAACTTGTATGTAAAAACTAGCTATACTCTGAGTTTTAATTCCACAGAAATATGTCAGCTATCATTCTTTGACAATTCAGATATCATAAACCTTTTCTGCTTTGTATTTTTTTAATATAAAATAACAAAAAATATGAAATAGAATTAGATCAAGTAAACTATATGTATGACATTGTAAATAGTCTTTGTTTTGTGCATTTAATGCACGCTAACTATAAAGTAAATTTTTAATAGTTAAATGAATAAAATAGAGTAAAACAAAATATTTTACAAACAAAGGGGTTTTACTAAAAAAGGCTTGCAACCTATGGATTATTGGACAGGGATTCCTGTAATAGAGAAATAATTTCCTTAATAATTATTATAACTTCAATAATATGATAATAAAAAAGTTATTACCACTTTAGAGTGATTAATAATTTTTTAAGTCTTAGTTTTTCTAATTGAAACCTTAACTTCAAGAAAGGTTTATTTTTTTATTTTGCTAAAATGCTTTCCGTTTTTAGTGACAATGTTTCAAAGTCGACAACACTTCTGAAATGCCAGAATTCCGTCGAATTAAAAATCAGACTATAAGTCAAATCTTGAACTTCAAGTTATCGTAAGTTATCAACTTTGTGTAAATAATTCGACTGTTCAAATTTAAGAAGTTCTATTTTTAAATAGCAAAAACTTTTGAAGCAGAAAAAAAACAAGAAATTGTCTTTTAAATTTATTTTAAAATGTCGTCTGTTCTTATGAAAATATTTCAGGATTATTTACTGAACTTGGTACCCATTTAGATCTCAATCCTTTTGTCGGTGAAGTTAAAATCCAAGCATATTCTTAATATTGAACTTGGCTCCCATTTTTATATTTATGTTTTTCATAAGATATTATAACTTTTTGTAAAGAAACTATGTATTATTATTCATAATTCCAAAATGACATGTAAATTCAATCTTTTTTTTCATAATTTTGTGACAATTCGTTAGTGGATAAAGCGTAATAGGAAAATGTTATTTAATCATCATGGAACCTTTTCTCCTGAGAAAGAAAAATTTTGCTATTACTATGATTGCTATTGCTATTATATTTCAAAAGGCACTAGATGTTAAGCTATTGCAATTATGCTTTGGAAGACGCAAGGTGTTAATAAATTATTATTTTTTTATTTTAACACCGCCAACTTCCCAACTCCGGGCTGTTGCTAAGTAAACTTGGCGCGACCCGGGACTCGAACCCAGGGCCTCCGGGTGTGTAGCCGTACATACTAGCCACTACACCACCGAAGCAGTAAATTCAGTTTGACATATTATATTTAATAAGGACGTCTAACTGAAATAATTTATTTTAATATTTGGGTTTTTAATTTTTATACCACTCATAAAACAAATATTTTAAGACACAATATTAAAAAATCTATTAAAAATTGGAATCATCAAAACGAAAAGATCTAAAAATAACACATGTAAAAATAGATTACAGAAAAAAGCAAGGACAGCTCTAAAAAATTTCTACCCATGTATCATATCGCTTCTTTTTTTAATGTTGCGGAATGCATTTACGCATACACTTGTATACATACGTATATACGACGGCAGGTCTGCTGAGCGCCGACACAATCAATGGGTTGTTTCCACGGTCCACTCTGCTGTCAGAGAAATACCAGGAGCAATCCACATGAACGCCCACCGACTACCGAGGTTAGACCATCTCCCAGTGTGTCTACGGTCTTACGCCCGGCTGGATTGCCGGATGCAAGGACTTCATTCAAGCTTTTCTAGCTACTGCTACATAGACTTCGCATCTATTTTTCCTTTCTTTTTTGTTCACTTTTTAAGCAGCCGGAGTTTTTATTTTTATTTTTTTAATAATTACTTGCACAAAGCACTTAGCATACTCCTTTAACGTTATTATAGGCGTTTATAGAACGGAAAATTTAGGCTGGAATAAAATTAAGTTTTATGAAATACTAAATTAGCCTTACTTTACCTTACCTACTCCATCCAAGCAACAATGGATTACACTAGTATCTACATAATAAACATAGAAATTATATACGTATGTGTAAATTGATGTATTTAAATCTATAAAAAAAAACAAAAAAAAATGACAAACATTGACATTTGCAATTTTACGAAGATTTTTGCTATTTGTATAAAATGGGAATCTGTAATTATAAAAGTTAGTATACTCAATAATCGGTTTCATAAAATAAATAGTAATGTAGAGATACCAGCTAAGTTTTGCAAAGTATTTATTTTGCTTACTGTTGTATTGATTTGTATCGGGGAAAGTGAGGAACAGAAGTGAGTCACTATTTTCTCTCTATATGAAGATCCAGTACTATTACTTTATAAGCTTATATGTATAATGTATGTATCTATATTTAAAAATTAGTAGCAATAGTTTATCCCAATTCTCAATGCAAAAAGTATTTAGTTATGATGTCGATGTACTTAAGTAATGATAAAAATTATGATATGAGTATATATCACAACAGGGTACCAAAAACACAATTAAAATGTGAACTTAAAAGTATTCAGCTTTCTTAATATTAGGTACCTTATTAATTACTTCATTTGTAGCAGATTTTTTTTATTATTCACTTACACTGAGTTAACGCATGTTGGTTTACAATTCTTTGAACTTATGATCTGAGATTTTCGACTTAGGTTCAAGCAGTCATGCATACCGCATTACAACGAACAATAATCTATACATATCTATACATATAATAAAATTGTAACTAAGCCGAATCTGTACATTAAATATTTTTTGGAAAATCTTATTGAAACAAATATTATTATCGATACAGAGGCCGAATTTATAGTTTTTAGAATTTTTGTCTCTCAGTCTATATCTGTCTGTCTGTGTCTGTCTGTTACCGCATCACAGAAAAATCACTGGAGGGATTTTGATGAAATTTGGTATGGTGATAGCTGTGATAGATAGTGATCCGGGTCAAAGATACTTTTTACGGCGGGAAAATGTCTCATTTGTGAGAAAAAATACAAAAACTGCAATGTAAGAGTATACTAATATGTAAAACCTAAGGATTTGGTTTTTGCTCATCGGAACGCGTGCGGATGAAAGTTTGTATTGGAAAGCAAGCTAGGGACGAACCCGAGCGAAGCGAGGGTGAGTTGCTAGTGAGTATATAAATAAATATTTAAAAGTTAGATATTCTACGGGCGCTGGATTCTTAAACATCCTGTTTTAAAAACAGAACTTATAGAATATTCAATATCCCGATTGAGATGTTTCCTTTCCACGGGATCTAAGTAGTTTTGCCCCTCTTATCCTGGTCGGATAAAATTGTAATAGCCATATAAGAGACCTAATAAGAGGTTGCTATTTTGAAAGAGTAGAAGCTTGAAACATTAGCATAAAGCTTTGAATATATGAGAGTGATTAGCCTGTTTTATTTCCAGTACCAATCCCCTTAAAAATATAGGTTGTTTGTACCACAGACAGATCTCAAGAGGCAACGACTCACTCAAGTCTTATTTGTGTCATTAATACAAGACATCTTGCATTAATTTTTAAATAAGATGGTTATACAGAATACCTACATTCTAAGATTAATACACTAGCACTATTTAAAGTTATACATATTATTACGAGTATGTGTAGTGTATTAAGCATTAACTATCTGGTATCCATAACACAAGCCTCGTAGCTTTCCATGGAACTAGATGGTGATGTGTGTATTAAACATATTTATTTATTTCTTATTTTTCTTTTTTAACTTGTTGCTTCGGTATAAGTATCCTATTTTTTTTCTGACGGAGCAGTAATTGGATCACCAGAGCAAAGAACAATAATATATACATTTCTTTTATTATTACTAAATACCTGATCACTTTTGAAATGTACTTAATGGAGCTGCAAATTCATGACAAACAACCACCAACTTTTAGTGAATATTTCTTTGCAGTTTTCCTTGTTTTGTAAGCAATTTAATAACTGCAGAATGTTCGATGTACTTTAGCATTGTCGCGTCAGTCCTTACAATCATTGTCTTTCGCAGAGCACAGAACTTAACATTCTTTCTTTAACACTCTTTTTTTAAAGACAACTATTTATAATAACAAAAACAATGTAATTATTTAATCAATCCATTATATTAATTATTAAGTAAGTTTTTAACAATATAAATTCGAGTTATTAGATTTTTATACAAATAAATTTTTTTACTAGTAGGTACGTAGTAGTGTATACGAGTAACAGTATAAATACATGTAAATTTTTTCTATCATAAAAATGTATGTAAAATCTACATAGTGCAATCTCAAGAATCTCAAGAAGCTTGACGGGTACGGTGCAATTTTGAATACGTAAAATAAAACAACAACACTAATCTTTACTGGCAACCTGTTGACAAGTTTAAAGAGTATTTATTTCAATTTGGTTTGGCGTTTCTTTAGATGCTTCATATTATGTAGTTGACTAATATAGACATATATACCTACTTGGATTTTTCTCAATTTATATTGTAATAATATGTAATGAGGGGGGTGTAGTAGGTATGTATTAGGCATTATATACTTATATCTACATTAGCTATAAAAATATAAAAAAAAAAATTTATTGTTTCTTTGTTGTTTCATATCATTTCATCATTATTTTCGAGTCTTAAGATAATTTCATGTGTACTGATTACAATGTCAGCAACTATGCTTTTGTATAAAAAAAAATACTGGAACCCACCAATCTAGGTGACTTAGGTATAAAGACGTGGATAACTGTGTTGACAACCTTATATCATCTTACAATTAATGTAAAAGTAGACAATTTGTTGTTGCAGTAGTCATAATACATGTGTTTGATATAAGTGGTAAACAGAGCTGGGGGAGTCGTTGGCCGTTGCCGAGTTGATGTGCTGATGTCAGCGTTTAGGAGCGGCGGCTCTCCCGACGACGGCGTCGGGCGCACGCATGGAATGCAGCATGCGGCGCGGGGCGCGGGCGGCTGCTGCTGCCGACGACACACTGCTGCCCGCCTGCCGCCAGTCTGCCGCGCGCCACCCGACACGACTGTTGTACGAGCGCGTCTCGCCACCTCCGCTTGCACGCAGGTATGTACCTCTCGTTACTTTGCGTGTAGGTGGGCGTCGTTGAAGCGATCGCGTTTTCCTCGCAATCCTGTCGCCAGAAATAAATGCCGACTCTTCCGAGGCCGGCGGTGCTAGATGACCCTAGATTATATGCGAAATAAGAATCTCTCTCGACGGTCATCGCTTCTGTGGTTTTATCAGTGTTACATATTTATTATTTGTCGGCGGTGCGGTGAGGTCAGCAAGCGCGCGCGGTGATGTGCGCCTTATCGCAATGGACGTAGAGTCGCAGCAATACTTTGAACGCCGTTCGAACTCGGGCTACTCTGCGTCTTTACTTTGCTCTTGCGTCGTTTTTGTTTACTATTTCAGCATATAGCTGTGCGACATACAAAATTTTCATTTATTCATACTAAATGTCACTTAATATTTTAAATATAATTGTTTTTTTAAGCGTAAGGGTACATATAATAAAATTGAAAATATTTTTGCCATACTTCTTACATACAGCTCCCTCATTTAGTTAGCACTTAGCTACTTAGTATAATGCACAGAGCATATATCGCAACTCCATATTATGTTAATTTGATTCCATAATATAAAAAAGGCAGTCAACAACACTATTCAGATGTCCAATGATTAGATGAGTGGTAAGTGGAAACGTGACTTACCCATATAAGCTTGTTAACTGTTGAGTATGCCTACACTATAGACGTCTATGTTACTTTGTCGAAGTGTTGGTAGCTCGTACCGACTACCGCGTGACTATAAATGTCGCTCCTTTTTAAAGCAAAGTTGTAATACACAAATATATTTGTAAACTAGTGCGTTGTAAAGTTATCGAGGGATCCGACTCTCGTCCGGTGTTGTCTTCGACAGCACAGCGTTGTGCGTGTACATTGTAACATTACTTGGGGCACGCTATCTTCGCCTTTATTGCTTTCAATTTACATCCTAAAATCCCGATCTCTAATGTTCGCACTTAGCGTACCCTCGACGCATCGCCCGAAGAGCTCACGGCCTCGTTATATTCAATTTACTCTAAACTCGCATCAATAGACGGCCGCATTAGGGGCATATCTGCTTGTGAAACTTTGGGCTTTAACAGTTTTTCGATTTCGAGACAACATCGAGATTCCCGACGCCCAAGAGAGCGAAAGACGGGGGTGAGTTAGAGGGTGGTAGCGTTCCCCGTGGGTCTGCAAGAGTGGTCGACCCCGGACTTACGACGAGGATTTGCTAAATCTGCTGCTTTTAAGTCGTGGATGTTCAAAAACAAACTAGTATAATGCGTTAACTAACACTTTCATTTAAAGTACCAACCAAGTACGTACTCAGTTCGTTTCATGATTTAAATTAAAAATATATGGAAGCTTTTAAATATTAAATTACTATAACTATTTGAGTTCAAATACCTAATTAGTAGATCTTTCCTCGTTTCAAATATAAGTAACGTTTCATGTCAGTGCGCAGACAAGCTCTCGTGCTAATGCCAATGCCATACCGAGGTACGCCCCTGACACACCTTATAGACTGCATTTCATTTTTCATATAGAAGTTTTATTTCAGTGGTAGGTATAATATAAAAAAAAACTAAATACATATATCTACTTGTTGGTGCATGTAAAACTAAATAAATATGATAACAACTTTCGATTTAAAGTTTCAAAGGATAGGAGATCGCTGCTTACTCATAGTCTAACAGTGACGTAGTAGTCAAGTCACCGGAACTTGCCAAGTTGTCCAGTATAGACTTAAATTTAAATCATACCTCACTTGAAAGCTTGCAATGAAAATTAAGATTTTTATACTAAATATTGATCGAATCTACCAATAACAAATAATTTGTAGCCATGAGTTTAAATATTATAAAAGAAACAATCAAATATATACAGTTAGGATTTGTTAGATTTGAATTGCATTATATTTTTATACAATGTAACAAAATCCTTTCATATCTTTTCGTACATATAATTTAAAAAAAAAGTATATGTAAAAGAAGTATTCTTAGAGATACGGTCGTTGAAAAATGGCAAAATTTCCAGGAACATTTTTTCCTAGCGGAAGAGCGAAACCCCGCACAAGGACGTAAGTCAGCCGATTACGTAAATTGTCGCTACCTCCGTTTTCACGGAATATCTCACGAATTTGATTCTAGCGAACTCTTTGAAAAATTTCCTAACAAGTTCACTTAAGTTTGTTTCACAATAATTTCATTACTTTTCAAGATATAACGTATTTATGTAATAAAAAAAAAACGTTTGACACAAAAATTACTTAACATAAACAATACTTACGTATTTTATTTGTTATCATTTTTTGTTACTTCATTAATTCATTTCTAACTTATTTAATTATAAGACAATGCACTGTTTCTATTTTCAGTGAATGAGTTTTTGACACATTAATCGATTATGTAGGTATATCTTCAATCTTCATTAACTAAATAACTAATTACCAAAATACCTAAATTAAATCTGTTAAACAACTATGTATGAAGAATTACTATATACAAATATAACAATAACGTAAATTAAAAACATGTAAAGTTATTTTTTTATTTTTAAGAAATAAATATATATATGTAGGTGTATAATATTTTCTAAATTCTCTATAATTGTACATTAAATATTAGGATGTTTTTTTATTGCATTGCTATATACTCTTCGATACGATTGTATTACATATATCATATTATGTAGATAAAAACAACGTATTCGTTGCATGTCGTTAAAGTTTTTCTTCCAAGGGATAGCTTTGACCAAATACATTAAGTAGCGTGCCCTTAATTTACTTTAATGTAATCACTGTAACAACAACTAAACTAAAGACTCGATCGTCAATAATAACAATCGATTCAACTTTATTCAAGGGTAGAGTTAATTGTTGCATGTATGTATGACTTTCTGATTTTGCGTCTAAGGTAAAACGGCTTTTACGCTGGCTACGTCGGTAGCTTAGTGCAATCGCGACTTGAATAACTAAGATGGTTTCAAAGCGGCACCTGCATTAGATGGTTGAATAATTCGCATGTGTCGCTCGTGGTGAGATTGTAAGGCGCACCTCGAGCGGCGTGCGGCAGCTGCATTGCAGCTGGCAGGCGTGCCCTCTTGCTTCTTTTGCTGTAAATGACAGAATCCTGCAAACTCTATATCTGTATATAGGTGTGTGCTCTGTAAAATGTCTTTATTCTAACTGGTTCGTACCAAACATCAGTCTCCTGCTCTTAATGATTAATTAATAATGAGTGACGCGTACGACTTAACATCAACTTAGAACTGCATTTTAAAAGTTTTTTATTCTTATAAACTTTTACAAATTACAAGTTATGGGTCTTATGTAATTGCATATCGATATGAATATCAACAACATTAACATAACAAAAAAATAATATTAGGTAGGTATTTTCTACTAAATGATTATAAATTACTAAAGACGCAAATAAACTTACGCAATTTATTTATGACTTTTGCCCGAGTTCTTTAGTTCATGATCAATGACGATGACCACTTGTTTATTCAATAATTTGTCAGGCACTATAGATTTACACCGTTGCTATTTCCGTCTCAGACAATGGGTAAAAACGTGAACACAAAATATTCCTCGCGTAATAAGAATCCACTCCTTAATCCTATTCATAAAGGGCACTGGCGCACAATTCTTAAATTTAATAACACCTCCAGGTAAATTTCTAAGAAATTAATTAAATTTCTAAGAAATCTATCGTTAACTGTAACGCCGGCGTGTCCGCGCTTGTGGAGAGACTAAATACAGTGAAATCATTTTAAATAGCAAAAAATGGTTTAGGGTTTCGTAATAAAATAATAATATCCAAAAAATATTTAAATATATTTTTTTTACGAATCAATCAAATAAATATGCATTTTAGTTTAATTAAAACGATTCAATTATCCGATGTACTTACTTTGAAAGTTATTAATTATCAAAATAATAGACCGCCTTCAGACATCTTACATAAAATAAAATTCTAATTAAGTCGAATTTGTACATTAAATATTTTTTGGTAAATAGACATTATTATACATACAGAGGCCGAATCTATAGTTTTTAGAATTTTTGTCTGTCTGTCTGTGACCGCATTAAGAAAAAACCACTGGACAGATTTTGTTGAAATTTGTTATGAAGATAGCTAGCTGGTTTTCCGGGTCAGCATATAGGATACTTTTTACTGCGGGAAAATATCTCATCTCTGAGCTAAATGTTAAAACGTAACTACTACGAACCAGAGCGGAGCGAGGGTGAGGTGCTAGTATAAAATAAAAGTAAAAGTGTGTGCAGGAAATTTCCAAGCAAAAAAATTGTACCGAATTGCCTTCGTAAATAGATTCGCAGTAATAGCGTCACGTGGAGACGAACTATACTTACGAACTCCATTATATTGAATGTCTTTTTTTTATATAATAAATTATAATACCGATAAAACTTATAATTCGGATAATTATACGTTTAATATGCAGTGCTTTGCGCAATGCCAAAATGGTCAATAATTTTTGACTATTTTGTCGTCTGTCTACCTGTGATAGATGTCATAAAAGAAGTTGCTCAATAAATCCCATATGTTGAAGCGCGTTTTAAAATGCATGTTTGTCAGTGAGTTGCTTAAACTCCTTAACAAATTTTATTGTTTTTTTTTAATCGTTTTATATATTTTTTTAGTTTATTTTTCAATTTTATTTTTTAATGACTTAGGTACCTAGTTGTAATGCTAGTGGGAGGCATCGCCACAAGTAGTTGCTGATATACAGCAAAATAATTGTGGTAATCTGTAAAAAAAGTCACTTCGCGATGTTTCTTCGTCACGCGTACTAACATCATTTGATTGCAGTATTAAAGACGCCGCTCTACCTTATACAATACACGAGGTATGTGAAGATGTCTCGACACATGGTTTTAATATATGTTTATTTTTAGTGCAACTAATACAAAATTATACGTTGCGAATTTTTACTCTTCAATTTTTTTAAATATAATATATAAGAAATATGTACATTGTACATATATCTGTTATCACATTAAAAGTATACATATAATTTTTTCCTTCTTTTTTCTTTAAATAAAATCTTACATATTTAGTATCTTAGATCTCTTTAAATGCTCTTTATGCTTATTACTGAAGTGTTTTCTATCGCTGGAACATAGGTACATATCACACGTAAACATTCATGATAATCTTTATCTTTCTTTACGGGAAAGATTAGTTCTTTGTAAGAACTGAAACACTTTATACGCGGACAGCCAAAGAATGTGGACATGACTCGACTATGCGTAATGTAATACGTAGGAAGGGGATGGTATTGAGCTGGCAAAGAGCCGGGGCGGCCCCCGTCGTTCCAGTAGGTCTCATGAGGTAACACAGGGGGTAACTTTCCTGCTGGTTATACAGGCCTATACATACAGATGTACGAAGCTGAAGAGGTCGTCTCTTATTTAGCCTTACTCTTCTGACCTGCAATTAGGTCAACAGATAGCAGACGAACTCAATTGAATGGTTAATTATTATTATACTTTTCATATGGCTGCATATATATGCCTATGTAAAATTGAAGCATGTTGCATGTATAATTTATGTAATTTGACCTAACCTTTCAAAAATTAAAATTATATAGGTACACTAGCGGACCCGACAGACGTTGTCCTGTCTACACGTCTTTAATTTGAAAATTTCAAACTTTTTTTAATATTTTTTTTGATGAAAATTATTATTCAAATTGTGAATCTAAACCATTCCCAGATCCCCTTGAACACACACAAAAAATTTCATCAAAATTGGTCCAGTCGTTTAGGAGGAGTTCAGTCACATACACACGCGCACAAGAAATATATATATTAAGATATATTTTAGAAGTGTTTTCATTTCACTTTTTATGATAAAAGCTGCTAGTACGTTTTAGTTTCTGCTTTAACTATGTTTAGATTACGGATTTACGTGCGGAGGCATATTTCTTATAAATGGGAAAAAATCGAAACTTACAATTCTTCCCAAATCGCATAGTATTGAATATTGAATTCGGTAAACACCTTTGATATAAATATTAAGTATAAGATACAAAATCTATTAAGGTATTTTCACGCAAGATTGGCATAAGCCGAGATAAAATTTAACATAAAGTTGCAAATTAATTTGAAGAAATATATTGGACACAGGACATTTTTTTATCAATTATTATATTTTATTAATACATTAAAGTAATCCACTGAGTAGGAGTTAGAAATTAATAATATATGTATGTATATTGTTTATACCTTTGTACAACCCAATCTATAATCCAAAGATGTTTAACGCAAAGTCGCCATCACAGTCATTTAGTTAAGATAATGTTATCACCGATAGCCTTGCTCAGGGGATTCTGTGAAGCCACATAGGACAGCCTATTACTGTTCGCGCGTGCGTACGCCTTTCTCTTTACCACTCATTTAGTTTACCCATACTGTGCTCTGAGACTTGGCGATGTTCCAGTTGGATACACTTGTCAATCAATTTTCAGTTACAATGAAGAAAACGAATAAATGATATTTATAGCTTCAAACAGTAATAATTGTCTACCAAGATAGTTTGGTTTAAAAGAGCTTTAATTTTATTATATATTTACATACACATATATGTAGACAATGTTACGTTCTATAATATTTACTTTTAAAATACATAAACAGGATAGTACGTAGACATTTTCAATTTAATAATACCGCTCCCCTGTAATATCCGCGTCACTGAAACGAAAAGAGGTCGTTCGTGTTCGCGCCAGCCATCGCGCCCAGCCAACAATGAAGAGCGGCACACGTTGCCAGTGCTATATTCAACAACTTACTATAGGTACATACAGCAGTCTGCGTGCAGATAGACGGCTGCATGCTTTGTGGGCGGCATGTAATGTATGCGTGGTCGCTCTCGGCCGACTCTATATCGATGTGTTGTCGGTTGGTTCCAAACGGGCGTCGCACTCGCATCGTTGTGACCTCACTGTGCAGGCGCCGCCGCCGGTCTCAACGCCTAAATATGACCTAAGCGCGACCGTTCCTACCACAAGTTGCGATAGTTTTAATGTTATGTTATATCACTAATTATATTGTTTTCATTTTCTTGCTATTTATTATAATGCGAATTCAAAATTAAAATATTTATGTTGTCTCCGCAGAACGTGTAAGCAACGAAATGAACACAGAACAAGTAAAGTTTGTTTGTTTGTTGTATTCTGAGGAAATCTCAATTTAATGTTTGTAGTTATCGTAGAATGTAATTCGCTGTGTACTTAATTGCTGTTACTACACGGATGCTATTTTGGTACATGGTGCATTAGATTAGAGGTAGCACACGTACCTACTGACTTATGTAGAGTTCGTGGAGGCCACGCAACACCTGACACGATAGCAGCTGGCGACCGGCTGCTTGTGCCTGCGCACACCAAAACTCGTTTTCAAGCAGGCAGACGATTTAACAAGACTCACCAACAACTGATTATCTTAGATACCGCTGTAATTGTGATATATAAAAAAAAACACGAAGCGACTCTATAAATCTGTTACTTACAGAAAACTATTATGTTAGTAGGTTTTTTTAAACCATTTGTGAAAATATTCTATTTTTAAAAGTATTAATTGCTCTATCTTAATACCTTGAAATCTTATTCCAATATCTACTCAATATAGTATGTGTCTTTTACTAAATCCGACCATTTTTTCCGATGTTGTAAAAAGGCAACGACCAAGCTTGCCAGCAGAATATCGCGGTTGTTTACTCGAGTAGCTGTAGGTATTATATAGGTACATGTAGATAGGCGATGTATATATGTAGTTACGTAGGTAGCGATGGTTGTACCACAAGCCTACGATGACGGCGTCGACGGACGACCCTGATAATTTGCTGCGTTAACGCTACTTCAACGGCTTCTTACGACACTGAATTCCCTGTTTCCTACGTTTCTGCAGTTTTATACAATCAATAAGAAGCAGAATTCTTGTCTTATAGTATGTATATTTTGTGACATCACACTAGACGTAATTTGATGCCATCTTGCCAGATACGATACATTGCTAATTGTACAATATTTGTATGAATAAAAATTAGTTACATTTCTTTTATCGCTCTGCTCATATTTATGCCTATAATACTGTTTCATACTGCGCATCACAGTAAAACGAAATATATAATGTCATTCCGAGCGCAGCGGTGTTACAGACAGTTGGTTGTTGTTTTCTAAACATTGTCAATATTGACTCATAATGTAAATCACAGAAGTACCTAACAAACAAGTCGGCGTGACTATGCTCATGCACGAGTCGATCGGTCAAAGCGGAGCGTCCATGACACCTAAACGAGCGAACAGCACCTCTGCTATCTGGTGCTTTGATAAGACATATTATCTGCGTGCCTCGGCGCGGGAGGGACATGAATTGCGATCGGTCGAGTGTTGGGTGGCGCATGTCGGTTTCGAGTGACTCGGGGCACAGCCGACGACGCTCGCACATGTTGCGGAACGTGCAGGCGGCCGCGGGGCGCGCGGCGCGGGGGGGCGGGAGCGCCAGGGACGGCGTCAGGCCACCACACACACACACACCGGCCCAGCGGCACGCACACGCGCGCACCAGCCACACGACGCCCGCGCCCGAAGAGCGTCATTGCGCCTTATCGTAGCCATCTTTAAACGAGCACGCTGCACGCCACCGACGTTGGTACGAATTCCTTTCAAGAGCGGCGTTGCCATGATAGCAGTTGACGACTGCACTCCTTTCATTGTCCTTTAAACGGCGCGTCGCTCGGCGGCCACCTTCCTCAAGGTTATGGTAATTACCTGTCGGACCGGTGGTGTACCTACTCGAGAAAGAAACATAGGAACATTGTACATCATTAATTTATAAATATTATATCAATAGGCTTATTACTGTTTTCTATAGGAATTAACATAATGTAATATAAGCGATTAAATGTATTTAACAGTAATCATAATTAGAATAAGACTAACACTTATCATTATAGTGTTCAATGCATAATAAACTAAGCCGTCACAAAAGATCATTCGAGTGCGTTAAGAAGGGTGTGATATAGGCACATGTCACCTCTAGTAAGATGTTCTTGTGGCTACCATCTGTACAATATCGATCCCGAGAGGGTGGAGTGGGTCGGCATCCCTCAAATTCATCTCCACACGCCGGTGGTTTTAGCTAGGCTTTCGTATTTTCCAGCCTGGAGGCTGACGGGCGGGTGATAAAGGAAACTGCCTACGTAGCCGGCCCCACGCGGCTGCTCGGTCGAAGTACGGAGTATGTTGTCGTGCGGCTATATATAGATTGTGTTGGCGAAGCTGCGAACTGCGACCGCGCCCGTCGCCGTCGCCGCCGCCGCACCGCCGCACGTCCCAACGCCGCACCGCGTTGACGACACCGCCCGACGAAAGGTCAATTGGCGCGCAAATTATTTGCGTCGCAAAATCCGCAATGTCGCTTACCATTCTACAACGCTACACATATAACAAAGATGTATATTATTAGCCGATACACCATTTTAAATCTATTTCCTGTTATTGCTTAGGATATGTTATAAACTGCGCAGACAAAGTATGGGTCTAATTATATTAGCATAACGGCCAATTAGTGATGTTATGACTACATCACATAGACTAAAAAAGCTTATAAATAAATAGGTTAGTCATAAAAATTTATTTAGTAAATAATTGATATAGATATCTATTTATATTTTTGTAGTGCCTTAAGGCACTTACAAAGATTTAAGTCTTTTAGGATTGCTTTTAATAATTAACAAAAACAAATGAAATGTGAAACAAGCAAAGCCCCATTACATGAATATTATTTTCTTACAAATGAATATGTGCTTCATTCTTATCGGACATAACATAACATTATGTGCTATATCGATATATAGATCATAATTCACGATTGAATGATTAGGGTGAATGTTACAGTTGAAGATTTCAAATTGCAATTTGAATAGTATATCCCCAAATCCGATTGGGTTGACAAGTTAGTTGAGCTTCGGAACTGGTTTAACACATGAAGTGGTAGGACTGTCGAGGCCGAGACTGAACGTACGCTTTGACACGCTAGTTTTGCTTATATGCGCCTATGGGCAGTCATGCTTGGAATGTCTGAGCCAATTCAACCTACGGCTACAAGAACATCACGTACTGCACTGCTGATTTTTATTTATATTTCCTCCTAAGTAACTCAATTATTACGTTATAACCAAAATTAACAATTGTATTCAGTATACACTAAACATACAATAGACATGCACCGCTAAACTCCACAACTTTCGTTATTTACACATATTAGTTTTGAGGTAAATCCGTTAATAACAACTTACTACGTACCTAACTAATGTAAGAAGTTTGATTATTGTCTTTCTTTTATCTAACATCGTGCTTTGACTCTTGAAACACAATTGCTCCCTGAACGGAGCAATGATAGACACCACCGGAAACGAAGGTAAACGCTAGTCTATGTATTAAAAATATATAACAACAAAACTCCGGATAACGTTAGTAAATGTTTATTAAATTATAGAAATAAACTATAATTACATTTTTAAGTCTCGGTAATTTGATAAGTAATTATATTACTACTGGCGAGCAAGAAGACCGTTCCTAAGAGATTACTATGTTACACACCATTATTACCCACCGAACAATGCAAACAATGATGCTAACGGGCTTTTAGAATACATCACGAGACATTGTAGCTGTAGCCTGTCCATTACCACACCATAATGAGTCGACATATTCTATCTTTTATTAGCACTGCAATGATGTTTAAATTTTTAAGTGAGACCAATTCATTTCAATAATAAAAATAAAAAATATTCATTATCAGTTCAAAACAAAATGTAGAAATTTAAAAATCTTATTTAAAGACGAAAATGAGCTAACTGTCCATATAAAATAAAATTTTCGCTCTTTGGTCAATGCGTAGCCCATAAAGTAGCATCCTTTTGAATTTAAGTTACGTAACAATATATTATGCACGCGGGAACCCGTTCGTTGATTCGACGTGACGTTATGCGACCGTGGTGTTATTGGAGTGATCGCGTACTAGGGTTCGAATAAAAGATAATCTGAAAAAAAACTTAGTCCAAGTTTTTGTGCTTTTCAATCTAAACTTTAAAGTACCTATCCTTGTAACTTTGGAAACGTATACCGTATCTGTATATCTAATTATTCGTAATTTTAATTCATTTCTGAGTACATATTATATTGCTAGTAGGTATTTGTTGTAGACAAATTATTTTCTTCTATCGCTTAACACCCAACAAAGGTTCGAAAAACATTTTAAATTGTAATATAAATTTAAATTGATACTAAATTTTTTGTTTTTGGTATTGTGCCGAATGGAATTTAGATTCATTTTAACATCCAAGTATAAATATCTCAGATTTGTATAGGTTATTTATTAGAATACTAGCGACTCACCCTCGCTTCGTTCGGGTTCGTCGCTAGGTACGTTTTAAGTACCTAGTTACTAGCCAGCGTTAACCATATATTATTTTTTTTGTTAATTATATTGTCAATTCTATGTCAAATGTCATAATGTTACATTAAAAAAGTTTATATTGTCCAAAGCGCTAAGGTTAGATTAGAAATAATATTATATGGTTGTTGAGTATTCTTAAACAAGTAGGTATTCTTAAATTTTATAATTTTCCGCGCAATTCTTTAAATTTTTTCTTTCATAAGAACCTTCTCCTGACAATAACAAACACAACAAAAAAAATAGTTAAATCGGTCCAGAGTAATGTAGACTTACCTAAAAATGAAACTGAATTAAAAGTTATATAAAATAACTCTAACAAAGTTCATTTTATAACATTAAATTATCGACATAAGGTCTGTTTGGATTACATATCCAGTATAGTCGTGTCCATGTATAAATTATAATACAGCATCAAACGAAAGCAAAAGTGTGCTGTCTGTCTTCCATAAGTCCAAACGACTCGATATGCCCGATGATCGCGATAGGGGAGTCGAACTTGAAAGAGACGAGAGTGAAAGGAATACTTGATTTTATTTTATGTAGTTCGGAATACAGCTATCGTTACCTAAATGTCGTTACTGTGTTAATTTGGATTTAATTTTTAAATTTATATCTATTACAATGTATTTAATCATCGAGTCTTTAAGGCATTGTACGTATATGTATGTACATTGCCTTAGTAAATTCATAAGACACATATAAATATAAATTATATTTAATATTAATTGTAATGTTTTGCCATAAGAAAAACAATAAGTGTTATTCGTTATATTCGATACAACATATTATGCTTTGTGTAGTAGAGCTAGTCATCCGTTAATTATCGAATTACTTTCTTGAAGAAATAATTCACATTCATTATTTTGACTGTCAATATTTTCGAATTTTATTTTACTCTACTGCGGTACCTATTAGCGACATTGTTGTTTAAGGATAAATACTTTTAAAACGTAAACAAGTAGATATAGATTTGTTTTAATAAAATAACTATAAAATATCATTCCTCATTCCTCTTCTTTGTCCTTAACATTATATAGCGCTGTTAAGTGAGCGTTTGCTATTTTTATATTCATTGTCATAACACGCGGGCGTCACCCGCATCGTGGCCGCTTGCGAATGTAAACACGATACATAGGTAGAGATAGAAGTGGTAGCCGACAACCCTGCATCCCCGGGCAACGCCGGCTGTGGCGCTCTATAAATACACAGCAGGTGTGGTGAGCGCGGGGGATGCGGGGCACGCGGGCCGGGGGCATCCGCCTCTGCAGCGCTCCAAACTGTTCGCAGCGGCCAACGGACCTTAGCGACGCCATATCGATTGCGAGGGCTCCCCCTGTGGCGCGCCGTCGTTCATTGTGCTCGGCCTGGGATGCCTTCTCCGGCATTTCCTGCCTCCAACTTGTCAAGTTGTCTGCGTGAGCCGGCCCGCGCCCCTCCACCCGCCGCCCGGTGCCGGTCTCACCAGGACGTCCGCCAGCTGCCTCAACTACATAAGTGCCTACATGACGCGTACTCGATTTTTTAAATTTTCACCCTGCCACTCATAATATCCACATAGGTATCGGCTGTTGTTGACGATGAAATATGTTCGTCAGTACTTTTACTCGCTATCCGTCACGAATGACTCAAGAAATAAGTTTTTTCAAGAGTCCGAAAAAACAATATTTTGGTTATTATTTTAATCGAATAGATAAGCGCTTCTAATGCTCATATTTTTGTCACATAGGTTAAATTCATTAATATATTTAGTAATAATTTTTATAGACAATTATTTTTATTTCCATTTTTAACATATTACGACATGTACACATACGTAAAAAACTTAATAGATTAACTGCAATACAACTTTATATATACACCTATTATATAGTATTCTTGCTCTCTTTAAAATTGCCTTCGCAATAGGACATCGGCCGTTTTACATTATCATATTTTGAATAAGTGAATAAGCTTAGTTTCTACATTTAAATCTTAATTACATAATAACATTTATTCATATTTATTTAATCGATATTTATAATATACGTTTACGTTACGTTTTAATGTTTAGCTCAGAGATACTTTCCCGCAGTAAAAAGTATCCTATATGTTGATCCGGATAGCCAGCTATCATCATACCGAATTTCATCAAAATCTGTCCAATGGTTTTTTCGTGATGCGGTCAGAGACAGACAGACAGACAAATTCTTAAAACTATAGATTCGGCCTCTCTATCGATAATAACAGACTTTATTTAACATTTAAATAAGATGTTCCAAAAAATATTTAATGTTCAGAGTCGGCTTAGTTAGAATTTTATTATATGTATAGATTATTTTATATATTAAAATTGGTTTATAAAATGGTTGGTGGTAACATAATCAATTATTTACTATTTGCAGCTTCGTTTCCGTGTGCATTTTTATATAATTATCTACATAATATATGGGAGGGCTTAAAATGGAACTTTGCTTGTGCTCTTACATCATATATTCTCCATATAAATAGTACCTACACAGAAATTGAAAGCCAGCGAGACATCCACGATTAAACATAACACCCAAAAACTGTCTGTTTGGTTTCTTTATATTTTATAGTCTTAAACCATTAAAGAAACAACAATTAATTTCAATATGTCGTTTGACCCCGATTCAATTTGATTATATGCAATAAATTTCCGAAAGACGATATCAAGTAAGTAGGTGTTATAATAATTCTATAAATTTATATTCGATACTTTAAAAGCATCCTTAAACATATGTATACCTATCTTCTACGGTATTTACTTCCTTTTACTTTGCATATTTTCTTAACATTCATATATCTTTAGAGTGCTAGTAAGTAGGTAATTGTAATTAATTAGCCAAGTAACTTCTTATCAAAACAATGATTAAATTACACGATTTGCATGATGAAGATATTTTCTTCATGTTTCATGTTTTTTTTTTCTATTTTCTCCATCAAGCAAGTAAAATTATGTAGATTATGTAACTATCATGATAATAAAAAATAAAATAAAAAATATCCAAATGAAATAGATTAATATTGTTTTTATTGGACAACGCGCGTCGTAGGCATCGGTTTAAGAATTTCAATCTTTGTCGTATTTAAATTTTGTTTATTGCCGTTGATTGTAGTTGATATGAGTCATTTTAACACTGTTAGTAATTGAAAAAAGAAATTATTAACAAGCTTTTACGGGTGTAATTAATAATTAAACTGAAGTTTGTTTAAGATGAATTTCATATATTCTGACATATTATGAACATACCTAAAATATGGTTAGGAATAAGTTATATTAAATTAATTAATAAATCAATAGCAATAATTAGTTACAATGTTTATATGAAGTAAGATCATATCACAAATGATGCTCTGCCTAGAGAATGCCTGCTGCGTCAGCTCCCCTAACCGCGATCGGTGTCGGAGGAAAATAACATAGGAGCATCATGTTGGACCCTCCGCACCCGTCCCGCGCCCACGCGCCCTCGGGCCGACCGCCAGCCGCCACCGGCGCTTGCCGGTCGCGGGTCGCCTCATCGCCTGCCAGCCGGCCTCATTCAGCCGGCGACGGTCTCGCGCTTCGCACACGGCTCTCGCGGTGACTCTTCGTCGTCTCGCCGGTGTAGTCGCGCCCCTTACCGCACCACGTCGCCCCCCGCGCCCGCCCGCCGGTCCGCCGCGACCCTTGTCTCGGAACGCTTAACCGACACCGAGCATTGTTTTGTTGCAGCGGAATATGCTACAACAGATGTCCTCGCCACACAGCGCGCAACTCGGCGAGGTCGCGACTCTCGTGCGCCCACTCGAAGGCCGCCCGTGCGGCGACGCATCTTCTGAGGCCTCTTCGGATGCCGCGGAAGATTTTGAATTGCCGCAGTGTAAGATAAAAAGAAACTACAACTGTGCCAAGTGCACATTTTATACGCAGAACCCGCGCGTTTATCTTGTGCATACACGTGACGTTCACTTTGAGCGATTGAAAATTTATGACTGTCCACATTGTGTTTATGCTTCTCGGCATCATCAGAAACTTACCAGACATATAAAAATGGTTCATGAGTCATCAACGATCGTGAAAGAGCCGGAGACTTTACCATCCACTTCAGATAACATAGACCCATTGGGAAGAATGGAAGAGTTATTAGAAGAAGTCGAAGAATATGATGATCTACAAATGGAGGTCGAGGATGGTAGTGAGGAAACGCTCGAGCGAACTATTGACGCGGAAAATATGAATTCTGCGGAGCCAACTTCCTCTGGCTTGACGTCAAGAAAAAATAATTTTTATTCTTGCAGCAAATGCAACTACGTAACTCACATAAGAGCCAGATTTACCAAACACGTTAAATATCATTCAATGCCTATGATTAAGTGTACCATGTGTGACTTCAGGACGCCTTATAAATGGAACTTGGACCGTCACATGAAAAACCACGGTGGTAACGGAAACTTCCACTGTTCTATGTGTAACTTTACTGCCGACATAAGACAGAGTTTGACGGTACATGAAATGAATCATCATACGCCCCCTGTAGGGCAATCGAGTTTTAGCCGGCGTCGCAACCGGGTGGGAGCCAGCGACATGCCAGTTGGTGTTGACATGACGGACGACAACGCTCTCATCTCGAAAGAGGAGGAAGGGAGTGGAGACTCACGATCCTCACACTCTGCATCGGTGAGTGTCGCCGTGAGCGGGAGGCCGTGTCTAGGGGTCGCAGATCGGTGACGTCACGCCTCTACGGCTCCACCGAGTGACTGCTGTGCCTACCACTCGGCCCCTCGCGCGCTCTTGCATCATGCTTACATCTATGCATGTCGCTCGCGTTTCGTTTACATTACGTGCATGAATACCAATCAATGTTTATCTTTAAATCACAGTATCTATCACAATTAATTACTTACCACACTGATTACACGTTTAAATCTTTACATTGAATTATATTTAAACTGCTTACAATATTTTTTCAATAATTTAATATCAATAGTTGTGTTTATATTTTTGTATAGTGTAACTATTAATTTACTATTTAGAAGTTATTTTTAGTAAAAGTTAAACATTAATTCATTACGATACACTAATATAAGTTATTACCTATAGACGGACCAAAAAATGTTTCTCATATTTTGTTCCTTGTTACCAGAGTACAAATTACCGGCACTTTTTATACAACTTGAAGAATTGTAATACTCAACATATGAATCATCCATACATACAATATATGTCCAATATCGAGGAGAAACACATATTTGATATTACGAGATAGATTTTTTATTTCAAAAGTTGAAAAGATATATTTAAATTTAGTTATTTTATTTTTATTATTAATTAGTACAAAACCGTTTATGCACAAACCTATGCTTAAAATATTCTTTAATATAAACGTTACCTATGGCAGATCAAGAACTCTTATATACACTTATGTTAAGTTTTTAAATACTTTGAAGTAATGTACGATAACGATAGTTATTAATATAATGCAGTACGTCATAATAGTCGTATTTATAATAGACTAGCAGAACCCGCGGCTTCGCTCGCACTAAAACTACAAAAGATAAACTCTCTCTAAAATATTAGGTACAAACGTTCATTCGTTATTTTACCCTCTTGTGGGATGAATTGCGGAAAATGCTAAAACACGTATTTAAAAAATTGTATTGAAGAAGAGCATTTATACCAAGTTTCAAGTAATTCTGATCATAAATATTTTTTTAGGTTGTATTATATCGTGTTTTCCCATGAGAAAGAGATAGGTAATTTCCCGCGGTAAAAAGTAGCCTATGTTACTCTTCAGCCTTCCAACTATCTTCACACAAAAAATCGCGCCAATCCGTCACTATCTTTTTTGACGTGAAAGAAGAACAAACAAACAAATAAACACACTTTCACATTTATAATATTAGTATGGTTATATGAAATATACAAATTTAAACTTAGACAAAACATTTTTTTTATTTTTTCAAAAAATAATCAGTCTCTGTTTCTATCTAGAAACAGGTAACTTTTTCGATATTTCATATAAAATCAGTGAACAGTTAATATTTATCTTCATCATTTATTATTTCAATTCGTATCTCATACGTTCCGATTATAAGATTCCTTATATGCTTATCACAGTAATTAGCATATTATTAATTATACTATAAGGAATGCATCGTGAATGTTTTGATGTTAAATATTAATATTTATTTACATTGTACTGTATGCAACAATATATTTCTTTAATATAATTAAATCTTTTTTAATAATTAATAAATAAATACTTAGATTATAGAATTTGATCGCTTCCAAGATTTGTCACATAACTAACATTGATGTATTAAATTGCCTTCGAAATTCCACCTCCTACCAAATTCATGGAAATAAACAAGCTTTTTATGTTCATTTAACAATAGTTGATGTTAAAGCCTAAATTTTAAATAAAATATTTTATAATTATATAAATATGATTAATTAAATTCTATAATACATATTTAACATTATTAATAAAGATAATTTTTAATTAAATGTCCTTAATAATTAATATTAAACCAATATATTTCTGTATCTACACATTTTTTGATTATTAAATAATCTACTTTTTGGCATAAATCGAAAGTTTATTAATATTACTTTTTCTCTTTTCAGGAAATGGGTTTGCAATACATGGATAAAGAAATTGTTAGTTGTAACAGTGACTCTAACGATGCCTCCACATCTGACAACAGGAAAGAAAACATGCACATAACAAAAGAAACAGATACAAATTGCCCATTAGATGATACTAAAAACCAAAAGCAAAGTAGAAAAATTCCACGGCCAATTCCACAACTCATACCTTTAAATGCTTCTACGCCAAACCAAAACAAAAGTACTGGTGAACCACCTGCTAAAAAGCTCAAGGAGTCTACAGCACAGTTAGGTGACGTAAACAATGCTCAAAAGATTGATAACTTACCCATAGATATTACTCTTACTCCTGTAAGTAACGTCAACGGGAAAGATTCGTCGGTTCGTAAAAAGAATGAATCTTTCTTTGACAGATTAAAAGAAAGAATTTTAACAGAAACAGGAGAAGAAGGTTCGCTTATATGTAAAAATTGTGGTTTTGAGAGTAAATGTTTATCAGAACATTCCGTTCATGAGAAGAACTGTACAGCGCAGTCTAATCGTCAATTAACAAATTCACTACATTCAAGTTTAGGTTCAACACGATGTCAAAACTGTCGCCATAGATGTAAATCGAGTGCTGATCTATATGTTCATATGCAAACATGCAAAAAGAGAGATAACACACTTGAGCTGGCGTCTGATGTACACAACCAAGATAGCAGTGAAGCTGCTACAGTTAATATCGAAAAAGAGCAAGAGCGACATCCTATGGAAAACGTTGTTTTTGTATGGAATAACATAAATCAAGATACAAACAAATTTGACACGCCGTTAGACATTAGCATCAACGACGACTCTACACTCCCAGAACAAAGTAGAACGTATGATTCTATAGTAGTTGACGATGACAACGAAACTGAAACTATGAATTTGTCTCCAAGCCAAGCTGTTGGGAAAAAAGTATTTAAATGTCCACACTGTCTGTTTTGGGCGTCGACAGCTTCAAGATTTCACGTGCACATAGTCGGGCATCTTAATAAGAAACCATTCGAGTGTTCTTTGTGCAAATACAAATCGAATTGGCGATGGGATATAACAAAGCATATAAAATTGAAGTCGGCTCGAGACCCTGAGCACGCTGAAGCGAAGGTATTGATGACGGACGAGACAGGTCGCCGTAACTACAGTAAATATAACAAATTCTTAGCCATGCCTAATTTAAATGAAAAAGGTGAAAATAAATTTCATTATATTGATCAAAGTACTTCACAGGATACTGCCTTAGATGATGAGATGTTTAATGACGTAGCTGATGGTATGAATTTGCCTTTCGAAATGCCACTTAATTTACAAACACAGAATTCTGACCATAAATTTGAGTATGACAATAGCATGTTTGATGCTAAAAAACCTAAAAGAACACTATGGAAATGCAAGAAATGCAATTACAAGTAAGTATAGTATTGCTACTATTTTAGTACATCAAAATTTGATTTTGAACTAAAAACAATGAAAATAATAAGTAATATATAGTTTAGTACAATAATACAATTCTCATTTTTATAGGGATTCATCAAAAGAGGCTCTACTAGAACATGTTCGTGAACATTCCAAGCCAGATGATACAGAAGATATTAAAGTTCCGAATAATATCAACAAAAAACCTGACAACATGCCTGATCCAGCTGACTTGGCCTACCGATGCGGCCACTGCAATCAACTATCCAATTGGAAACATGTTATACAGGTTAGTATGTGCTGAAATGGCGTTTGTGTTTATTTATTTAACATACAAAAGTATATAATATAATTTATTTTAAAAAAATCACCATTAAATTGATTTAAAAGAAAAAAAATAAATATTTTCGATGACATCTCATATTAATATTTTTATAATAAAAAATATACACATATCTGGCGTTAATCTAGTAAAAAAAAGGTGATACTAAAAATATGTGAATTTGTCCAGTAAAATCTAACGATGTTTTTATCTTTTTTCAGAGGCATTGCCGTTTAAAGCATGATGGAGTAATTAAAGTTATAACAACAGTGAAGCCAAAACCTGAAGTCTCCCCGCTATCAGCAAATGACATCACCAGCGATACTTGCACGAAGTGTCCATTTAAAGCAACTGACAAAAACATGCTTTTGGCACATTTACAACAACATCAACCTTCACCACAGTCTATATTCAAGTGCTATTTCTGTCCTTTCTTCGTAAAAGATGAACACGAATTAATTCAACATCTTATTTTACACGGTATTACTGATCCAGAAGACTATATATCTAAAGCAATGGGCTGCAAATCACCTTTACCAGATCAAGGACCACTATGTGCATCAAGTTCGTCTACAACGAAACGACACAAATGTACTGAATGTCCGTACGAAACTAACAGCAAATCCCAGTTCATGTATCATGAGCAGTTCCATCGACTACCAGCTGATACCCCGTATAAATGCCAAGAATGCAATTATAGTGTATCGAAGAGACACTTGCTTCATCAACACATGCGTGTCCATGGAATATTTGCAAAAAAGAATGAAATGGAGGAACTTGAAAACTTATCATCAAATTCTAACCAAGCAGATGCACAATCTGAATTTTCAATGAACCTAGACGAAATTCCATTTGTATGGGTGTCGGCTAAAAATGAATTTCATAAAATGTACAAATGTCGCTATTGTTCATACGTAAACTCACAGCAATGCAAAATACCTAATCATGAAAAAATACATTGTGTCGTATTTGAAAATAGTGACATAACTATATATAAATGTCTTGAATGTAAATTCACAAGTGATAATAAGGGAAGATTAGCAGAACATTCTAAAACACATGGAGAAATATATGGGCGTATTTACTGTCCTGTTGAATCTGATGTTTCAGACGAGGAACAGATAGCTAAGTTACGTAAAGTAATAGATCAAGAAAAAATAAATGCAGCCGATGAATTTCCAAAGGAAGATGAAAATCAAAGCGAATACAAAGAAACTAAAACCTTATTCTTCTGTCAGAAATGTCCAGCAAGATTTTTCGCGGATAGTGAATTGAAAGTACATGACAAATTCCATGATTTAACATTCCAAAATAAATGTAAGAGCTGTGAATTTTCAGTGCCACAAGAAAGCGAATTGTATACACATAACCTTGTGCATACTGACGAATACAATACGAAAACAAAAATGCTTAAATTTGTACATAAAATACATGCCCAATATAAAAATCCAAAATTGCAACTCGTTCACTGCCCAATTACATCAGATGTGACCTGGGTAGTTGCAAATCCTGGAAAAAACTATGATTTAAACGAATATATTAAAAAATCTTCAGATATAAAACCCACGCCCAAGCAATATTTTTGTAAAGAATGTCCAGCTAAATTCTTTAAAACCTCCGCATTGAGCTATCATATGGGGTTACATGGAGGAGACGGTGATCATAAATGTAAAAAATGTAGTTATGCTGTTAAAAACATCGGCAATCTAGCCAAACACGAGTTACTGCATGAAAATGAACCTAAACCTTCTAATTGTGATTACGAATCTGGAGAAGATATTGATTACAAGAATATTCCATTGTCAGGCACTGACTTGTTTCAAAGGAAGACCGAAGCCCAAAAAAGAGTATTGACAGACAAGGATAAACTTGTGAAACCAAACGATCATTTTCCGCCAGTACTTCAAGCCGATCCACAATTTGGATATTTGATGCACGGAAACCCAGAATTTATATACCCTACTTATCTTAAAAATGGGCGTCAAAAAGAAAAACGTTACAAATGCCACAAGTGTCCATCAGCTTTTGAGAAACGAGAGCAATATAAAATACATTTATCTCTTCATGGATCTAAACAAAGGTACAAATGTGAAATTTGTGATTACTCTGTCAAATATTACGCGAACTACGTTCAGCATATGAGAAAGCATCAAATGAACGACGAGGCACAAGCCGAGAGGAAGAAAGGGATTAATGGTTTTGCAGAAGTCGAATGCGAAAATACAGAAAATAAACAGGATGACAGCGGAGATAATATTAAATTAGCGATAAAAACTATGCCCAAAAGACCGGTTCGTAGTGATTTTCAACAATTTTCGATAAGTGACCAACAAACCCTACGACTGCTTCAGCGTCGTCGCTCAATGAATAATTCTGCAAAAGATATCAACACATCAGAACTTTCCCCAACAAAAGATCGAAAATTACATATGTGTCTATTATGTCCTTATACTAATCAACGTCAAGACGCCCTCAGTAATCACTACAGACGACACGACGATACGGACGTTCTAAATTCTGGTAATCATAAATGTTCATATTGTGATTTAGTAGTAGTACAATCACATTTCCTTCGTGAACATCTAAAAACACACTTCAATTACCAAAAGCATCTAAACCCAGAGTGTTTTGTAGCTAACGAAAATGTTACTTTTACAATCACTAAGTTAGATGAGAGTGAATCATCTAGTGATCTCAAGTTAGATGTGCTAAATCAAAGTAGACTGTGCAATGAAAATAAAATATTCGTAAAAATTAAAACAGGTGAACTGTTTGTAGAATAAGTTTGTAGAATTGTCCTAAGTTATTCGTAAGTTTTAGCAATACATAGATATATTAGTTTAAGCAAAATTCATTCAGTTATTCCATAGAGGGAGCCAAAAGTGTAACTGTCGATATTCACCAAAGGATAACTTGCCATATTAGATTAGAACCATTTGGCGAATGTTATTTTAATATCATGGGATATCATTTTAATTAATAATATACTATTTGGCCAGTAGATTTTAAGTTTTTTCATAGATACAATCTAGGATGTGTTAATTTAAACAAATGTTCTAAAAATAAAAAAAAATGTCAAAGTACCTATTGGCTGTCAGCAGATACCTTAGTGGCAAGCCGCGGAGTTAACTTCAGCCGATAAAATCGCTATTTAGTCTGTATATAATGATAATTAAAGTATATTTCCATGTATCCACTGACGATTAAGTAATTAAAACGGTTATTGTTACTATTATGTAATAGTTTAAAATGTTTTCCTTACTTTCGAAAGTATCCACTAAGGAAATCTAATCACAGCCAATACTTAATGTAATTTTACATTAAATGATAGACAGAAGGTATATCGTTGAATAAAACAACATATAAAAAGCATTTAACTCATATAAAACCTATAGAACCCACAATTAGATAAGTACAAAAATTTTAAATAAGATTACATGCGTACGGTAATTTGTATGTAGATGAAAATAAGGATGGTCTTTGCATAAAAATATGCCGATTAAAGGTTGTTACAGAACTTAAAAAGATGTGTAATGTTTAGTTTAAATTCTATTGGGATATTTAAAACTGTTTTGTAATAAAAATCCAACTTATTTAATGTTTTAAAACTATTATTATAAATAATTAAAAATATTGGGGTTATGTTTTTTTTTCAATACAAAATACTTATGTAGAGTGTAATATTGTTATATTATGTCGTCAAAGTAATCTAAAGAATCTTTAATAAATACGTATTTTTTTGGGAAATGTGGTCTCACAACTATAAAGCGTTGTAATTTAGTAGGTAATGAGGTAAAGTGGTTTTAAATAATTGCTTAAACTAGGAGCTGTAATAGAAAATATTTACACTTTTTTACTTATGTAGCATATTAATGAAAAAAAATGAACCAATATAATCCCAATAAGATCTTAATGAGCAGACAATAACATTGCAAATTAGATCATTTCAACAAGTATAACGATTGACTATTCGCCCGATCTACGGGTCTATGGGAAGCTTTCCCTAGCTGACCCGTGGATCGATTAGATTTAGTTCAAGCTTTCAGACTCATGGGAAATTTTCCCGTACTTCTCAGAATTTTTACATTTACCTATAAATAAGATCTCAAAAACAAATTGTGATGTATGATACGTATATTGATTATAATTAAAATAAAAAAATCATTACTTTTTTTTGTTTAAGGTGTCAATGTTTACCTACATCTTTTATTGTTTTGAATTAATTCTGATAACTTGCGTTCATATTTTTGCTTCTCAATAAGAAAATTGAAAATTATAAAAATCTAAGCTAGCGAAAATATTTTCGGTACATATGTACCAGCTAGCGATTAAGGATCGTTAGTTAGCTGCTCTGTGTTTCAAGTTATTATGTAGTAAATCAATAATAAAAAAAATCAAAAGTAACGCTGATTTTTTTTACATTTTAATTGTTAGTTGTTCATTTTACTTTTTACAATCACATGAGCGATTGAGGTCTAACATGGGATATGTTAAAATTGTAAAGCCTCAAAAACCAACTGAAATATTAAGCCAAAAAATATGTTTTATATCTAAATGTCATAAAAGAAAAAAATGTTAATTTGCTCAAAAGCTTGAACCACACTCAATCGATCCACGCGTCAGCTAGACGGGAAAGCTTCCCATAGACTCTTAGATCGGGGATATAGTCATACGCATATATACTGTTTGTTTTGTTCAGTGATATTCTTAAGACAAATATTTTTACACATTGTCTACGCAGAATATTTAAGTATTGTCAGCATTAAATAAATGTGATTAATTTTATATTTAATAAGCCCTAAAGGGACATTCCTGTTGTAATTAAAAACTGAGAAAATTATAACAATGTGATATACCTAGTGGTTTGAATGACCCTTTTGAGTTGAAATAAATTAAAAATAAGTGACTCTTAAAACAGGTTACTTTATTTATTAAATTTAAAACTAAATATTCCTTAACTACTTCACATGATTTCATTGTCAATAGCAGCAAGGTCAATGCAATGAAATGGGAAAACATAATTCATAGTAAAAGTGAAGAATATTTATTTGATACACCAGTGTACCATACCATAAAAGATACACTATTATTCTAAATTTAATAAAAGCAGTCTTAACAGAACTTCCAGCGATTGCCGCATTCATTGCAAAGAACAAAAGTTGTCATAGGCTCATCAGAACTCCTCGTTTGAAGTTGGTTGTATGTACAATTCTTCTTCTTACATTTTCCACATTTGAGCATGTCTGTTTTAGTACCCTGAACAGTTGCAAGTTGAGCATCATTAATGGCCTCTTGAATGAATTTCTCTCGTAATTTTTTCATTTCATCACTTGCCATTTCTTCCGGTGTCATTTTGGCAAGACGCGAAGCAGCAATTACTCCATTAAGGAAATTAGTCCTTAATGTAGGATTTTTTGGATCTTTAAGGTTGGCTACTCTAGATCGTACCCTGTTCTTGTATCTCATATCAGTGTTTTTAAATTCTGCATAGATACATTCTTCTAATTCCTCGGCAAGTTCTTCAGGTGTAGCACAAGAATTAGGAGTTTCACCTTCAATTTTTAATGCTTGAGTTAATAGTTCTCTGCATTTAAGCCTTATAGCATCAGTTGTATTTGATTGTGGTGGGAATGATGCTGGTAATTTTTTATCTTTTTCTTTGTCATCTTTTTTCTCTTTATCTTTGCTCGAATCCTTCTTAGGCTTAGATGAATTGCCAGAGTCCTTAGATGGTGTAGCTGGTGTAGATAGAAACTTTTTCCAGTTTTTAATAAGTGTTTTGCAAAGAGATATTACTTCTTCATCCTTGCTAGATTTTCGTAATGCATTAACGGTCATGCCTATTCTCGTTTTAGTGAGAACATCCAAATTAATAGCCATAGTTTGTAGAGCCTTTAACTGTTCCAAAGCTTCCTCTTGACCCTAAAAATATAAGAATAGCTTTATAAAACAAAATTTTTAAGGTTGCCGTGTACCGTAGATATTGTAAAACCCACGTTAACAATACATTTAGCATCATATAATGTAAACAAGAGTGTATAACAAACACACATATTTACAACTAGCGTTTATATTCCAAATATAGTAAACAGAAACACACGGCGTTTGTTTTATTTATGTAGCATTTATAATATGTGCTAAAGTAAATGTGGTTTTATTATATATATCACCACACCTACCGTGCCATCATCTGATGTCATCTTAGTTAATTTCTTTTGTATTTTCATTACATCCTCTTCGACGCTCATTTTTATTTAAATTATAACAAAATTTGATTCCCGCCTAATTCAGCAAACAATTTATGAAAAATATTGGTAAATCGACCACCATACAACTCAAGCATAGACTAGAAAACATTGACACTTCATTTAAAGTCATGGATGTAGTTTGCCAGTTAGAAAAATGCTAAAATAATTCACGCTATGAGTATTCAAATAATATGCATTATTAGTTAAACTAGCGACTCACCTTCCCTCCGCTCGGGCTCGTCCCTAGTGAATATTTAGGTTTGTATGTATTTATAAAAAAATATTATTTATATATTTTAAAACTAAAATTAAAAAATGTCCAAATAATAAAAAAAATGTTGGGGTGAACCACCCTTATCACTTAAGGGTATGAAAAATAGTTAACTTACTATTCTCAGACCTATTGAATATACACACAAAATTTTATAAGAATCGGTCAATCCGTTTCGTTTCGTTCGTAATTCTTATTATTTATGTATTTTTATTTTCAATCATTGTTTTAAAGTTATACTTCTTTTGGCACGTTTGCAAAAATTATGAGAGTAAAATTTTTACGATGGACGCGCACACCGACAGTCAAATGAAGCAAGCAAGCAAGGCAAGCCACATGATAAAGTTACGGGATAAAATCTTTAGCTGTTTTTGTTCTGTTACGCCAAAGAAGTATAACTTCTTACGTACGTACATAAGTACACACACACGTTTTTTTTGTATCGAGTAATTATCTTCTTATTTTTGTAGGTTGCTCCTGTAGACCGATCGTTCATATAAATTTTTAGTTCTACGATAAAACTGCTAAATTTCAAAATTACCGCTCAAACTCATTTGTGTTTTCCTCACAATATGTGACACAGGCAGAATGTATTACGATTTGCGTCTGATAAAGCAGCTCTAAGCCACTAAGGAAAAAAAACAATTCAATTCTCTTGTCTATGGCTTCAAAGCGTGAGTACTCGGCACAGATTCCTTTGCCAATGTCACGTAGAATGGAGAAGACACGAAGGAGATTGGTCGGTAAAAATGAGGTTACTAAAACTATGTATTAAAAAGTATAAGAAAAGGGAGTAACTCCTTTACATACCTTGTGTCTACAACAAAAAAATATTACAATTACCCTGTTTCCAATTAGAGCACTAAATCGCATTATGCGGCATAATGCTAACTTCGGATGTTCCAATTACGGCAACACTCCGCCCAATCGAGCATTTTGAAAAGTACTGCTTTGGCGTGATGCGCGCAAGGATATCAACTCAATAGCATAAAATATGAGAAGTGTTTTTTCTTCATGGTGCCAATCATCATTGATTTTTATTTACACTATTGTTAGTAATATTTGTTAACATTTAATTTATATAATTATATATTAATTAGTTATATATTATTATATATCTATATACTAATAATATAAAAAGGTAAAGTTTGTGAGTTTGTGACATTGTAGGGGGTAATCTCTGGATCTACTGAACCGATTTAGATGAAGTTTGGTAAGAAATAATTTGAGACCCTGGGAAGGACATAGAATTATTTTTATCCCGGAAACCATCCTTTCAGGGGGTGAAAATGGGGATGAAATTTTGTATTGGGAAGCAAGCTAGGGACGAACCCGAGAGTAGCGAGGGTGAGTCGCTAGTTTATTATATAATTTTTAATGTCGACGATAATAAAATGATAAAAATATAACTAATATTATATACATATTAGTAATACTTTTTCCTTTCAACACTGAACCTAGAGCCCTCTGCTGGTGCACTTAAAAACTAATTCACGTTCCAATTAAGCAATAGCACACTTCGGCACTGTGGGCTATAGTACGGCATTATGCTCTGTAATTGGAAAACAGGGTTAGTATATAAATAAAAAATATATATAAATATATTATAAAAAGTAGTCATGAGGACTGCCGACAAAAGTGAAAACTTAAAACTACAGACAACCAGTTGTTAGGTATTTTTGGATATTCAAATTAAGTTTTAGATCTTAAAAGTATATAAATTAATCTTTAGTGCAAGTAGCTTTAGGAAACTATACAAAAAAGCCTTATTAAAAAGGCAACTTGTTGCAGAAGACTTGAAGTACTCCTATACTGTAGAAATGAGCCTAAAACATTATTTTTAATAATAATCATTATACTTGCTTTAATAAGCCATTATACATTCATCCTATTGTACTCTTATTTACTCGCACATACAAGCACGCACGTACACACATTAATATACACATATATTCGTTCACACGCACACACACACACACACGCACGCACAAATACTTTTATTTTTAAATTTTATTTTTGTTTTCATTACTTTTTTTCTCTGACTTCTGTAGAGGTTAACTGGAGGAATAGTCCTCTTGCATTGCTCCCGCTCATCACTGGGTGTAACTGAAAATCAGCGCTGCTTGAGATTAAGGTCTTAGCAGCATTAGCTGAGTTATTACCCTTTGCCATAAGTTACTTTAAGCCTTACTGATTCTGTTAACATTTGGTACTGTTTTTATGGCAATAAACACTTTTTATTATTGTTATTTTATTATTAAACTAGCGGCTCACCCTCGCTTCGCTCGGGTTCGTCGCTAGGTACGTTTTAAATAGATATAAAAAGAAAAAATCTTTCTTTCTCACATTTTAATTATATGTTTTAATACTTACCTATTCCGGACTAAGAGAAATCCAAAAATTAAAATATCATAAAAATTGGAACGCGGTCGAACGGGATAAAAAGTATCCTATGTCCTTCTCCTGGCTCTAAACTACCTCCCTGCCAATTTTCAGCTAAATCGGTTCAGCCGTTCTTGAGTTATAAGCGAAGTAACTAACACGACTTTCTTTTATATATATAGATTATAAATTAAAACTGTTTACATTTATCTGGTTTTGACATCTATCGGCATTCGGCAATCGGCACTCTGAGTGTGACCTCATAAAAGTGACCATGTCGATGACGACTTACATGAATTTACTCCCTATCCAAACCTGTCTATCTATAGAAGTTCTCACTTCAAAAATATACATTAATAGATATGTAAAAATAAAATGATTTTGTTTTTAGTCCAGGCAAATCTATAAATTCAAAACTGGTTTGCTTTTATACATGAATAGAGACTAAAAGAACTTTTATAAATTAAAAATTTTGATTATAACTTTTCGAATACGGCCATCAAATCTATACTTTTAGTTATTGAGTCTTTCTGTATAGTAAGTCTCAGTAACAGCCCGGAGTTGGGAAGTTGGCGGTGTTTCACCCCCGTGCCTCGGAGAGCACGTAATGCTGTCGGTCCTGCGCCTTAACTCTCACTGGTCGTGTCGAGCAGTCGTCCCACCGGAGTATGAGAGTGACAGGAATAGAGATGCACCTGTGTCTGCGCGTACACTTGTGCACTATAATATCTCCTGCGCAGTTGGCTAGTCTCAATGAGATTGGCCGCCGTGGCCGGAATCGGCTAGGAGAACATCATCATCAATATAACCACAGATCATATAATACTATACGTATAACCATACTACACGTACCTGCTACCGCATTATTGCGGTCACAGACAGACTGACAAAAAATATAAAAACTATAGATACAGCAAACATTGTCATGGGAGACTTTTGAAAAGTCCAAAACCTTAGTCTCTCCCAAGCTTCCTCCGCCCGATTAAGCAAACATAAATTAAGCAAAGTCAATTTTCATTAAAGAAAATCTACTTCTAAAAATACAAAATTTATCAATATTTTCTAGCCAGTGACAAGATTGGCTACCTTTTTAAACTTTATTTTAATTTGTAACCTTTAGTTTTGTTTCGGTTCGAATAATTTATGAGTTATGAATCTTATAATGACCCGTATTCAGTCAGATACAAATATTCTAATAAATAACTGAAATATTGAGTCCATACTAAAAGAGGATAAATTTTTCCTCATTGGGGAAAAACCTATACTTTAAGAAATTATTACATTTACAATAAATATAAACAAGTCTTATTGCTAAGATTTTATTTTACAATTAAGCAGGCTTGAATGGTGACATGTTTTTTCCATAAGGAAAAACTACAGTGATAGAAAATATGTTCCACTTATTAAAATTATACCGTATGTCAAGACATCGTAGGCGTAGATTACAATTAAAGGCAATAAATACTTCATGAAAACTGAGATTACGAGTATTAATTGTTTTTAGTAATTGCAAAGGTTATTATTTTAATTAAGTAATTATTTTTTATATCATTTTAAGTTAACTAAAGTGTATTTGAATTTTAGAAAAGAAAAATAATGAAATTAAGTTTTATTTCTTGAGTTTCTGTCGAAGCTTAAACTACCTATAACCACATATTACGTACATATATCAACGTATCAACCAAAACAAATTTTCCAGCAGTAGGTACTGATTTTTAAAAGTTTGGTTTTTTTTTCAAATTGTTATTCTAATAACATCTAGGTAGGTTAGATTAGATTAGTTATATTCACGTTACGAATACACACTTAGATTAGGAATGGCGTGCACATTCAACTTGCTATTATAATTAGGTAGATAGTTCTTGTCTCGTGATAGAAGATTTTACTGCGCAAAAAGAAGTGAATAAAGAATGGAAAATACGCGAATTCTTCGCGAATAGCGAAAATGCGCTCGTAAATCAATCTGAAGCGTGTGCTTCAGATTGATTTACGAGCCAACATTGTGTTAACAGCCACTTATATTTTTTATGAATACCTAATCATTTTTTTTTTCACTTTTATACTAAGAAAATAAACAAGAACTTGATGTTATTTACCTATTTCACTAAACCCATTTTTTCCTGCTAGACCGGTATTTTTGTGTGTTGACCTCCTCAAAGAGGCTTCAATTACAGCGTTGCCTACCCGTCTTCAGATCTATCAAGTGTTCATGAGATTAGGTTTGGAATAGATGGCTGCAGCCTAAATGGCTTCAGGTATAGCTCACTGTTTTAGTTCCTAATACCCAAGCATCTGACCAGTTGGGCATGATCAGCAATCAGCAGATATTTATAAGAATATACCTTTTTGGAATCTATTTCTTTTTTTATAATTTTACATAAATATAAAACAGCATGTAAATCGGCATTTAACTCTATCTATTGATATTTATTAAGAATTATTTTTGTATTTTTCGTTTTGACGCTATGAAACGAAAAACAAAACCGGTGTTCGCTACATACAACCGAACCTAACATGACAGACCTAAGATCATTCCTTATTGGTCATCTCGTAGCTAATATAAAAATTATTCCATATGTTATGTTAGGGTATAATGACAGTTTGTGTGTTCCTATCTATAAAAAGTACCAGGAGCAACCCGTACGATATACCGCCAACTGAGGAGGGCCACCGTCCATTATGTCTCGTGGCTTCACGGCCGGCTGGAATGCCGGACGCTAATGAGCCCAACCCTACAAAAAGTGTTTTAATCTCACTAATCGGACTATTACTACAATCTCGAATAATATAAAATAATGAATAATATATATCGAATAAAATAATGCGAAAGCTCATATAAATGTGTGTGAATGTTTGTTACTCCCTCACGCTTAAACGACTGGACAGATTTGGATAAAATTTCATTAACCTGGAGCACACAGGCTATGCACGCCCCCAGCGAAAGATAAGAGAAAAAAGGAATATTAATAGTTTACGCCCTAATAGCGAAGGTATAAATAAATAAATATTTTTAATATTTATTAAAAATCAATCTTTGAATCAAAATTATATTTTTGTTTAAATGCTGATAAAATTTACAAAGCTGAAGTTTAATAGCATTACACACCTAACTTCTCTTTTTTTAAGAATTATGTGAATCTAAGGGTTTTTTATTTCAACCGAGTAAGTTGTCGAGTTACATTCTACTTCGTAGTATTTTTCTGAGTTGTAAAATTTGCCAATGACATCCTTATAACTATACTTATAGACTTATGCCCTAGATACGGGTCTGAACACAAAACCTTCGTCATCGGTAAAAATCCTATTTAATTTACCTATTGCAAAAACAATATAATGACAATGCAATATGACGAATTCATACACACAATGATGGATCCAGGCAATTTCACAATAATTGTATTACTTCAGTAGCTACTTAAGTACTTACTTATCTAACAGGTTATTCCCAGGACAAATAATTACTAACTAGACTTAACAATAAGTAGGAAATAAAAATATATTATTGTTTTATCAATTATTTCATTAAATAGATTCATTCCTATTGAGTGCGTACTTTTAATAACGCTTATAACATGATGTTTTTAACCATCAACATTTTTTTAGCTAAACTTCATATGAGATCGTTTTAGGTGTATCTTTTTTATTTTTTATGAACGTTAATTTTTATCAGTAAATAATTACTAAATTACATGCAGGGGCAACTCGCACCGACTGCCACAATTTCAATATTTTCGGAAGTACATATTAATTTAAAAAAAAGACAGTTCAAAAACGAAGTGGTTAATATTGTTCATTATCTAAATGCTAAAATTACCACAACGCATTCCTGTTATATACACATATAGATAAACATTAAAAAAGTATTTTTTGAAATTAACAGCTCAAGTGTGAAAATTTGGAACAATTTTATATAAAAAGGTTTGCTGGCCCTATTCATTTTAAAATTTATCCCTTTTGTACCTTACGAAATTTGTGTTAGAAATTATATTTATTTTGAGAAATGTCAAATTAAAAAAGCTACAGTACAAAGCCGGGCAGATCGCTAGTACTTCAAAAGCTTTATTTAGTGTAAATTTGTAAAAAAGATTAAAACGTTGCTAGTAAGGGTAGATGATATCTTGATATATTTAAAAACATATTTCTGTAAAAATAAATTACCCGATCATAAATTTACAGGATTAAAACACAAAAAAAATTAAATATATCTATGAGTTACGTGCCACAGAATAAATAAATTACAGATATTTTACTTTGTGATTGTACCATAAAATATTTTTATGAAGGTAGGTACAATATAACTTACCTACTGTCTTCAATGTGTGTACTACAATATACCGGATCATTTTTGAAAAACTCACTTTAGCCCAGTCGAATTAGTTCAAAAAAGGGGCCAACAATGCATTGGAATTCTTTGAGAGGGGGGGGGGGTCACTGGCAGTCTAAATTTAGGTTTCCGGGGTACCATACCAGACCCGGTGCGTCATCCGCCATCTTGAATTTAAGGGTTGATTTTTGTTTATTGAATAACTCGTTTATTTTCAATTTTACACGAAAAATAAGTCTTTGTTTGAGTTCGAAATTAAATTTCCTACAATTTTGGTTCTTATCAATTTTTTCCTAGGATCGATATTTTTCGATTTATACCCGAAAAGAGGGGGTGAATTTTTGTTTATTGAATAACTCGTAAAATCTCAATTTGACACGAAAAATGGTTATTACCAAAGTTGTTTGGAATTTCCTATAATTAAGGTTCGCTTCAATTCATAATCACTGCACTAATTGCTGACGTGAACTTATTTATAGAAGATATTCATAGTATGTGCAGAACCTAAATTTTAGCTGCCAGTGACCCCTCGAAAGAATTCCGAAGGAAAATTGCCCGTAAAAATGGTTGCAATGTCAAATCCTAATTCGACTGGGCTACTTTGCTCACAAAAAATTAATTATAATAATATAATATCCAAAATAATTGATTAAGCCAACGATAATAATAGTGTAAAATATTTACTTACAAGATTTTTACATCTGTCTCATGAGGCGAGTGATATGCACAAGATATTTCTTAACTTCCTAATATTCATAGACCTGCTGACATTCGTTTAACTCTGTAGCTCGATTAAGGTATACAAGACCTAACTTTAAATACGTAACTAGTAAAAAAATACATTATTTATATAAAAATACCCAATATGAAAACGGGAAATAAAAATATTTTTACTTTGTAACGTCTTTACGCTGTGGGCTTTTAATATATACTTAATAAATAAATAAATAAATATTATAAAAAATATTTCAAATATGCGGATGGATGATCTATCTATAATATTCTTTGCGATAGCGCCCTTCCCTAGCGAATATGCGCGGGGCGTAAATATATAGCTTGAAAGTTGCGAGGTCGCAGCGTTCCGAATCATTCACTTATTGCGCGACCTGCACCTCGCGTCTATTTGAACTTTAAGGTAAAGAAAAACGTTCTTCACACAAATATTTTGTATTTAATTTAACAAATGCCGAAATATTATATTCGCTAAAACTTAAATCATAATTATTTTACTTTTGTATATGAATATATTATTTTTTTGCACTATATTGCTCCACTAACAATTTTTTGTATACCCATGTTTTGGCTGGAAAGGAGACCGTCTATAACTAATTTTAGTCTTTTAATTTCTGTACTGTATTTATTTGTAATAAAATATAAATATATTTGCGTATTTGTGTCGTACTGATTTTTTTTCAATTATTGTATTTTACATAATATATAAATAAAACAAGGTATGTCTACTCTTGGTTTTAGACCTCGCTACGGGTAAATTGTAGGTCAACCATAAATGTACCTTAGTTTTCTTTCCATATTCAAGAGAGGTCAGGTTCGGCGGCAATCAGTTTGTCTAAAATTCAAAAGTCAGCATTTGTCTTCACAATTCATTTGGTTCGCATATTTAAGCAATCGCTGTCAATTCGTTGATATTTCAACACCCATATAGAACCAGTCTCTAAGAATACTTTAGGATCTAAAGAACCGAAAGGGCCGTGACCTAGTTTTATTTATTCTGTTTTGATTTTGGCTCCAAAATTTTAATGTACTTGAATATAATCATGGTCATCTCATAAACTGGTGTGACATGACATATTACTCGTAGAAACTGACAATTATTTTCTGTTTATAGGAATTATAAAAGATGATGTTTAGTTACTTTCTCACTGTTCTTGCCGTGGTGGCTTACACTGAGGGGTACTCTTCAGGAGCCCCTGAAAGTGCATGCCAGGATATGATCCCGCGCCACCCCGTTGAGCCCCAAAAACGACCAGCTCCATACATCATTACCACTAGTACCAAGGTAAGAATTTTATTTCCAATTAATAATTTATTATTATTCATTACTATTTTAATTTGACGTTAAATATACGCACAGTGCAATACAAAAACTTGCAGAAATGTTTTCAATTGATTTTGTTTTGTTCTTCTGATATAAAAAATCGTTATTATAAATGTATGTATACGGCTTTATTCGTTTAAAAAATTATTAATACTTCTGACTTTATTTTCAATAAATAAATAAAAAATTAAAGCTATTTAAAGAATTGTTTTATATGTATTTTATATTTTATTAGTACTTATTAAATAAGAGATAAGAATTACAAACATAATATATTATTGAATAAATATTACAAATATTAAATCGCTGTTTTACCCATAAGGCCGCCTTATCTTGTGCATTTTCCTATCAATGGGTGTATTGTTTTTTTTCTTAATTATTATTAAAATGACTTAGCGACTATCAATATATAAAATAGATATTTGATTTACTAATCTGTACGTATTCGCATAAAACCTAATGTGTAATTTATTTTAAATGACAGGAAGTCAAGGCGGGAACTCCTATGGAGGTCACTATTGCCGGAAAGTCCTCCGCTGACACTATCCGCGGTCTGATGCTTCAAGCGCGTACTGGGGACAAAGGGGACAAAATCGTTGGTCTCTTTACAGTGGCACCCAACGACCCACTCGCCAGGACCTTGAAGTGCAGTGCCAACGGGGTAAGTAAACGTTCTCAGTACTTTAATTAAAAAAATTGAAAAACAGTTTGACATGCCAACTTTAATATCTAATAATATTTAATTGCATTTTTAATCCTATATAAATTAGAGTACTTAGAGTAAATTTTGAGATAATGAAATATAGAACCTCATTTTATTATACCTACAATTTATTCGGGTGATCGATTTTCGCGAAATTTTTCGCAAGGAGCTTGAGGATTGTATTGCAGATATATCTAATACTTGTACTTAATATACATAAGCAAATAAGAACGCGGCTTAACCGAAGGAAGGATTTTAAATTAAAAAAAAGCATTTTTTATAAATTGTATTACCTACTGTGTAGGGCGTAGTTAAAGCTAAGAATCGTAATGATACGACGACGCGATGCTCTCATGCTACGAAGGCTCTTATGTGTGTATATCTTATGTTAGCATTTTTCCCCACATCCTCGAATTCTTATTAATGTATAATTTAACGTTCAAATACTGCACTTGGTTTAGGAATGCAGAAGTTTAATTGTATTAATTAAGGTATAGTGAATCATAAATCTATACAGATAAATAAAATTGATAGTTTAAAGTAGGTATCTGTTTGTAATGTCAAATAACAGCTTTTTACTAATTATATTTATGTGAAACTATCAGCACCCGCGGCTTCACTCGCGCTAAAACTACAAAAAAAAACTAAAAAGGTAGGTTCCATAAAACCTTTCATCCCCTTTTTTACTCTCTTATGGGATGAATTTCGAGAAATGCTAAAACACGTACTTATTTAATTATATTGAAGAGCAATAATAGCACGTTTCGGTAATTCTGATAATAAATTATTTTTTGGAATGCATTATAACGTGTTTTTCCGTGGGAATGAGATAATGTCCTATGTAACTCTCCAGCTCTCCAACTATCTTCACACAAAAAATCACTCCAATCCGTCACTCCGTTTTAACGTGAAAGAAGGACAAACAAACAAACAAACAAACAAACAAACAAACAAAGAAACAAACAAACACACTTTCACATTTATAATATTAGTATGGATTATATACGGTACTTATAAGAAAAACAAAATTTTTAAAATTTTTGTTTGTCTGTTTCGGCTAATCTGCGAAGTGTCATTGCCAGATAGTTGATGTTATAAGCAGTAACTTACGCTACTTTTATTTTAGAAAAAGAAGAGTCTCGTTAAAAAAACTTAAAACGTACCTATAAGTCACTACTAAATTATAAAATTGTTCGGTTAATAACTTTTTTACCAGCCTGCGGCAGCCCAAAGGGGAATTATTAACATTCATAATACTTATAAAAAGTCATAAACTTTTTTATAGAATAAATTGTGAAACAAAAAATTCTGTGTGTAAAATTGTAAACGAAACATAGGAGAAAAAGTTAACGAGCAAAGATTTAATTAATTCTTTGGACAAGTATAATTTGAAAGTGAATTCTTATCCCTTCTGCACTCTAATAAAACAAGAAAAGGTTTTTAAGAAGAATTACCTAGGTACTACTAATTGGATGCACGTCATAGTTCGATTAATTGAAATGAAAAATATGAAATACGCAGTTGAAATTGTTTGTTATTGAAAAGACAGTAATTCTTAACAACATAAAAACGCAACATAATACAATCAATTATTTAAACACACAATAATTATTTACAATAAATAAATAATTTAGATTATACAATGGTATGGTATGGTTTATTTTTTATTAATGAATATATACATAGGTAATATATGTAAATTTGTTACTGAGGGTGGCTTCCTAAGTAGAAAGACTCATGCTAGCCACTACACCACCGAGGCAGACATAAAAGTTAAATATTATGTTATGTACTAATATATACATGTAGTACAATGATTGTATAGTATATATACCTACCTATATTTCATTTTACAGTTTAACGTAGTCAAAGCGGGTGGCTTGTCTAGGTGTTTGAATAATATTTACAATCTCTTTAAAATGAATATTGTAGATAAAGAATTTATTTAACTTCCTTGTTACGTTTTTGTTATGCTTACTGTCACAAACACAATATGCACCGTACATATAAAAAAGATTGTAATCATTTTATCTTTTTTTGCTACTTGCTAGACCTTCACGTTAGTTTTTTTTTAAATCTTAAGTACCTAACAGAGATATAAATGAACTAAAATTCGAGGAGGCCATAGGTATTGCAAGTAGATTTGAATTTTTCTACTATAAAGTTTTTAAGGATTGTGAGATTTTTAATTTACAAAGACTTTAATTTCTAAAGGTCTTTCGTGTAAATATACTTCAAAATTAATTGGCTAGTTAGATATTACTATATACTCGTATATTTTATTGAAAAGATTGCTTAATATATGGCCATCAAATTTATTTTAGAAATTTATTCAATTGAAATTTTAAATACATATAGGTATAACATAACCTTGTTATGGCTATCTTACTCGTAAAAGATATTATGTATATATGTAAAATCAAAACAAATCAGGTATGATTCCTTGACATCGAAAGTTTAATTACTTTTTTATTTCTACAATTATAAATATTAAAACTTTTTATATACTTAAATATAAAAAGTTGCTTGTCCTGACTGTTTAAACCTCTTAAGAAATATAATTTAATTCTTTCCCTAAAGGGCTAAAAATCGGTAGTAAAGTTCGTGCAAAACATTAATTTTGACATTTCAAATATTACATATGTGGTTACATCAAAATGACCTAGCTCTGTGGTCTGAATCTCTGCGCCAAAGATCGTGGGTACCTTTCCAGAAAACATTTCTATTTCCTATATTCATATCTTATACATATAATAAAATTGTAACTAAGTCGAATCTGTACATTCAATATTTTTTGGAAAATCTAATTGAAATGGACATTATTATCGATACAGAGTCCGAATCTATAGTTTTTAGAATTTTTGTCTGTCTGTCCATCTGTCTGTCTGTCTGTCTGTTACCGCATCACGAGAAAACCACTGGACAGATTTTGATGAAATTTGGTATGATGATAGCTGGTTATCCGGGTCAACATATAGGATACTTTTTACTTCGGGAAAATATTTGTACTGACTTAAACTTAGCGTAAACGCTAACTCAGCGCTCAATTAACGATTCGTAGCTGTTACCGTATTAGTATGTAGTAATATAATATTATGTTATATTTTGCAAATTTGCAAATTAAGTTTCACTTTTAATAATATATTCATTTATGCTTTATTTTTATAATATGCTTATTATTCATTTGAACACTATGTACGTCCGTGGGCACATAACTCATTTAATATTTACCTAAGGGTTATACTTGGAATTAGATGAAAATTAATTGGAATGTATTTTTTATATTGTTTAAACTTCGATTGTAGTACCAATAGTACTTTAGTGAACTAATTTATGTGTTTCTGTATGAAATAGGAATTAAATAAAAATCACATAAACACTTAGATATTAAAATGAAGATTGTGTCATGACCTCCGTTTTATGTGGAAACAGAATTTATATACTAAAGCTCAATCTAAAAACATGTAGGCGTCACATGACTTTGCTCCTCATGTTTTTTATTTTTTATTTTTAATGAAGAATTAACAATAACTGTTATGTATAAACTATTATGTACAGAATATAGACCCCAAAACAATTTATTTTTTAGTTATAATTTTTTTTGTCTGTAGGTATGTCTTTATATGTGCGTGCGTTTCATGCAGAAAGTATTGCACGAATTTTAACTAAATTTTGTGCAGTGGTTATTACTTATTACTCGAGTCAACATTTAGGATAAATGTTATTAAAAGAAAATCTTTCATTTCCACGGAAAAACACAATAACTGGTTTTGTCGAGTCGTCCTTATAAATTTACGTGGCTAACCTTGCCTAAACCTTAAGAGATACATCAAAACAATGTACTAGAAAATTGTAGGTCTTAAAAAGGCTTACAAGACTTCAGAAAAATCCGCAATAGCATATGTCTATCTCCTAAGATACACTCGCAATTACTATTTTTATTTATTTAAAACGTATCTAGGGAGGCACCCGAGCGAAGCGAGGATATAAGTTGCCTATACTTAAAAATACTTATATTATATCAGTCTTTATGCACCTGGACAAACCAAATAGTGCTTAAGCACCATATATTGATTTTAAAATCATGACAATTATTTCGAAAGCTAGACAGACTAGTCAAGAAAAGGTATTATATTTATAAGTATACAAATGTAGATAGATTAAATAACTTTTTTTTTAATTTCAATATTATTATTATTTTAAAGTGTAACTACGTGGTACTATAATTATTGTAAATATATTTTCGTAATATATTTCGATGTAGCACTAATGCCATCATAAATCACAGCGCGACCTTATGCACTAACACAACAGCCTTGGGTGTTGTAATCTTTGCTTGTTGAAGTCCATCACAACGATATAAACCTAACTCATTTGCGCCACGACTAATTTTGTTAAACTAAATTGGTTATTCTACAACTATATTCATCTTAAATATATGCATGTGTGTAGGTACAAATGTTTTGTTATAGTAGCTATAACTCTTTAATATAAAAAGTTTTTATTTTTTAACGGTCGAAAAAAAAACTCGTAATTTTCTATTGATATACTACATATTAATCTTTAAATCCATACAAATAATAAAATTGTAACTAAGCCGAACCTGTACATTAAATATTTTTTGGAAAATCTTATTGAAATAAACATACAGAGGCCGAATTCATAATTTTTAGAATTTTTGTCTGTCTGTCTGTTACCGCATCAAAGAAAAACCACTGGAGGGATTTTGATGAAATTTTGAATGGTGATAGCTGGTTATCCGGGTCAACATATAGGATACTTTTTACCGCAGGAAAACATCTCATTTCTGAGAAAAAATACAAAAACTTCAATGTAAGAGTATACTAATATGTAAAACCTAAGAATTTGATTTTTGTTCATCTGAACGCAGGCGGAGAAGCGGGCAAAGCTAGTCGTGATATAAGTAATTATCTCAGTTCAGTAAATCCAAAAAAAGTTTTGTTACTTTGAATCGAAAAAAAACACACATACAATCGCTGGTAGACTTAAATTGACCAAGACATGCCCCATGTAAACGAGACCCTTTAAGAAATCCTTTTTCGGTATTGGGTCCCAGTACCTATTCTGGAGGAAGGATGAAGGTTTTATTATAAGGGGGTAATCTCAGCGGAGAGTTAATATTATAGAATACATACATATAATATAGGTACCTATAAAAGTTGAATAAATGCAGATGAAACTTCGTCCTGAACTTTTGTTATTTAAGATACAGGTAGTTAAAAATTATATTATAAAGGTTTAAACTATAGAGATATATAATATCATTTTTACTTAGACTAAGCCAAAAAAATAAGTAGTTATTTACTTATATTTTTTATGGTTTTAATTTTACGCGTGCATTATATATATATATATATATATATATATATATATATTATGTTATTTGTTTAGATTATCTCATTTTTTATTAGTAATTATTTGCAATAATTATACTTAAACTATACATAAAAAGATCAAAGGGATATTATTCAACTCGACGTATACGTCCAGTCGCAAACCCAGTCGCTTTCAATGGAACTTATCAAATGACTGGTTATTTACCTACTTTCCAAGAATTTTTGCGTTTGTTACGTGGGAATTAAGTGCGTAAAATATAATTAAAGCCTAGCTCACAGTTTATTCTTTGAATTTCAAGGCTTGTTATTTGGCACACTACACACTGTAGCTTTTATTATGTTTGCTGGGTATTGTTTGATTAATTTTTCTATATACTTTGGACAAACACTTCGCACAATATGTAAGGGTACTTATAATTATTAAATGTAGGATACTTACCTACATACCTATGCCTTTTATAAGTTTATAGTTCTGCACATTTACGGGACACTCACGTGCTTTCCAGACTATTTTCTCTTGATCTGGAAATGTAAAAAATTAGTGGCCGAAAATGTAAAAAATTAGTATTTATTATTAGGATTGTAATAATTCATGAAAGCATGGTGTAGACTACGAATATTAATATTATTTGTAGAATGTAGTGAAGGGTCTATACCTAAGGTATAGCATTTTAACTAAATTATTCGATAAATTAAATTGTCTTAGACCTGTAATGTATGAAATTCCAAATGACACTATGAAAGCCTGCCGCCCACTTGGCTATTACTTGTTATTAGACAGTTAATTTATTAACAATATATTTATGAAACAATAATTTTTATTTTCAGGATACAGTCACTCACAAGAAACATGACCCTAAGGAAGACAAGCAGTCCGTCACTTTCACTTGGACTCCCCCTGCGGACCTCAACGACATCATCAAGTTCAGGTGATTAATTTCATTTTAAAATGCTTATTTCACGATTCTCGCCCTACTATTATAAATGTAAAAGTATGTGTATGTATGAAATATGTACATATGTTCGTTACACCTTCACGCTGAAGCGAGTCGAAAAAAAAATCAATTTTAGTATGTATTCAGCCCTTTTTAACGTCCCACTGCTGGGCTTCCTTTCAGTACAAGGGGATCAGACCATAGTCCACCACGCTGGCCAAGTACGGGATGGCGGACTTCGCATGTCTTTTGAACACTAACTAGGTTCTATCAGACATGCAGGTTTCCTCAAGATGTTTTCCTTCACCGTTAAGACAATTGGTAATCATGTTGGAAATGATTCGCACATAAAAATAACAGAGATACGAGACCCGAGATTTGAACTCGCTAGACTCGGTTTCCAAAGCGAGCGCGTTACCAGTTACCACTAGGCTACCACTACCTTTATTTTAGTATACAGATAGACTATGCACTGAGGTAACATATAGGCTAGGTAGATATTTTTAGGCATCTAAAGACGCACCCTAGCGAAACGAGGGTTAGTTGATAGTCTTATACATACATATACATATGTAATATATTTTTTACATTTCAGAGCTACTATTGCCCTCAACGGCGCTGTCTTCTGGGTGGGCGTCGAGTCTGCTCCCGTCAAAGTTATCCAGTAACCAATAACATTAAGTTATAATAATAATTTATCAACAATTAAGTTACATTTATAAAACTTTCTATTTTATATTATTTAAAATGCTGTGAATTGTAATTTATAAAGATTTACATAATTATAAAGAAATAAACAAACAATTATCAATAAATTACGTTTTTTTTTATTTCAAAAACATAAAAGTAAAAAATACCGAAAAGTTGTAACATATTTATACTAATTGTAGCACCTAGTAAAATTGTCTTAGAGATCAATACAAAAAATTTGTATATATTTTTATAGGAACAAGCACTCATATTAATAGGCAAGGTTACTCAAGGCAAGTATGAACAAAACTAAGTAAATATTACTTGACTGTGAATATGAGTGCAAACTTCAGAACATCTTATATGAATAACCCAAGTGTGTGAATCATAAAGCATATGTGTCGCATTTAATTAAGCCTAATTTTAAAATCAAGTATGATTACCTCCGAGACAAAGCAATTCCACTGAGTTTGTAACTACCTACTTAATACTATCACTATAAAAAATTTAAGTCTCAATTATGGCAGTTAATGGATATTGAAAATTATCTTATTTGTTATCTTAGGTTAAAAAGATGAAATGAAATGACACTACAAGCTTACGTTACATATCGATGAAAACTGACATCTAATACGAGATGCAATAGCAATGTGTATTCAAATTTAAGAATATCGGCGTGTACAAGTAAAACGTTATAATAGTTGTTACATTATACAGTAGAAATATAAAAAAAAACAAATCGTCAGCTTTACAATTTGCTTGATATTTATTGAGTGGTAATAAAGGTTGCGAAGATAAATGTATATAAAAATATTAACTTAGAAAATCATTTTTATCTAATAATTATTCTATTAGTTCTATGACGCAAGCAACTGGACGATATAAATTTCAATTCTTAATTATTTTTATTATCTATCTAGGCCATTTTCTAGGCTAATATTTTTATATATATCAGGGCCGTGCGGTACGATGCAAAGAGGCAGCCGTCTCAGGCGGCACAAAATAAGGGTGGCATTTGGAGCTACAAATACACCAGACACTCATGTGGACTCAAATTTCTCATAAAAAGAACCCCTTTTTTTCGTAATTTGACAGAATTGTCTCGCAATCACCTACCTACCTTTCAGCAATATAAGTAGCTCCAATATATATTATAGTCTCTCAAGTAATATTACTATGTATTACTAATGAATATTATCTAGGGGCAGCATTACCAAAACTTGCATCATACTGAGAGAATCTACCGCAAGACCCTTATTGATACATCGTAATCAGATTCAGATTTACTCAAATCATATCCCAATAGAATAATACAATTAACCTGATTTGAAAGCAATAATTATCTAATTTGATAAACAATAATGCCTAACTAAATCATAAATATATTCTATAGAAGAATCTTAGGTAAATGAATGTATCAAATCAATTATTTATAAAGAATAAGGATATAGGATTCAATCTGGAATGATATTATTAAGAAAAGCTTCCTAACATTTCACAAAGGAATATGTATATTAAATGATAAATTCTATTTTAAGGCTCATATATTCCAAGCGTTATATATTTCAAGCTCAGTAGTAAATTATTATTATTCACATGATATCAAGAGGATGGAAGTAAATTACATATACTAGTGGAAGATGATTATAGCAATTTGAGCTTTTATGAAAATTTGGAAATATCCAAGTAAATGTTTAGAAAAGTCTAATTGACATCTACATACAATTCCTTAAATAGACACCAAGTACATTACAGTGTGTAGAAACATTGGAAAGGGTATATTTAATACTACAATAAAATAGGCATAGCTAGGGTTTATCATATTTGAACAACTTTGTCTTAAAAAATGATACCATCTGTAATTGTCTCCAAATTAAAATTAAATGAGATTAAAAAGTTTACTTCCTAAGTAAGCAAATCTAGTCTAGCTATGTCTATATGTAAAAGGATATGTGACATAAAGTTAGTAGTTGTCACTATGATATTATGTACATAGATTTAAATAACTTTTTAGATGTTTTTTTTTTGATGATAGTCAAAAAATCTCTTTGATAAAGGGTAAAAGCTAACAAATCATAAATAAAAAATCTTGAAAGCACATATCCTTGTAACCATAAATCACATAATACTATACTAGTACAGATTGCCTCATCCCATACAAAAATATTGGACAGTGCTAATTCGGGCTATTTTTGTTTGCTTGAATAGATAATAGATGTTGTTGATTCGCAAATAAACTGTTCTGTTTTATAAATATGTGCAAACTAACGTATGGTAAATATTGTAAAATTCAACCTGCATTCAAATAAAAAAAACAGTGATTTTAACCTTTCAAAGCATGTGGAGCCACAGGTGGCTCGGTTAACAATTCATTTGTTAGAATTTAACCACGAGGTGTTAATAATTTTTTAGACAATTCATAAAAAGCAAAAGCACCATCTGTGAATATACACTACAAACCCATCATCTGATTGTTGATATTACAATAGTCAGTAAAATTACATAAATTTGATTTACAGACACATTATTTACTTCACTTAGAATATTTTTTAAAACAATAATACACCATTTTGGGACCCATTTGTTTATCTTTTGTTAATTTAATACATCATAACAAATCAATACATGTAATGTCATCTATTGAAATTTATTTGAACTAATTTTTCTTTTTTCATGATGAGACCCCATGCTTGTTACAGATACAATTTACCTGTTTTTTATAAAAGTTGTTCACATTAAAAAATACACTTATGATTCTAAATTTTCAGATTAATAAAGTCATATGACAACTAAAATAGTACTTAATGATGATTATCCTAATTTTGTATAATTTTATCAAATTGGCCTGGTCCTTCTATATAAGGAAAGATAACACAGCCTCCATAGCCCTTGTTTAATAGATTTTTCACATACTACATAATGCATATCAAAGGTATTAAATTGTCTTACGGACTTATTTAAACATATTATAAAACACAATATCAAATAAAATATTAAAAAGGAAACAAAGTAATTGAAACAAATTCTATTTGGCTTAAATTAAATGCATTAAAGAATGTCTTACTTAAATATGAGAAATCACAGTTAATACTGAACCAATAATAAATAAATACATACAATGAATTATAATTAATTTTTAAATAGAATATCAATGTTCCTGTATGAAATAGCTTTGTCTCTTGAGTTGTCTATAAAGAGATATATACTTTCCAGCAGCTGAAGTTCGGGGTACCACATACTGTTTACAGAAGAGTTTTGGGTCTTGTGCCCTTTCAGATAGCTCTCCACAGTCAAGTGCTCGTAAGAAGGCTAGTACAAAGGTGAAACAGTTATGTCTCTCTTCATTATACCTTTCTGCCTCCCAAAGTGGACTAAGGCTTACCTGTAAATAAATAACAATACATATAAAGTTTTTCAGTTAAAGTTGCAATCTAAAGTTTTACATAGCTGTAAACACTATTATCTATAGCTAATGTGAATTTCTAGGTTTAACTGAAAATTATTATTACAATATACAAAGTTACCTTTAATAAAACACTATCCCAGATTTCATTCCACAATTCATCGAACTGCTCTAATAGAAGGCATTGGTCCCAGTCTAAGCTGGTCTCACATTCACTCCATTTTTTAGACACAGGGTCAACACCCCTTATGCCCTCTTCACTGAACTCCAGAACATATCCTTGGGAGTTAGTGACCCCTATATGTAAATCTTTGGAGTTGTAGTAGTCACTGAAAAACAATACTCGTATTGTATTCTTATCTAGATGGGATATGAGTCACTTTCAAAGAACATACTACAATAACACGAAGTAACTAAAGTAACTTACTTAAGGAAATCACCATGGGTAGGTTTCATAATAATTGCCCGTGGATGCTGAGAAGCTTTTACAAAAGGATATGGTACTCTGAAATAAAAATAGGACGCTTAGCAACAAACTCTCTCTTTGAATATTCTAACGATGAACTTACTCTTACATGTACAAGTGAACTTACCTAAATGGAAGGAGATTGTAGTCATATCTATCTAATTTTTGTTGACAAACAGGGCATTTCTCTGGTATAATAGTACAAAAAACTTTGTGATCACAATGGTGGAAACAAAGAATACCCGGATCCATTTTTAGTACGGATTTCTTTGTTAAATATAAATTAAACTACCACTTTTAAGACACTCAGGTTAAAGTTTATGATGTTATTAATTTCTTTGGTAAAATAATATTATAAAATACGCTACACAATATGACTGACTAAGCAAAATTCTAATTGGAAACTAGAGTTATTGTTCCGACGTAGTTCTCCTTCCACATCTTGAAGGCCTCTAAAGTAACGTTCAAAATACTCACTCCCGATATACGACATTACTAAAACGTCAAAATCTACTTGAAATTCTTATTTTATATTAGAAAATAAAACTTATTTTTCAAAAAACTTATGATATTATAGTATAACTAATAAGAATTATTTCAAAAATTAAAAATATATACATATCGACAAACAAAATTCAAATAATAATATAAATATTGCGATCTGTATTAAACTTTGGAACGCAACTTTCTCTTCAATGTAAAAGTGACAGCTCCAAACAGATGATTAGAATTTCATTGGCTCTAGTAAAATACCTGATGGGTATTGGTTAAATTTATTTACTAGGAGATGGGCGGGAACTTTAAAACTTTTCTTCCTTTATGTTAAAATATTAAATGCTTTAAGGAAAGCAATCCAATTATTTAAGTTATTAGTTCAATATTTTATTAGACTTATAATTATCATCATTATCATTTAGAATTAGGTGTAATAAATTAATATTGTAAGCTAACAAAATTTTATAATTTTATTAATTTTTAATTCTTTTTAAGTCAGATTAAAATAACAGATTGTAATTTCTTGTTTTAAATTTTCTAATACAATGTATTGTGACTATTATAATGTATAAATATATCTAAATTTTTTATCAATAATTGAACAATTGACTGGGAGTATTGTGTTCGTGGTTACTATAGCAACATGATGGGTAAACCACACCTAAACGAGACCTAGTTCTCATAAATGAGTCGGACAGTAGGTGTACAAATTTTGGTCTTATAGTGAATATATTATATACTTATTTAACAAAAAGTTATTTGTTACAATGAATTTGCATTTATAACCCAGAAAAGGAAATATTTTTCAAGCGTCCTGCGGCCACTAATATTATAATATTGTCAAAATTAACTACGAGTAGTTCATAGTATTTAACAATGCTTCGGTCTTAAAGGTATCTAAATATAACTACGCTGACGATGCATCCTAGCAACCTGTTGTAGCTTAACATTAAAGAAATGTCTTCAGAAAGACACAAAAGTCATTGTGTATACTTGTGGTTGGTATTAATTACAATACCAGTAGTATCAGCGGGTATTGCTTGTCTTGCGAGTCCCTGTCTGCATGGTATTTGCATCGACGACATTAATAGGTAAGTTTAACACATTTTTTCTTAATATTGGGAAATTCACATTTCTTAATATTCTTGTATTTACCTACTAAATAGTACCGCCTGCATACATAGGTACAGGTGGTTAGTGGTTAGTGGGACTTCCCGGCTAGAAAAGTCAATGCTACACACTAAAACAAAACGGAACCATCCAGTCCATCCAATGGCATCACAGAATCACTTAACTATCAGAGAATTACCAGGAGCAATCCGCTTGTTACACTGCCTTACCAAGGTGGGCCACCTCCCACGTACTTTTCTGGGCTTCACGCCTGGCTGGATTGCTATCGACGCTAACGAGCCCACCAAGTCGACAAGATCAACACACATTGGAGCTTAATTTATTTAACAATAAGTAAAGACACTAAAAATATATATTATTTTACTTTCAGCACATATGCATGTTACTGCATCGACGGGTATACTGGGGTGCAATGCCAAACTAATTGGGACGAATGCTGGTCTAGCCCATGTCAGAATGGTGGCACGTGTATAGATGGTGTGGCTGCATACAACTGTTCATGTCCTGATGGGTTTATAGGTAAGGTTTCTCTTTCTGGAATTCTAAAGTTTCTGTATATAGGTTGGTACATTTATAGTACAATACGTGTGAGCGTTAATATTAAGTCTAGTATCAAATTTTCAACATCTTACTTTTTCTTCAACTTTAACCAGTTCTTCTCAGGTCTGAAACTTCTTCATTCTGAGCTGGTAGTGTTGTAATTTGTAATGGTATGAGTCTACTCATGACGTTCAGTAATTAAATGTAATAATTGTCACTCCACGGTATATTGCCTGGACATACTTTGGCGACCAGAGATACAAATTGCTTAGACCATTTTATGCTTAAGATTAATAAACAAAAAATATCGGCTTCAATTGCTATCTTACACACTAGTATCACCGATCACTACACAACTCTTTTATCATTATCCAAACTAAATAATATATATACTGCCAGTAAAATTAAATCAACTATAAATTTTGAAGAAGCTTATAAATACCTATTAGATAATAATCTTGCTAACCTTCTTTTCTGCGACAACCCGGAGTCTCTTGCTAACCTTTTAATACACAAACTAACTGAATCAATTAATAAAAATACAGTCCATCTTAAAATTCCAAATAGTAAACGCATAATAAAACCTTGGATTAGTCCAGGTATTCTTCGTTGTATAAATAACCGCAATAAATTACAAAAAAAACTTAAACACGACCCTTATAATGAATTATTAAAAATAGCATATATAAGATACAGAAACCATTGCAACAATCTAATAAAAAAATTAAAACGGAAGTATGAGACAGAATTAATTATTAATAATATTTCTAATAAGAAAAAACTTTGGGATAATCTAAAAACAATATCTTACTCTAACCAAAAAAATAATTATAGTGAAGAATTATTAAGTATAAGATCATCACCTCTAGAATCCGTTAACTACATTAATAATTATTTCGCGAACATCGGAAAAGATCTTACACAAAAAATACAGCCATGTCACTCTGCCTCCAATGACGACCATTATACATTGCCACCTTCACAACCTAATTCCTTCGTTCTGCTAGATGCAGATGAAGATGAAGTGAATCGTGTCTTAATGAGTCTTAAATCTGATAGTGCGTCTGGTTGGGATAATGTACCAACACGATTTCTTAAATATATAAGAAAGGATATCGTTCCTTTATTAACTCACCTTGCTAACCTCTGCTTTAGAAAAGGTATTTTTCCTAGTCCTCTAAAGCAGGCTATTATTACGCCTGTTCATAAAGGTGGGGACAGAGACGACATAACAAATTATAGACCTATTTCAGTATTACCCTCAATATCCAAAATAATAGAAAAACTTATTAATATTAGGCTTTTAACATACCTTAAAGATTATAATATCATCTCAAAATCACAATATGGATTTCGTCAGGGCATTTCCACCGAGCACGCAGTAACTGCACTAACTAAAATTGTAACAGAACAATTAGACAACGGTAAACCGTGTCTAACTGTATTCCTTGATCTAAAAAAAGCGTTTGATACTGTCTCTGTCCAAATTCTTGTAAAAAAGCTTGAACATATTGGGGTACGTGGAATTCCACTACAGCTCTTAAATGACTACCTCTCAAATAGGAAGCAGAAAGTTAGGGTTACTCATTACACAAGTGAATATACAGACGTATCATATGGTGTTCCGCAAGGCAGTGTCCTGGGACCTACTCTGTTTGTCATCTATGTAAACCAGCTCTGTAATATACAACTAACAAATACTAAGGTATTCTCATATGCTGATGATACAGCTCTTGTCTTTACGGGTAATTCTTGGCACGAGGTACGGCTTAATGCCGAAATAGGGTTGGCTAAAGTAGCCAGGTGGTTGTCTAAGAACCTACTCACACTGAACATTTCTAAAACAAATTATATATGCTTTAGCATATGTAAACGTAAACAACCTAGAGAAGATTTCAATATAAAAATACATCTGTGTAATAATGATAAAAGCACTACCTGCAGTTGCTTAAATATAACGAGGGTTCCATGTGCTAAGTATTTGGGTGTTTTCATTGACCAGAGATTATCTTGGCATTCCCAAATCGATCATGTGGCAAACAGAGTCAGAAAATTGAGCTGGATGTTTCGGTCCCTAAGACACATAGTCCCTAAACAAGTTTTTAGCAGCTCATCTCGCCCCAGAAATCTCTTGAATGAAATATATTTTGCCTTAGTACAATCAGTGCTATCATATTGTATCCCGATTTGGGGCGGAGCTGCTAAAACGAAGTTTATTGAACTTGAGAGAGCACAACGTGCTCTAATAAAATGTATGTACTTTAAAAAACTTACATTTCCAACTGAGAATCTGTACCAAGTTAGCACACTGCTCTCAGTTAGAAAGCTGTATATTACTCAAACTATACTAAAAGTACATAAGGCTGTTTCCTATGATGCGTCTTTAACATTAAAAAGAAGGAAAGAAAATATAATTAAAATCCCACAAACAAGAACAACATTTGCGTCAATGCAATTCGATAAAAGATCTGCACAATTATATAATAAAATTAACAGTATCATTTATGTTTACCCCTACAATTACCATAAATGCAAAAAGACATTAATAGATTGGATAAAAACCCTTAGTTACAATGATACGGAAAAACTGTTAGAACATATTCATTAAATACTCACACACGCACACACACGCGCACACACACACACGCGCACACACACACACACACGCGCACACACACACACGGACACACACACATACACACACACACACAAACACACACACACGCGCACGCACATACACACACGCACACTCACACACAATACACAAACAAATATATGTACGCTAATTTTTATTTTTATTTTAATTTTTTATTTTTTTGTTTGTCTTAATTGATCTATTTAAGTTTGTAGTATCACCCATAATATTATAATCAGCTAAAAGATAAAATTACTTTTTTATGAAAGGGCGGGGTCTCCTAATACAGGCAAATTATTTGCTTAAAAGGGGATCTCAACCACAAAATTTGAAATTTTGATTAGATTTGAAATAAATAAATAAATAAATTTTAAATTAATCAATTAATTATATGTTAATTTTTATTTTTTTTTTTTTTATTTCAATTTAATACTATTATTACTAAATAAAATATTTTGAATTTGAATTCTACTCTTTTTGATATTTTTAGGTAGATCGTATTATATATTTTATATATATTATGTAATAAAATTATAATTCGAATATGTACATTAAATTTTTTTGGAAAATCTTATTAAAATAGTCATTATTATCGATACAGAGGCCGATTCCATAGTTTTTAGAATTTTTGTTTGTCTGCCTGGAAACGCATCACGAGAAAACCACAGGACAGATTTTGATGAAATTTAGTATGATGATAGCTAGTTAACCGGGTCAACATATAGGATACTTTTTACCGCAAGAAAATATTATATCTCTGAGAAATCTATATTAAACGATGAAATGTAACAAGGGACGAACTCGAGCGGAGCGAGGGCGAGTCGCTAGTGTATATTATATAAAAGTAATTTTTGTCATAAAATTATATGATGTCTGTTAGACACAAATAAGTATACGAGTATGTATATTGTATATACATAATTAATAATTACGAGTAGTCCAGTGGTAACACGCTCTCTTGGGAAACCAAGTGAATCAGTTTCAAATCACGGGTTCGTACCTCTGATGTTTTCATGTGCGAATCATTTCCAACATTACCACTTGTCTTACGGTGAACATTGTGGAACCTGCATGTCTGAGAGAACCTAGCAAGTTTTCTAAAAACATTATAAGTCCTCCAACCCTTTGTTCTCTTCGCATTAAAGGGAGACCCTTGTCCAGCAGTGGAGCATTAAAAAGGGCTGAATACAATACAAATAAGACCCTGTACGATACCTTATCTTCTTAAAAACAAAAGTTAGAAAGTAAAAGCACTATGACTGATTACATTATATTATTATTTTCTCATTAATCAATAATTCATAACTGATAGTACAAAAAGGTAATCGCTCGGCTATAACTACGAGTACGTAGGTAATATCCTAGTAATATCCATTATTCACACGATGATATGACGATTGCGTGCTACCTGTATTGTTGATGAGGTTATTTCTACATAAATTAAAACATTTTAAAGAGAAATTATTTATACAAAACATTATTTTCTATATTGTCTTACAAAATAATTAAAATAAATTAAAAACTAAATTTTACATTTATATAAGAAAAACTTTGTCCTTATCCTTTTATCCTTAAGTATAGATGAGATAAGAATAAACTAGATGGATGAATTCTATGCTATTTAGGCATGAAACACGAAACTATGAATAAAAAAATATCTTTTTGTTTTATCGATTTCGTAAAAAGCTTTACCCACGTATCTGTCTCATATTTTTCTTAAAATCAATAGGAACCTATGAAAGCATCATGGCCGATTTTACTTATACTCATACGAAAAGAGCATTTTTCACAAATTAATTGTATATTACTGTAATGTTTAATATTTCACCACAATAATATCTATACATATAATAAAATTCTAACTAAGCAGAATCTGTACATTAAATATTTTTTAGAAAATCTTATTGAAATAGTCATTTTTATCGATACAGAGGCCGAATCTGTAGTTTTGAGAATTTTTGTCTGTCTGTCTGTTACCGCATCACAGAAAAACCACTGGAGGGATTTTGATGAAATTTGGTACGGTGATAACTGGTTATCCGGGTCAATATATAGGATACTTTTTACCGCAGGAAAATATCTCATTTCTGAGAAATAAAACCACGATGATACTATAATATATATTTTAGCAAGGTAACTTACTAAATAAGGCAAAAACCATTAAAAATAGCTTATCTTGAAAAAAAAAAACATAGTGCTATTTTATTTGGTTTTTGGTCATCTGAATGCGGGCAATGATAGTTAAGTATAAATGTGAACTTTGTTATTGTAGGTATGTTTTTTACTTCTTCATGCTGTAATTAATGGCTCGACTGAATTGAGTGAAATTCAGAATGGAGATAGCTTCTGTTTGGATTGATGTAATCATAATAGGTATATGATCTTATCGACATATTCGTATCTACTATACACAATAACTTCCTTACATTTATAGGCGATAATTGCGAGACAAATTTCAATGAATGTGAGTCCAACCCTTGCTTGAACAATGGCACATGTATTGATATGACCAATGAGTACATTTGCCACTGTATACCGGGCTTCTCTGGAGATCATTGTGAATTGGACGTAGCTGTATGTAACTCTACCGAGGAAGTCAGGTGTTATAACGGCGGAGAATGTATTGAAGGACCGGGATATAAGTTCTACTGCAAATGTTTGGCAGGTAAAAGTTTTATTAGTTTTAATAATTTACGATTTTAATATTAAAACATCCATCTTAAAACAATTCATGTTCACAATATACCATTTTGGAAATATAATTTATTTACAACGAAGGTTAAAATTAATCTTATACATAAGTACATATATCTTTTCCTAATGTTGTATTCCGATGTGAGTAGTACCTATTAGATACATACCGGCGGAAACAGTCAATAGATAAACGGATTATGGTCTTCTAACGTAGAGCGAGTAAAGCAATCGGTCCTTTGTCTGATTTATTTCCGGTCGTGTCGGGTTCATCGTCACATTGGGTTGCGAGTGTGAAGGTATAGACAGTAAAGCTGATTATTACACACAGGACAACATAATATCATCGTCGTAGATGTTTGACTTTACCTGTTATGGAGGACATTATTATGAGCTTGTCTTTAAATGTGAAGATAAAAATAAGTTAAAATAGAGTCGAAAAATAGAGAAATAAGTAGGCATACTTATAAAATGTTATTTTATAGGCTGGGCTGGAACAAAATGTGATGAACAAATAGACGAATGTCAATCAGACCCATGTAGAAATGGTGGCATATGCATTGATGTCCATGCAGACTATATGTGTGCATGTGCTTATGGTAAGATTCTTCTTTTTTAACCGATGAAAAGAGGAGGTTCTAAGTGTATAAACAAGTCGTGTATAAACATTCTTTTTAAGTTGGTCCCATTAAAATAAAAAATAAAATAATTTTGTTAAATGATTAAACGAGTTACACGATGACCACACCATCATCATCCACCATCACCATCGTCATCATATAATTTTCTTAATATAGTTAGTAGCCTTAATATATGGTTATTCTTATTGTATAGGATTACGAAAACAAAAAAAAACTCGTTTTTTTGTTTTTCTAATTTATTTTTTATTTACAGCTTTTTAGTTTTAGCCAACCAAACTATATATTATGTAATAGAAAAACACAAAGAAAACGATGTTTCTGAAAAAAAAACGCGATTTAAAAGCGAGGTCACTAAATTTAATTTTTTTTCTTTTTTAGGTTTTACAGGTAAAAGCTGTGAAGTTCAAATAGAATTTTGCGATGAGAACTCATGTAGTAATAACGCACTGTGTGTAGTTGAAGATGGCATACGAATCTGTTACTGTGTTCCTGATTATCACGGGGAGAGATGCGAGTTGCAATACGACGAATGTCTCTTGGGACCGCGGTAAGTCAATAGTCTAGGAGGCGATTGCAAAAAAGGTTTTATGTTGCCACACCTCATAATGTTCATATTGGAAATCTGGCAAACGACTTTTGCTGACATATCAAGTCCTTGGAATGCTTTGATTTTTTAAATTTTACTTCCATAAATTGTAATTTTTTTGTACTAGCCTGTAATGGAGTCTCGTATGATTCAAAGGTAGCTGAATTTTTTTAATTAAGTTTAAGAAAATTCGTTATTAATATGCACTTGGTAAAATAACTATAAGGACGTTCCTTAAAGGTTATCATAATTGCAGCTCAGACATGCATATCAGTCGAGACCGATCGATGATTAAAAATATCATCCACGGTTATAGACGGTCTTCGCCCCCGCTGTGCCCTTTCATGTCCAGACAGATCGATCGACGACTATATTTATATAATGGTTTTGTTAAAAACAGATACTAAACACGTCTTTATGATATTATATCTATGACACTCATGTGACGAGAAATCGTTCTTAAAAATCGAACCCGATCGACTACGATTTTCGTATGAAGTAAATTCAGTAGTACGTTAAGGCAAGGTTTTTTCTTACCTTCAATTTGTAGACTTTGTTTGGACTAAGTATACTTGGCCTTTGCAACGGTATAAAGTAACTTGTACTGAGAAAATTTCTGTTCGTTCTTTAGATGCATGAATGGAGGAACATGTATTGACGGAGTTGATAATTTCACATGCTCCTGTCCACCAAAACTTACTGGGGCTCTATGTGAATGTTTAATATTAAATGATGGAAGTTACGATTGTGACTTTGTCTCTCCTACACTGTTACCTGGTTCTAACGAGACAATTACTACCACAACAGTGTATACTGAATCGACAAGTGTAGTCAGCATATCGACAATTGATTTTACTAAATATAATACGACCTTAGATATCGGTACAACAGCTATCGCTACTACTGAATCAACATTTTGGACGACTTCTAATGATCTTTACACATCACCAGAACAACCGTCTATTACTACCGATAAAAGTCTTCCTTCTAATACGACTAAAGCCGAAGAACCTGATTTTACATTGTATACAACTGAAACAGTTTCAACGGAAGAAATTCGACTTACTACATCGGATTTAACAGCAATAACCTCAGTGACAGATACACAAGGAACTTTACAAATCGATGATTCCAAAACCCAACCGACAACCGATTGCGGTGATTCTTGTAGTAAACAAAATGTAACGACAGTTCTTGTGCCGTTACCAACAAAATCAACAGTTACAACAGAAGCAATTATTGGAACGACACCAACATCGACAGAAGCAACAACACTTACAATATATGACAAGAGCACAACTCAAACTACAAAATTGATGACTGAAATGACTTCCCCTGAAGAGACAAATGTAACTGGCAAAGTTGAAAGTACAACAACAGCAGAAACAACATCGACAAGGACCGAAGAATCAACAGAAAGTGTTAAAACTGATACTACTCCAATAACTCCTGAAGTACATATTACCACAGACAAAATGTTCACAGACACACCTATAGATACAACAAATTATATAACATTTACAACTTCTACGGAAGTGACTGAACCTGGGATAGGAATCGAAGATACTACACAGACATATCCAACATCTCATACAGATTGTACTGATTTTGTATGTCATAATCATGGAACATGCATAAATGGATTACATGGTGTTAGAGTGAGTATTGCGTTTAAACATATTAAAATATTTACACGATTTATTTTTTACATATGACATAATTATATGTTTAATAGGTACACAACAGTCTATTAAAATATATTTATTTCACTTGAGGTTTGACAAGAAAACTTATGGTTATGGAAATTACACAAAAAAATTACATAAAATCTTACAACTGCGTGAAAATGAGAGTCGTGGAGGATCGTTATGATATGGATGTTTACGCGTTCGGCGCTCGCGGCTCTCTGCCTGGTCGAGCCACGCCGTCGCTGCCGCGTTCGCGGGAGACGGGGGGGCGCGGGCGCCTAAACTATACGATCGCACGAAACACGGCCCTACAGGATCGTACATGTTCCGACACGATACCCCGCGATCACCGTTGTTTGTAAAAACCCCGCGTTACACTCTCCCCCTCTAGCCTAACTAAGTGTCCTCACAGTTGGGCTAGTCTAGGTATCTACGCGGCCTACCACATTTACGTTTTTCCCTAACGGGAGGCTCTATCTGGCCGGTAAATGGCGTGAGGTGCGAAACGTGATATTTCCCTATATCTCTTCCGGTCTGTACGTTCTCTAACCCGTACGTAGTAGAACTAACTACCTTGCCTATCTTGTATGGGCCGTCCCGGCGTGGGATAAACTTCGCTGTCTGTCCACGTCCTGCATCGTTCGGCCCCTGCGTTTTAAGTAGCACCATATCGCCTACCTTATACTCTGGCGGCGATCGCCGTCTCTGGTCAGCAGCCCCCTTTATATAGTTAGTACTGAACGTGCGCATACCTGTCCAATAATATCTAGTGCGAACACGGCCTAAAGTGCGCTCCACGCCGAAATGTCCTGCCATAGGCGCGTCGTGGAGTTCAGCCATCACTTGCCTGCGTTCGTGTTCGGGCACAACAATACAGCATTCTTCTCCATCGTCTGACTCTAAGCTATATCTATAAAGTATACCATCGGAAATAGTGTACCCACGATCGGACCATGGCCTCCACCTAGAAGGTTCGTCAGACTCCATGTCCTCAATGATTTTGCGAATCTCTGGATCTAACAGTTGATTGCTGCGGATATCACCACTACTCCTCTTTGGTAAGTCAACGATTGTCATACATAATTCGCACTCACCTTGGTTCTCAGCGCAAACTGGTCGCGAAAGCGTATCTGCAACCACATTCGAGCGTCCCGGTGTGTATTGGATGTTGAGGTCGAACTCTTGCAATGTTAGGGCCCACCTAGCCAGCCGACCACTAGGTGACCTCTGACTCATTAGCCATCGCAAAGGCTGGTGGTCCGTCCTAACCGTTACCTTCGCAGTATCTACGTAACCGCGGAACTTACCTAACGCCCACACGACGGCGAGTGCCTCTCGCTCCGTCGTGGAATAATTCTTCTCTGCACTAGTGAGAAGACGACTTGCGTACTCGATCGGTCTCTCATCGTGACCCTCCCCCTGCATTAAAACAGCCCCAAGGCAGTAAGCGCTACTGTCAGTGCAGAGAACGAATGGCTTCGACTCATCCGCCTGACGCAGAATGGGAGCGGATACGAGGAGACGCTTTATCCGCTCAAACGCCTCCTGATGCTCGGCGTCCCATCGCCAGGCACTTGATTTCTTCAGGAGTGTTGTAAGAGGTCTCGCGATCTCAGCATAATTATTAATAAAGCGGCGATACCAACTCACCGTTTGTAAGAAACATTTTAAGTGTTTAACGTTCTGAGGGGCGGGCATATTATCAATAGCCGCCGTCTTATCTGGATCCACCTGGATTCCGCCTGGTACAATAACGTGTCCTAAAAACTTAACAGATTCTCTATTCTGTTGCTCCTGGGTTAACTTAGATCCTTCGTCTGCGCGCAACATCAGCTCATCAGATGCGGCATGCAATAAATCTGTACCTGCAGGGTCAAGTGTGTACGAATAAATAAAATTGAAGCACTGTCCGGGACTATCCATAAATGTCCAAGTGCGCTGGGCTACGTTTATTACCATTCCGGCCCGAGACAAGAAATCTATACCTAGAAGTGTTCTAGTGTCACAACCTGGCAACACTAGTAATTGACACATTACACTATGGCCTTCGATATCTATACCTACCTCGGCCGTCAACAAGTCTCTCCACCCTTGTGTACCGTCAGCCAGGTGTACAAATCGTTTAACTTTACTAAAATGTACTCCCAAGTCTACTAAAATTTTATATAATAAAGGACTCGCAATACTATGCGTAGCGCCCGTATCCACTATCGCCACTCCGGTACGACCCATAATGGATATATTAACCATAGGATACGATTCACGCGTACTCACGTTAGTTAACTTAATACATGACGCACTTGTATTACCTATACTACTATTATTATTATTAACGCAATTATCGTGATTATTAAAATCTACATCCAAATTATTGAACGAAGTTTTACCATCCGAATTCGTTAAAGTTTTCACACAAATATCACATCATCATTATTATTATTGTTAATAACCTTCTCACGATTGCGACATTCTTCACTAAGATGCCCAAATAATTTACAATAACTACATCGGGGCCTATTGTTTTTATTACTACGCGGAGTGATCGCGTTCGTACTATCAAAACTCGATCGAGTGAGATCGCGACCGGTAGTAGTGACCGATGTTCGTGAAATCGCGTTTTTACAATTACTACTATTATTGTTATCCTTATTTACCTTAAGAGTTTTATACATATCCTCCGCGATCCTCGTTTTATACATTAAGTCATCTAAATTACGAACATTATCTCGGGAAACTCTTTTAACAATACGTCGGTGTAATAACCCGTAACAAATATCAACTTGCACTATTTCATCGAGCTTATACGGTAACTTTGCAATTAACGCTCGCACTTTACACAAAAACGACTCGGCGCGTTCTTCTTCTTGCTGCTCCGTAGCGAAGATCCGCCGTAGAATCTGATGTGCGGGCTGCGCCACGCCATACGCCGCGCGTAGGCGGGCGACCGCGTCCGCCCATGTAGTCACCGACGCCTTAACGCCGCGCCACCATACTGCCGCTTCACCCTCCAACAACATCGGCAATCCGCGGAGTGCGAGCTCGTCACTCACGGCCGCACACTCCTTAAATATCTCGACGGCATCCAGGAACGCTTCTAATACCTCGGCGTCCTGGGACGACCCGTTGAACCGCGCCGTGCACTTAGTAAAATTTGCGTCGACACTCGCGACGCTGGCAGCAATACCACTCCCGCTGTTCATATTATTTGTTTGAGAGGCCACGACTGGGGTGGAGGCCCTAAATTCACTGCTGGACGTCATCAGAGAATTGATAAGGCTTCTATTTGCTTCCACTTGCGCACGCGTGATCGTCTCCATCAGCGTGGATAGGAAGTGTTCGGGGAGCTGGGGTGCTGGTTGCTGTGTCGAGCCGGCTCGCGCAGCTCCGTCCACGTGGCCGTGCTCGATGGTGCTCTCCTCTCCCTCTGCGGCATCATCCCCTCGCTGCTGCCGAAGCGTTTCTCCTCTCCTCGTCATAGGCATCTTCACGCACTAGTATATAAGTTTAAAAGTTCGAGCCACTAGTATGGGCGCCAGTTTAATAGGTACACAACAGTCTATTAAAATATATTTATTTCACTTGAGGTTTGACAAGAAAACTTATGGTTATGGAAATTACACAAAAAAATTACATAAAATCTTACAACTGCGTGAAAATGAGAGTCGTGGAGGATCGTTATGATATGGATGTTTACGCGTTCGGCGCTCGCGGCTCTCTGCCTGGTCGAGCCACGCCGTCGCTGCCGCGTTCGCGGGAGACGGGGGGGCGCGGGCGCCTAAACTATACGATCGCACGAAACACGGCCCTACAGGATCGTACATGTTCCGACACGATACCCCGCGATCACCGTTGTTTGTAAAAACCCCGCGTTACATATGTTATTAGACATTGATGCTATATAAGCCTGCCTGCCTTCTAACAGTGTGGATAATTTAGCGTATTTATATAATAAATAATACAGCTAAATGAATTTCAAGTTCCTTCTCCACTGCTGGTGGAAATAAAAATAAATAAAACTTACCTTGTCGTGTACCACATCCTTGACCTAACCTTGCGTTCTAAATTACCGAATAGCTTAAGAATTAAGATAAGTCATAATGATAAATTAATTATTTTAAAATACGATATATATATATATATATATATATACATATATATATATATATATATATATATATATATTAATAGAAACAATTAAATTTATTTTTAGTGTCACTGTCTTTTTAACTACGGAGGCACATTCTGTGAAGAAAAAATTACAATAACTTCAGCAGCTTTCGATGGCAATTCATACATATCTCATCATGTTAACAACTCTACTACAATCGCTATACAATTTAATGCAAAAACCCTTATAACTGATGGACAAATAATGCACGTGGATATAACAAAAGGGGCTTATATGAAACTTTATATGAGTTCTGGTTTATTGAAATTCGAATTTTCCTGCGGTTACCAGACAATGTTGCTGAGTGAACTTAAAACTTACGTGAATAGAGGTTACTTGATGAAAATTGAAACTAGGTATTTTAATTTCATTATACTTATTTTATTTTTTATTTCTTAAATATTCTTGGTAATAAAATATTTAAAAAAATACTTAAAAAACGTGTGTCTGTACTTATGTACGCACGTAAGAAGTTATACTTCTTTGGCGTAACAGAACAAAAAAAGCTAAAGATTTCATCCCGTATGTACAACTCTCTGTTTCTAAAAGGATTGCAGCTAACTTCATCATGTCGCTTTTTGGCTGTCGGTGTGCGCGCGCATCGAAAAATTTTATTCTCATATTTTTTTCCAAACGTGCCAAAAGAAGTATAACTTTCAGATACACAAGAATATCTAAACTGTGTATTTAAATAATAATAATTATAACTTAAAAATACTTTTAGATTAGATCTCTTCTTAAAAGAGAAACACTGTAACGCTACCCTTCGCCTGAACGATACCGTGGCAATGAGCGGTGGACAAGTGTCTAACATCAGCTCCCTAGACAGCCATACTGTCCTTACTTTCGGAATTGTACAAAATATGAATGATTCTGATAATATGCCTTTTGTTGGATGTATTAAAGATTTGATTGTAAGTATACTGTACTAATAAATTTTGTAAGTATTTAAATTTTTTTCCTAAAATTTATATTTGAGGCCATTTAGATGTTGCAATTTGTAAGTAAAACCACCAATTTTTATAATTATTAGTACGCGTTTATTAGTTTCCTAGCGGTAGCGACTCACCCTCGCTTCGCTCGGGTTCGTCCCTGGCATGCTTTCCAATACAAATTTTCATCCCTATTTTTCCTCCTTTAAAGGATGATTTCCGGGATAAAAAGTATCCTATGTACTTTCTTAGATTTACGCGAATATTTGGCATTTTAAATAAAACTATCTTTTCGGATTTTGTCGCGGATTTATTTGTATTTTTGTTTCCCGACGTTTCGAATGCTTTACAGCATCCATGGTCACGGGAGAGACTGAGGTGTTACATGTCTTAAAGATATAGTTGTTACAGACAGCCTACCCACAATTAACAGTATGAAAATTGCACCAATTACATTACAATATTTTAACTTTAAATATTTTTATAATTTTAATTATAATTGAATATGGAAAATTATTTATTTAATTTTTGCTATTATTTTTATAATTATTACAATTTTAAAAATATTAATTAGTAATCTATATTTAGTGTTGCCATTATTATATTTATAACCATAAGAAAAATATAAAATATAGTATTAATTATTTAAGCCACAATTGATCTATGTGTAATTTGAAAAAGTTAAGATTAATTAAAAATAATAATATTAATTTAAATTTGCTATTATTTAAAAAAAACTCACCAACACTGCCTCGATCACTATTTTTTGAAAGTCGTCATCGAAATTTAATTTTTTGCTGATATATAATTGTTTTTCACATTTGATTTTTTGGCGCCCCTTGCAACCTGGCGCCTAGATCAACCCGCTCCTCTCGCTCGCCCCGGGTTGCGCTGGTTAAGAGATTAATGTATCTCAAAGAGTACGTAAAGACTTCGATCATGTATACATTGTAAATAAATAAATATCTAAGGATTATTAGGTTAATTATTGTTCTAGAAATTTGTTGGGCTTATTTTCTTGTCTTTATTATGTTGATTATTTTATTGTTGTTATCGCAAATGTTGTGTTGCTATTGTTTAATTTACTATTGAAATTCAGGTGAATGGGGAGGAACGCGACATATTTGGTGATGCATTCGACGCAGAAGTAAGTGAATGCTCTTCACTATCGTGCTTGTCATCGCCCTGCATGAATGGTGGCACTTGCAGTGATCTCGGCGATAGCTATACTTGTGCTTGTGCTAATGGGTACGTGAATATCTATCGGACCATTATTATAATTTGTATAGTTTGTATGTATGTGTGTGTATGTGTGTTACTCCTTCATGCTTAAACGGCTGGACAGATTTGGATGAAATTTAGGGTAAAAATAGACGATGATCTGAAGTAACTAATATTATATATTAAATATAAAAAAATAACATATTTTATTATTTTATAATAAGTATTAATTTTGTTTAGCAAAAACTACTAAAATGTCTCTGCATTCATCTTATTTGTAGGACTCGGAAACCCGATCAATTTTTAAACCGGTTTTGGTAATTGACCCCAAACCGAAAGGCTATTCGGTCTAAGGTTTCGGTTACGTTCTAAAACCGGTTAAATCCAAGAGAATGGTTTTTGATGAATTATAAGTTCCATGAACAAAATTAACCGCTCAAAATGACTTTTTGTGTGTTTAGGTTTAGCGCGTCTTTTCTAATGGTGAATGGCTTTGTAGGAGGATGCATGCATGTTTCTTACTTATGAATAAATTAACCGGTTTATTTCGGTATCAAACCATAACCCAACCTTTCTCTTAGAATAACCGTTAACCATTATTATTTCGTTTTCACTAACCGGTTAAAGAACGAGCGATTTAAAAAACGGTTTATTTCGGTAATGTGAAACATTTTTTACCGTTTTTTAAATCGGTTCCGAGCCCTGCTTACTTGACAATACGATAAAACTTACCGGTTTATATTCTTTGTTTGAATAACCAGGAACGAGAATTGAATACGCTACTTATATGAAGTTATCGGAAATATATTTTCAGGTGGATGGGCAACCATTGCAACGAATCAGTGTGTGACCACAATCCTTGCCAATATGGAGGTAGTTGTGTTCGTCATCCAGGTAGTGGATTCTTATGTCTCTGCCCTTACGGGAAACATGGGATATTCTGCGAATACAGTAAGATGTTTTTCTAATACTAAATGTATGTATTTATCTAATACTTATAACTTTTAAAGAGAATTATCATTTGTCCGTAAAAATAGGATAATATCAGTATTATATATTTTCCTGCTTATTAATTGAAAAAGATAAAAACTTGGAAATTAACAACGCTGGAGTTCTCGGTATTTAATTAAGAAAATATGTCAGGAAAAATTATCCGTTTAACGTAGCACCCGGACCAAGTCACGGATGTAACTAGTGTCTAATCGATTTTAATTTTGCTACCGCTTTGTATGAGCTCCACTTGCATAAATTACTCCAAATTTGGATTCTAGAACATTCTGTAGCTCTATCCTTACTAACCACCCTTACTTATTTTCTTATATTTACAGATGTAGAAATCACTCGACCGTCTCTAGCCCCAATAACAAGTGGTATATCTTCTTATGTGATGTACCCTCTTTCTCCCGCGGCAATGAACTCCGACAGGTTCGACCTGCGCTTGCGGTTCCAAACCACAGATATGGACCAAATTGCTCTTTTAGTATTCGTAGGTCAAAGTGGCCGACACGATTCTAAAAGTCAGCATTTGGCTCTGACATTCGTTAAGGGTTATATTATGTTGACGTGGAACATGGGAAGTGGTAAGACATATATTATTTGTACATAACATTTGTTTTCAATGAACAGAATTCATTTATAAAATAAATTATTTTTAAGAGATTTTATGTTTTTGATAATATGCAATTGCGATATACATATATGTTGGATATTCTCATCACATTGGAGGAAGTGCAGTTAAAGCTTGTTCATTAAGTCCTTAAAAATTAGCTAACATTGTGACAATAATAAAAATAAATTAATATGAAATTAAAATAGACCTTTATTATATTCAACTTTTCTTTACTGCCAACCATTAAAACAACGCTGCACTCAAATCTCCTTCGATTTCATTCATCCAAAATAATACAAAATAAAGCAAAAATTAATTGATTGCTAATGTAACAATTTACAAGCAATAAATTACTTTTTTTATATTAGGTCCACGAAGAATATTCACGTCGAGGGCTCTGGGCGCCCGGCGCGGCGGCCACGTGGTGCGCGTGTGGCGCCGCGGCCGCAGCGCCGGCCTGCTCGTCGACAGTCGGTACAACATCACGGGCAACGCGCCCGCTAACCGCTCTAACATGACCCTTCTGCCTTATGTTTATATTGGTACAGTATATAATATGGATTTCCCTCTAGGTTTAGTAGCTAGAAGTTACAGCTGGACATCCATAGATTCATCTCCGCAGTGGACACATGAAAATGCCAAGGGTGTTAAACCTGGATTGAAGCACTTAGCATTCCAAGCGAGTGTTATCTTGGAACCTAGTGTATTTTTAATATAATATATTAAAGTTGCTTGGCCTGTCTGATTTATCAATGCCAAACTACTGGATATAAAGTACTAAAACACTATTGTTAATGATATAGTTAACCTTATTGGCTTTTTGTCTCAAAAGACTTTTTGTTGTCATCGACAGGATTTTTTCACCACCCCTAAACAGGGTATCTAATTTAAAGAAATTAGCCATGTGGTGCCCAGGAAAGGTTGCTCCAAAATTAATCTGTACTTACAGGCGGTCACCCATCCCAAGATTTCCGCGAGCTGCCCCACGACCTGCCCCTGCACAGCGGCTGGCGCGGCTGCGTGTGGGAGGTGGGCGGGCAGGCCGCGGGCGCGGGCAAGGCGCTCGGCGGCCGCGGCGCGGGGCAGTGCGGCGTGGCACAATGCACCGCTAAGTCCTGTAACGCTCCGCGTGGTGTTTGTATACACTCGCCAGCTACCTATGGGTATGATGTGTGTGACTTGATTATTTCAGTTCATGGGAAAAGTCCAGATGGTATAAGTCTATGTGGTCCATACATCCTTCTGCAAAACTATGTCTGTCTGTAGGGAAGCCAGGCGGCGCCCGCGTCGCGCCATGGCGTACCGTAAGACATTAAACCAAGCCAGTTTATTGTAAAGGTCAAGATGGACCATCACTAAGCCTGAATCTGTTTTTCCGACCGTCTGTAAGTCAGGCTCTGTCTGTCAGATCCTGCGAAGATTGGCGCAGTGCGGTGGTGCTTAATTTATTTAGTTTTGCTCAATTTTAAAAACGGTATTAGTAAACAGTGTTGAAATATATCTTTGATAATATTTATCTGTAAATATAATAACTTATAATGTTCCATCACACCAGGTGTATTTGCAATGAAGGCTGGTTTGGAGCTACATGTGGCATGACGCGAAGTCCCTGCGACCGGTCGCACTCGCGCTGCAAGGGCGCCTGCGTGCTGACACTCGACAGCGCGGAGTGTGACTGTCCTTATGGCAAGACTGGGATCAATTGTGATCAAGGTAATATTGGGATAATAGAAAACCAAATGTAATGGTCAACACAGTGGCAAGGCAAGCTAAGTGAAGTGAGTTCAAAACCCGGGTCTCGTACCTGTGATAGTTTCATATATGAATGAATATTTTACCATTCGTCGAGCGATGACGGAAAACGTCGTGAGGAATCCATCTGTCATGTCTGAGAAAACGTAACTAGTTTTCGAAAGAGCCCTCACTTGGTCAAAACAGTGGACTTAATGGTCAAAGCCTATGTATGCCCAGCAGTGGGAACGTTAAACTAAAACGATAGGTACACAAAAATGTGATAAAACTCCATTCTATCGTAGCAGTGGAATTTTGTAGTCCCTGTAATTAATATACTTTCTCAGTTTTTATAAAATCAGATCTTTTATCCCCCTAATATCTTTGGTTTTCAGTTTTCACTATAATAAACATGGTAAATGATTCAATTGAATACTGTTATTTTTTCTGTGTATTAATTATATATTTTACCTTCTAACATTTTAATACTTTCTTACGAAAAGATAGTTTTATTTAATAATGTTCTAACATTTTATTTAAAAAATTCATTATATTTTCATTTCAGATCTAATACCGATAGATATGCTGTTCACTGGTGTGAGATCGTATTTGAAACTTCATCCGCGGTCCATATCTAGTGTTAGTCTCGCACTCGAAGCAGAAATAAAGCCGACGAAGGAAAGAGGCATTGTTATGTTCGTTCAAACGCCACATTTCTATACCACTTTGTCGCTACAAGGTGGATTGCTTGAATATAGATGGACAGGTAATCAATTGTGTTATTAAAAGTTAATTTTATGTTATTGTTTTACAATGAAAGGACTTATGAAAACATACATTATTTAAAGTAGCCGAGATTGTCAATTTGGGTGTATCACGATATCGTTGACTATCTACATTCATAAATTAAAAGTAAAATGGCACACATTACAGTTAAATAATATTTTTCAAAGAGAATTTGAAGATAATGTACGTACGTATTAAATAAAATGTTATAATATTATTTTATGATCTGAGGCAAATAATATCGAAGTATTAAAGTGCTTGGTTGGTAAGTACTTTTAGAAATTATTTCGAGCTAAAGATAAGCTTGAAGTAAAAAACAACCCAAAAAGACAAATAAAAAAGGTATTAATTATCAAAGTGTATTTATGTAGTGAGTCATCTCTCCATTACAAATTTTTCGCCGAATTCATGACAATGAGAACAATACTCAGCGCGACGCGGTCAATTTCGAAGAATTAAGGCAAACGTCTAAATGGGTAAAATACACAAAGATAAAAACCGTATGCAAGTTGATGAACTTTGCAGTCTCATGAAAAAAGTATGCTGAAATTTAAAGTATGCACGGTATCGAAATTATTTTTATAACTTTTAGTCGTGCTACTTCGCACAGTTTAATTCACCAATGTCGTCGTGAATGGAGAAGAGATGATAGAGATTAGCTATAAACCGGTAAAAATCCACATTGAGGTTTAATTTTATTTAAAAATATGAGCAATAACGAAATTATAAACAGTTGAAAATCACACGGATAATTTATAATTATGATCTTTTAAGCATTTAGTCCGCGCCATTTTAATCCCAAGTACACATGTACTTTTCATCGTATCTTTTTATTAATTCTCACGCTGTTTTTTTTTATAACAACAATTTAGCTTTTCTAATCATTTAGATTCTCCCAAACGTCAACATGGACTAGATCAGCTATACTCAACCTGCGGCCCGCGGGCCGCATGCGGCAGCATCAAAAATCGCATTATAACATATCTTTGTTAAAAAAGTACCTACATCGTTAACTTGGAATTACGTTTTCATTAAGACCTAAATAATTTTTGCTTGCGGCCCTCGACTCTATGACTGAAACGTGTTTGTGGTCCCTATAAAAAAAAGGTTGAGTATGGCTGGACTAGATGAACATATGGACCTTTTTCTACGTTGTTGACCACTTTGCCGAGAGAACATTATTTGCTTTTACTCTAAAACCTTTGTTACCTTTCGCGTCAAATAGATAGACATAGCATAAAAATTAAATCTTCCTCCCACGTAAATTCTGGCGACAACAACTCCAAATTAAATAGAAATAAATAAATATGTTAGGACATTAATACACATCACCAGCTAGTTGATACACTACATATATATAACTTTAAATACACACATTTTATAAATATAAGTTATTAATAACTCTTCCCTTTTACCATATTTCAGATCAGCTCTCAGGTCTAACGTCGCTGGTGCGGTCGGGCGTGGTGCTGTCCATGTCGCAGTGGCACGCCGTGCGCGCCGGCCGCTACGGGGACAGACTGTATGTGTGGGTCGATGGAGCTCTCACCACGGAGTCGATGCTCGCTCACGCCTACCCACATACTGCTAGCGAAGCTTCTATTATTATAGGTGTGAAAGGGAGACAATTTTTTTGATATTTTTAACAATTAATTGTAATTTAATGCACAACTCTTGTGGCATTTGTCTGACGCGTGACTCATGTACCATATCAGTTGGAAGTACCAAAGTTTGACGTAGGAATAGTTTCGAGTATTCTGAAATTATATACGGTAGGTACTTATAAGAAAAAATCAATTTTTACAATTTTTGTCTGTCTGGTGGTTCCGACTAATCTCCGAAACGGCTGTACCAATTTTGACGAGACTTTCACTGGCAGTTAGCTGATGTTATAAGGAGTAATTTTAGCTAATTTTGTTTTAGAAAAAGAATTAGCGGGGGTAAGTCGCTAATCACATATTATATTGTCTCATTTATAATGAGACAATATAATATCTATGTTATTAGATAAGTTTTTAGTACCAACAGGGTAATATAATTCGAAATTAATCTTTAAAAATCTGGTATAACTCGCGTCATCTAAAAAGAACGCTGGCTGTCAAGTTGCGCAGAAGCGATTTATCGGTCAAATTGGTGGTAAGAAGCGGGGCGCGGGGCGGCTCGGGGCGGCGGGGCGCGCGCCGCGTGCTTTCCGGCGCGCTATTGGTTCGTCAGGTCAAAATACCATCGCGCACACAAAAGTTTTTAATTACGAAATGGGTTTATATATAGAAAAGAGGAATTGGATTTGTTTTTGACGTATATTGTTTTACAAAGAGAGAGTCAATTATAGAAGTCACAGTCAGAGGATGCAAATGAAATGGAAACTTTACTTATAAAATACTTTAATATTACTTTTACAAACTAATTATCCTAAGGTGATTACACTGTCGAAGTATGACAAATGGAATGAATCAAGAAAAGTCTCTAACGATAAGGTGCACTCGGATGTTACAACACTGTCACTTCGCGAGAGTTATGTTGAAATACGAAAAGAATGCGATATTGGTGGTCGACGCGACTCGCGAGGTGGTTCCCATGCATTATGGTTGCGAAACAAAGTCTTTAGCAATAAAAGTTCATACGAACGGAATGCGATGTTGGTGGTCGACGCGAGGTAGTTTCCATGTATTAGGGTTGCGTAACACCTCCCCCCGTAGAACAGCGACTATTGAAGACTCTCGTCGTAAATTGAGCTGGGGGTTGATCACTATCAACCCTTTCAACGGATGGAAGGGCATAGGTCGCTTGAAGTTCATGTTGTTCTTCTTTCGGTTCTTCAGGTGAGTTCTGTGTCTGCTTCGTGAAGTACTTACGATAGCAGAGGCCACTAATAAGGACTCCTGCACCTACCAACACTAGGTACATTGGTATCGTAGTGTGATATAAGCTGTAGTCGGTAACGTCAGTCAGCTGTACCGGCGTTTGCATAGCGACCTTCATATTCATTTGATGTAGGTGATCTAATTTGACTGAGTTTAACTTCAGTGATGGATTTATGGGCGGCGTCTTTTTGGTAGTAGTAGGCAGATCTATGATGTTCAGTGCTTGTCCTTTCAGATGATTGTTGCTATTTGAAATGGTGAAGTCAGGTGTTTCTAGGTAGCATTGATGTGGTATAATAGCAAGATAGCTACCCTGCAGGTTCTTATAGAAGTCTTGAGCACACGATAGGTGAACCTTCGTTGAATTAGGGAAACTAACAGCGTAGTGTTTCTCATCTAGCTCCTCATAAGCCGACCTGGTTAGTAGCACTGAAGTGGGGCTGCAACTCGACGTTCTTTGCTGCGTGATGATAAGTTGCTGGATGCAGTCCAATGGTTTATGAATAGGCAAAATCTGCTTCTCTTTGCATAGGTACCATTTACTGGTCTTCGGGCATTCAGCCTCTATGTACTTGTAATCTTCCTCAAAGAGGGCAAGGAATGGAAGGGGTGGAGTAAGGATTTCATTGTTTTTATTCGGGATGATGGATAATTTATACATATCATATATGGGGCGTAAAACTATAGGAAATTTATATACTATCACTATCTGATTACTTACATAATAAGTCCCTAATCTAATTATATAAAACACATTAATATATGCGGGTTACCATCAAACTCTGGTATAATAATCTAAGGGATTTATAAATAGAATCTAAGTCAGGATGAGCCATTGTATCGTTTAATATATTTCACTTCTCGTCTATCGTGCTGAGCCTACCACTAGGAAAAGTATGCCTTAATCTAATATTCCGCGATTCTCTAGGGTGAAAAATCTTGAATAATAAATAATTATCTTATAAAAACTATAGCTATCGCATGTACCTATTCTTAAACTCAAAGTTATATGAATTATAAAAACTTCATTTAAATTAACTATACCACTGAATACGAATACAAAATTAAAATATTTCGATTAATATTTTAAATTTAAATTACCAAACTCTAAGTAATTTTTATTACGTAATAGAATAAAATAATATAAAATATAGGATAACCTAGAAAGGATGCAAGGACTGAGAAAGATTCAGAGTACTTACAGGAGTTTCATTTCTTTTGCCGTATTAATTTTCGAATACACCCAGACTGCAACTCTCGTAGATTCAGGATCGCCGAAGGCCGTGATCTATTCACTGACTCTACTTTACAGCGATCCTACCGACTGCGCCAATTATAGAAGTCACAGTCAGAGGATGCAAATGAAATGGAAACTTTACTTATAAAATACTTTAATATTACTTTTACAAACTAATTATCCTAAGGTGATTACACTGTCGAAGTATGACAAATGGAATGAATCAAGAAAAGTCTCTAACGATAAGGTGCACTCGGATGTTACAACACTGTCACTTCGCGAGAGTTATGTTGAAATACGAAAAGAATGCGATATTGGTGGTCGACGCGACTCGCGAGGTGGTTCCCATGCATTATGGTTGCGAAACAAAGTCTTTAGCAATAAAAGTTCATACGAACGGAATGCGATGTTGGTGGTCGACGCGAGGTAGTTTCCATGTATTAGGGTTGCGTAACAAGTCTAATAATAATGCAGTTAATAATAAAAAAATGTATTAAACGTATTAATTTAATTTTTTGTATGTAGATTAAACATTCTGCACTGAATCAAACATATTTTGATAATGAATAAAATTCTATTTAATGATATTCTATCTAATATATTTTTCAATGTCCCTACCAATAACTAATATATGAAGCCGCGAGCGAAATGCTATGAAAAATAAATAATAGACTTAGTACTTTTGTGCGCGAGTATACCCATGCGCAAACATACTCTCTCCATTTTCTTCCAGCGTTCTTTTTAGATGACGCGAGTTATAGCATAAAGTATATTTTAATTATTCGTACATTATACTTTAGTCTTAATTTTTCATTTATCAGGTGGTGCGAAAGATCTGGCGTCATTGCCGTTTGACATGATGTCGGGAGCGCCAGAGACATACAGCGGATGCTTCAGGAATTTATATGTGAATAACGTTTTATTGCCTTTGGATCCACAAAATATACTGGGTAAGTGTGGTTTAGTTTTCATGTATGATGTTTTTGTATTATACACGAATATTTTGTACTCGTAAATAATATCCCAATACATTGTTCATAGATAATTTTCATTTCTAGACTTTGTTAACTCATGCGGAATACGTTTTTCCGATCACATATCCTGCGTACATATGCTGCGATGCAATGGTACCACTTTCATCCCATCGGACTTTGAAAGTGAAAGGAATAGATAGTGCACTAGTGCTAGTCCATGTACACTTTATCGGAAATCGGAGATCGATATTATACTTCCCGTACAACTACTGCCTCGATGGTAGTGAATAGCATGTACGAAAGTCCTAGGTTCGTCTCGAGTCGAGTCGAGTTAATGTCCCAACAACAATAACTACTGTATTTGGTCTTTATTTAAATTTACTTTAATTGGTCACAGAGGGTCAAAACGTAGCAGCGTGCGAGGGCGCGGCGTGCGGCGCGGGCGCGGCGGGCGCGCGCTGCCGCCGCACGGCGTGCGCGGGCGCGGGGGCGGGGGCGGGGGCGGGGGCGGAGGCGGGGGCGGCGCGGTGCGGGGGGCGCTGCGTGCGCGGGCGCTGCGTGTGCCCCGCGGGCACGGTCGGCCTGCACTGTGAAAAGCGTTAGTATACTGTGCACTATATTTTTTGAAATAAAAACTTCTATAGGCAGGTTTGGATGGGGAGTAAAATTCATGTAAGTCGTCATCGACATGGTCACGTGACGTGTTCACGCTAACACTCCGAGTGCCGATAGATGTTAAAACCAGATATATATAAACAGTTTTAATTTACAAATTTTAATTTGTGATTAAATAATTAATTTTAGTATCCAAAAATAACAACTGTTTGTTTACAGTTTTAATGTTTCAATTCTGTCGGCAGTCCTGATGACTGCTTTTTTTAGGCTGTGTAATTATATTGAAAAAGGTTTAACAGCAGTATCGAGGAACGCGGCGAGCTTAAATTTAAATTTGAAGAATAAGCCAGGATACAGCAACTTGTACTGAGGGAATGTCACATGAAACCCTCATACCGAGACGTGGAAGAACTTTTTGGTGCCGCCATGACTTAACCTGAGCAGGCCTAACTGACCGTTAAAGTATTTTTAATTCGTCGCTCAAGTTCGACATTTTTGAAGTATTGAAGCATAGAAATTGACTCCGAAGAATCTGCCAATGACAATTTCCATCAGAAATACACTAGTGTGTTAATAAAATTGTCCATATATGTTAGTCTAATAAAAATTTGCTTTCCAGGTATTAATATAACAGTGCCCCAGTTCGACGGCGACGCCATGCTGTCTCTAACTAGAAGTCACTCCGGCCACCAACAGCGATTGAGTTCCGCTCCGACCAGACCTTCCTACATTGCATTCAATTTTACTACTTCTGACCCTAATGGCCTTATGTTGTGGATAAATATGGTAGGTTTTATAGAAAGTAGTGTAATGCAATCATCGATCAAAAAAGTACTAGATACACAATCCCATACAAAAGTTCTCTTAAAATTGTCACCAATTGTGTTAAGGTAATTTATTCTATTTGAAATAAATATGCAACAATGTAAATTGAACCTTAAATGCAATGCTTAAAGTTGTTTTGGCGAAAAAAAATTAAAATCGCGCTCAAATGTTCTATTCCGAGAGCTGGTGACGAATTTTGGGAAGCTCCTTTTGACAAGTTGAAATTGTAAAAAAATATAATTTCGTCAATTGGCGAGTCCAGTCCCGCGAGTCTGGTATAGCGTTTGCGGTTATTTCGTTACTGCGCAGTAGATAACATTAGCAAAAAAAAAAAATTTTTGGCAACCTAGTCTCGAACTATATTCTTAGCAAATTTCGTCTAAATCGGTTCAGTAGATCCAGAGATTACCCCTACAACGTCACAAACTCACAAACTTTACCTCTTTATAATATTAGTACAGATAATGTTTTTTTTCATTCTAGGGCATAGATTACATAGGCTTAGGTCTAGAAAATGGGTATCTCAAACTGGTCTGGTCCTTACATTGCAATAATACCTTTCAAAAAGCCAGGGACTTTCCAATACCGCCTCAGTTAATATCCACATTAATTCAGGCCGGATTCATGGCGGATGGGGAATGGCATACGGTTGAATTAAATATGGAAAATTATATCATATTCACAGTAGATAATAAGACCTTTGTAGAGGAACAATGCCATAATGAGTTTGAATATGAGGATATTGATTTGTATGTGGGTGAGTATTATGATTTAATTTGTTTTCATAATTTATCGTATACGATACAGATTTCGGTTGCAATTATTTTGTAGAGTACGAGAGTATTGGCCGATGTTACCAACGTCACCTAAGTTTAAGGGATCCCCTAAACATGGTTAGGGGGCTGTTAGGGGACAGTTTCTGTTTCACCGACAGTTAGGGGTCACCTAAATGTTAAAATGCCACCTAAATATAGGTACTAGAAATACGACGATGGTACGATACAATTCTGACGATGGTAAAACGAAATTTAATTTAGGGGTTAGTTTAGGGGAACTTTCAAGCTAGGGATACCATACGTAGGTGGTAGCTTAAGTGATGTTGGTGAAATCGGGCATATATAGTTTATTTTGCTATAAAGCAGTTTTTATCTAAGTATTTATATTAAGACCATGAGAAACGTAATACAGTGAAAATTAATAACTTATGCATTTAAATAAATTTATTTTTGTAGCAGGCAGAAATTCCAACATTTTATTGACTACAACTGCTTCATGTTTGCTATAAGAGAGCCTTTTTAGAAATATATATACCCTACTATCTCTTAAGCTAACTTGAGCTATCGTAGTATGATATATATAGTACGTATGAAAAGCGGCAAATATTTTATTTACCAGGTGGCGCCACAAGCGAGGACTCTGCAAAAAAATTGTTTCCACAGAATTTCAAAGGATGCATCGACAAAATCTCAACAAAACACAACATCTTTTTAACCAACTACACCGATGTGTACAGCGAGAACGTTCGTTCGTGCCAATTTTTTTCCCCTGCCCTTTAATTATAAAATATTATTAAGCTTTAGTTCTATTAATTAGGCACTACTACTTCATTGTTACTTGTTAGGTGTTATAAGGATTATATTTATGACCCCAAAACATGAAAAATCCTAATCTTTTAAAAAAAAAATGGTAGCATTTTACAATAAAAATAAGTTTTTGTAACTATGTACTAAAAAAGTAATTGGCAGCCAATTATCCCTTTAGTAGTTATATAAAAAAAATTATTAGCTCTATCAGTATGGTTGTAAAACGACATGTGAAGCACCTTTACAAATATATGTATTTTGTCTTCTGATTTAGACTAATATATAATTATATATTAACATTTACACAGTCTAGAAATACATTCAGTAGGCTAAAGAATGCCTCTGGTCTGGAAATCGTGAGGGGAGTGTGTGGCGAGACGCGGGTGAGACGCTCCCGACTGTCCTAAGTACTTCATATATTACAATCGGGAAGCGCATTTAGGGTTGATGATAACGTATCCTTTCCTTTGATAACAAAATAAATATATTTTTATCACTATGTTTATTTTAAAGTGCAATAAAGAATAGTGTAACCTGTCATGAGATTGCTCTACAGCGATTTATCTTCGAAACCGTTTGCCATAGAAACTGATATAGATTTTTATACTTTGCATTCATGAAGATTATTAAAAGATTATAATCAAGAGGCAAACTATAAGGTATAAAATGTCGATTCTAAAATAAAGCTAAAGTTCCCAATTTTTTGAAGTGAAAACGTCTTTAAGCAGGTTTGAATGGGGAGTAAATTCATGTAAGTTGTCATCGACATGGTCACGTGACGTGTTAACGCTAACACTCTAGAGTGCCGATCGATGGCAATACCAGATAAAGAGTTATAATTTTCAAATTTTAATTCAAGATCAAAAAATTAATTTGATTATCTACAACTACAACTGTTTGTTTATAGTTTTAAGTTTTCACTTCTGTCGACAGTCCTCATGACTGTTTTTTTTTAATACTTTACGTACTTAGGTAATAATTTATATAAAAATAAATGTAATCTTGTCAATGTAGTTTGTAAGTAAATAAATACTCATAGTACAAAACCTTTTCTAGTCTTGTTTGATGATTGTCATTCTTGTAATATTATCTTTTGTATAATAGTAGTTATTGGAAATGTGATGCCGTCACACTTAGCCGTCTAAGTCTATTGAATATAGATATAAATTGTAAGACTCAATTTTGTATTTCTATCTCCATATTCACCTACGATTTCTACTTTTAAAATAATTCATTACTATAAGGGTCTAAGGACATCATAAATTCGCTGACGACATGCGTATCATAATGGTAGGTACATCTGCACATATACTGCGCCGATAAATTAAAAAAAATGCAGAAAACTCGCAAGTTGCAGAAAGTTCGCTCGCAAGCGCGCGTCGACAGTTCGTTTAGTCATCGTATGCATAGCCTTTGAGCTACTTTAGATGACACCACCACGAACATTTATACCAAAAGTCAGCACGCTTACAGGTTAGGGGAATCCCTAGAATTATAAGACCGAATGTTTGCCTACTGAGTACTGACGGTAATTACTAATTAAGTATATATTATTGTTAGGTATCACCTTTTTCTGTTTACAAAGCAAAATTAATTTAACTGATTTTAATTTATTGCAGTAATATTTTCATTTAATCGAAAGTTTTATTGCATTTTAACATAAATACGATACCACTTAGCGTAAGACAGCCTCAAAGTATCTAAGTAAGAAAAGATACCAATTAGTTTGTATCATTTAGGACAAGGTGGTGGAAGTGGGGCCTATTACATATTTAAGTTTTGAAAGTCCCGTTCTGTGAGTTATTATTTAAGTATGAACGCTGTTAATAAATACATATGTGTAATTATTACTCTAATTTTTATTATTTTCTAATATTATCTCTAAAAATAATCTATCTATGGGTGTGACGGTAACTTAGTTAATAATTGTGGATTGTTAAAAAAATTAAACTTTCATCATACACAAAATATAATTTTATTGATATATCCATGTTTAATAAACTGTATACATAACATCATCAAATATTATATTATAAACATATACATTTCGTTATACGTTACTAATTCAAACACAAATACAATACGAGATGCTATCCCCATTATTCATATGTATTAATTTAAAAACGTTTAGTCTCAACAAAGTGTTACACTTGCGCTGCCATACGGGTCCAGTATATACGCGTGTGCGATAGCTAGACGAGTCTGGGGTCTGGCGGACCCCTTGCCGAAATTCATTTATACTCAATTTGGTTCAATTTTATTATTTACAAATACACCAATGGCTTACGTGGTCCTAAAATTATTGAACAGTTTTATTATTATAAATTTAATATATAAGTCCTTATATCTGGGACTAGCCAGACGTCCGCCGCCTCTAGCAGCGCACACGCGTCGCCTCTCACAGGAAGCTCATAAACATGATTTATTTACATTCCCACATTAAAGCAACATTAAGTCGTAGAATTCATTAGGCCTATTTACAAAGTGGAATACAAAGTTGGAATGCTTGACTGTAATACACTTTAACTTGCGATAGGTGTATCATACAAAACGTTTAACACATCTAGGAACATCGATTCCCTCCTTTACACGACGCTATAGAACATTTATATTTTCTAAAAAATAAATATTATTTAAGCCATAAAATAAATAAATTGTCAATTGCACATTTACGATATAAAAACTTTCGAAAATTAAACAGATTTTTATAATAACACCGCAAGCTGTGCTCGCGGTCAAACATCATTCCTCTAAGTGGATCGGCACGAGCCACGAACTCTCTTCTCCACCAATTAAAATAACGATTATATTTTGAAAAGAAAAACTAGGAATGTTTTGATAACATTAAAATATATGTAAAATATATATTATATAGAAAGAACAGAAAAAGATGATCACAGAATATTATTAGTATTATCCACGTATTTAAGGTAAAATTCGTGCGTAGAATAAGCATTATGTCCATGACAAAATATAAACATCACATCGACGGCTCGAGCGCGAACATTGAATGCGATAAGGCCTATGCGATAAATGTATACTATTATATTATATGACAATACTCCACAAAACTTTAAACAACATTTATATGTGAATAATGACACTTAGAACATCGAAGTAAGTCCTTATGCACTTTTACTATAATTCGTATATTTGAATACAATTAAAAAAGATACTCTGCTTACCTACTGTGAAATTAATTCCTTTAAAAATATAATTAGATCGAAGTCAGTTAACATTTTCCTAATATATCCATTAATTAAAGTAACAAACACCAATATCGGATGAATCTAATTTTTTTTTCATTTTAATTTTTGGAACACAGTTATTTCTTAGAAATAAGGTCAAGTTTGAATATCCCCTATCGATACACCGGGTGGTAACAATCTCAATAAATTTATAATCTCTTAAATTCATAAACAATTTATTCTATATTACATAATGTCATCGATTAAAAGTCATGATCTATAATAATAAAAACAAATTAACACTATCGTCAATAAAACGTGGAAGGTACATTGCACGGGCAGACATCGCGTGCGCGAGAGCCGCGTCTCCAGACTCGCGGGTCGCTAAGGTGTCAGAAAATCATAAAACACTTTGAAAATTAACGACAGCATTTTAAAATAATCCTATAGACACGAAGCATTTATTTTTTAAAATCAGTCTCATTCGCATAAGGAAGTGATCACAGCACACACACTGGAAACTCGTTGCAGAGCGAGGGGCCTTGACCCTCGTAACAGAACATTAATATTAGAGCACCTTGGTCGCTATACTTAAATATGGTAAAAAAACATGCAATGCATGCAGACCAATCGATTTATGTAATAAAAATATCAAATGCATGGAAAACATACGGAGCCGAGTGATTTCATAAATCAGAAGGAACACTATATTTCGTTATAAATAAAGTCATTTTTATATATTTTTAAAGTTTAAAAAATAGAATGCACGTTAGGCGATTTATTTAATAAAAAGAAATGGAATTTCAAAAGCATAGATTAGAACTGTAAGGATTCGTTTAGGTAAAGTTAACACTTCCTGCATATACAACAATCACATCAGAATGGCAAATCCACAATAATATTCTCTAAAAAAATACAAATACGTGAATTCTAAAAACATCCTCACAAAAGGCGTTTCACTAGGCCATAGGTTTCGTTTATTATAATCGATTAAAGAAACGGATATATAATAATGAAGACATCGTCTAATTCATCATAATATTCATTTAACGAAATTAAAATACATTAAAATAAAGCGAATAATGACAGCGATTACCTCGTGCCATCCGTCATCTCATGGCGGCGGCGTATAATTCATTATTTTATTATCTACTATATACACATATAAATATTTAGATGTTCTCGTGCCCGTGCCCGTGTTCCTGGCCAGGGTTCATTAAATAGAATAATTGCACTCCTATCGCCTCGGTCGCACCGGACCGGGCTCTCGTCGGGCGGGCGGCCGGCGGCGCTCACAGGCGGGCGAGAGCGCGCGGCCGCGCCGCCGCCAGCGCGCGTCACGGGCGCGGGTCCACCAGGCGCTGCACCAGCACCGCCACCAGCACGGCCACCAGCAGGAAGCCGGCCGCCATCAGCAGCGCGGCGTGGCGCGGCGCCAGCGCGCGCGCGGCGCGGGGCCGGCGCGGCCGCGCGGGCGCCGGCGCCGCGGGCACCGACAGCCGCGTCGGCGCCGACCACGCGCCCGCCAGCCCGCCGCGCACCGCGCCCACGCGCACCTGGTACTCTGTGTTGTACTCCAAGTCTTCCAGCTGAAACTGCGTGTCCTTACCGGTATATACCTGTAAATTGAACACATATACATTGATTTATTTATTTTAAATCAATTATTTATCAAATGTATTTATGAAGGGATTCAATAACTTATCGCGTGATAAATACAATTGTACCGTCTCAGTTGTAACTGAGACGGTACAATTATAATATACTATTATATTATGACGGAACAGTACAGTATAGTTGTTAAAAGTGTTTGGAGTGCAGAGGCTAAAATACTTATAAGTTTAAAGTACTTTAATTACTGAATTTACAGTATAATTTTGATGACTCCAACTGGCAACGTCTGTTCGGCTGTGTCTTTAAATGCACTCGTTACAAATATAACAACGCTTTGCCTCCTAATAGCGAAATATATATAATTACCTCCTTGAAGACAGCATCCTTGCCGCGCGCGCACTGCAGCACGTACTCGGCGTCGTCGAGCGCGTCCCAGGAGGCGAGCGCGACGCGCGGCGCCAGCAGCGCGAGTGCGGGCGCGTGCGGCGCGGGCGGCGGCGCGGCGGCGGTGCGCGCGGGCGCGGGCTCGCCCCACGCGCCGCGCCCGCCGCGCTCGTCGCTCGCTCGTATCCGGAACGTGTAGGTCGTCGCCTCCCGCAGTTTCTTCACCTTGCAAGAGTGCGCGGAACCGCGGTACACGGGTCGGAACTCGCGGGCGTCGGGCGCGCGCATCTCCACGCAATACTGCGCGCCCTCCACACTGGGCTCCCACTCGAGGCGCAAGTAGTTGTGCGCCACTTGGGCACAGCGCAGCGTCGGCGGCGCGGGAGGGCAAGGACGGGTTGCCGCACGGGTCTCTTCCGACCAGTCGCCGAGCCCCAGCTCGTTTAGCGCCGCGACGCGTACTCGGTACACGGTGTCCGGTAGGAGGCCCTCCACGAGTTGCTCCGGTGTTGGACCTTCAGTATCGAATGCGGCATCGTCGACTTCGACTCTGTAGCGAAGTATGTCGGCTCCATGACTTGCGGGGACTCGCCAGTACAGCCGGAGCGAGTCCACGGTGGCCTCGTGGCGGAGGCCGGCGGGCGCGGCGGGCGGCGCGCGGGGCGTCAGCGCGTCGCGCACGAGCGACCAGGTCCCTCGCCCGGCAGAGTTCGTCGCGCAGACGCGGAAAAAGTAGGGTGTAAAAGGTGTCAACTTCGTTATCGAGCAAGCGGTGTCCATACCGCGGTATATCTCAGCAAATGCATCGTCGATGTTCGTTGCGCTCATTTCCAGTCGGAAATCAACTATCGGAGCGCCGTTATTCGGCGGCGCCGTCCACTCTACTCGAGCCGACCTGGGACTGTCTATGCTGACGATAGGCGGTTCCGGCGCCTCGGGTGGTGCGGGTGCTGTCGTGAATCTCAACGCCGACGAGGGCGGCCCGGCGCCGACCTTGTTGCAAGCGGTGACCCACACCCTGTACTCTCGCCCCGGGAGCAGCTCTCTAATTACACACTCCGTCTCGAGCCCCACGTGGACCAGGCGCACTAACCCGTCCGTGTCGGCGAGCTCGAGACGATACTCAGCAAGGGGCGCGCCGCCCAAGCAGTCTGGCGCTCGCCAGCGCACGGACACGAGCGTGGCACGCGGCGCGCCCGCAACCTCGGGCGGTGCGCACGCGCCGGGGCACGTGGCCTCAGTGACCACGGTCTCGCCGGCCGACCACTCGCTCTCGCCGGCCACGTTAGCGCAGCGCACGCGCGCTCGGTACTGCGTGCCCGGCTGCAGGCGGTCACAGTGCGCCTCGCGCTCAGGTCCACGGTATGCGCAGTTGTAGCCGTCTCCGCCGTCGATCTCCAATGTGTACGTTTCGATTTCGGCTCCGCCATCGTCCGTGGGAGGGTCCCACCTGAGTCGGAATGCGCGAGAGTGTATCTTGCCGCGAGGTGCAGGCCTGCCGGGCGGACAGGGCCTCTCGGGTAGAGTGTTGTAGGATACTTCGGGAGACCACGGTCCCTTCCCATCGGCAGTTTCGCATCTTAAACGGAACCGATATTCGGTGGCTCTCCGGAGTCGATCGCAGACGTAAGCGCAGTCGGGGCCCGAGTAGACGGGTAGGAACCCGTGCCCCTGGATGGCGTCGTCCATCTGGAGAGTGAACTCTTCGTCGGCGCGGCGCACCCACTCTAACGAAAGCGAGGTGGAGTCCGCAGCACGCAGCGAGGGCGCGGCGGGCGCGGGCGGCGGCGGGCCGGCGGTGCACACCACGGTGTCGTCACTCCAGTCGCCGCGGCCGCACTCGTTGACGGCGGCGATGCGGAAGCGGTAGCAAGTCTGGGGCTGCAGGTTGTTGATGGTGTGCTGGCGCATGCGTGGGCGCGTGAGCTCCGCGAAGCCGTCGCCGGCGTCCATCTCCAGGACGTAATGTGAGATGCGCGCGCCGTTGTCTGCGGGCGCGGACCAGCGCAGCAGCAGCGAGGTGCGCGTGCGTTGCTGCACGCGGGCGGCGGCGGGGCGCTCGGGCGGCGCAGGCGGCGCGCGGAATGTGGCGGCCTCACTCGCCGCGCCCGTCAGCTCGCCCGCGCGGATTTGCAAACACACCGAGTATTCACAACCGGGTCGCAAATCTCTTACCCTATAAAACAAAAAAATATACTAAATATATGTACTTAACAGTGGCGAAGGATGAAATTTAAGCAGAGGCAAGCCGTTCCAAAAAAAAAAACATACAAAAAAACATTGATTTTAACATTTTTTGAACATTTTTGATTTGAACATTTTTTATATATCAATGAAAAAAAAAAGAAATGTAATTGTGAACATATTTTTCTTTTCTTTATAAGACATTATGATTTTTTAAATGTATGTAAAATATTCTAGCAAAATACATTACATCCACTTAATAAAATAATAAAACCACACAAGTCACAAATTATTAATAACACCATCTATGAAAAATCATTACGCATCACTTAATAAGCGAAAGTACGGAAATTTGATTTAAGAACGCATTATTTTATTTTTGTTTATTATTAGTATATTTTAAAACCTGAGTATACTATTTTGGAATTTAAATATTCTTTTTTTTTGTTAATTTTACATAAATAAATCTAAACAATATATTTTTATATAAAACCGCCATTTACTGATATGTCGTTGAACGACTTCGTCTTTCTCACTGATGAGATTGATTTATTATTTATAGTATTTTATTTATGAAGCCAAATTGAACGAAAATTATGAAATAAGTAAAGTGTGGTTTTATACACCAGTGATAATATTAAAAAATATCCTAAAATTAAATACCACGTACCGACATGACAATGAAGGTCCACTATATATAGCTTTGTATCTGCCGCGGTCTCCAAGTAATAGATCGTATGTTAACTCGACGTTCGGAAAAGTGACTCCTTCAGGTCGTGGCGAGTTCCATTGCACAAGTGCACTTGTCGGGGTCATGTCACTAACCTGCAAATACGGTAAAACAAAATTTCAACACAACAAAATTTATAAAATTTCATTAGTTATTACATTATAAAAGAACAAATCTTAAATATTAAAATTATTTTCTTATTTAGATAAAAAAGTTTGTCCTACATTAACAGTACCTGAGGTGTACGGGTGGCTGATAGCATGTCCAGTAAAGCCTGTGTATCATTGTCATCATCTCCCTGAACAGACGCACTTGCTGACGAACCCTCACCTTCCGACCATGCTCCAGATGAAGCTCCACCACTACCACCACTTCGCCCATTTAATTCTTTCCTAGGCGACAGTGAGGGAGTGCTCGCGCCAGAATTGACCTCTGTTAATATTTATTTAATTGGAAGTGTCAATAACAAACGCACAGTCACTTTACAATAGTTACTTAAAACCATAGTTAATTAATAAAAAATAAATTCACCTAATGAGGGCTACCACGGTTGGATTCGCCGCGAGACTGCGCTATTGTAGAGTGAGGTCTCTAGAGACGTCAAATGACACTAAATGTTTAGTGTTTGCGAGCTTTTCATCGTGGAATTTCACCAATTATTCAGATATATTGTAAAGATTGTGCCATTCCTGATTCAGCGCTAACAATTATGGTAAACGCGGTATGGATCAACAAATGTTATTGCTTTTAAAGAATAGCTAAGAAAAAGTCAATATCTCATCTATTTGATTATTATATACTAGTGACTTAACCTCACTTCGCTCGGGTGCTTCCCTAGGTTAGTTTTAAAGATATGAATAGATATTGCGAGTGTAACTTAGGAGAGACTTATGCTATTGCAGATTTTTCTGTAGGCCTTATTAAGGCCTACAATTTTCTAGTACATTGTTTTCATGTATCTCTTAAGGTTTAGTCAGCGTTAGATATGTAAACTTCATATGTATAATAATAGAACCAGTTCTTATGTTTGCCCATGGTAATAAAAGATTTTCCTGTAGTAAAAACGTATCCTTAATTTTGACCCGACTAATAAGTTATCACTACACAAAATTTAGTTAAAATCGGATCAGTAATTTTTGCGTGAAACGCGTTACTATTTTTTTATTATAACTGCCTGCCGTGCAAAACAATATTATTGTATTGATTTATGGCCGCGCTGCACTTACAAATACTTTTTTACGACAGCGACAGGACCTCACTCGCCAGTGGCGCCAACTGGTGCCACCAAAAGCTATAGCCCTCATTATGATGTTGTTACTAACAAGTCGTCTTTAAAACCACATATTAATATGATTAAAGATTTAAAATTTCAATTTCAAATTAAAATTTCTTTTTTTTATAATTTAGGATGTATAATAATAATTAGTTTAGACTTGCTTTTTTTGGTAACAATTAAACCATTGGGAATTGGTACTTTGATAATAATTTTAATAGTTCTTACCTATACCATTGTTCCTATTAGTATGTTTACGTTCTAATTTCTGTTTAAGTTTAGAGTATTGGCGCTGAGTTCGTTCATCTTTTTGATACACTGGTGGAGGTGGTGAATGTTGCATATGGTGTGGAGGCACATGATGAAAGTGAGCTGGGTATGCACCGCCATAATAATGCTGTGGCCCTCCTGCACCATTTGTTGGTACCTTCAAAGATTGAGAATATTTTATTACTCACAAATGTACATGAGTAGATATGTGTTAAATATTTAAATATAAATATTATGTATTTACACTTATTCATAAAAAAATCAATACCTTCAAATTTTCTTCAGGACAATTTACTTTTAAAGAATCTGAATCACTCATATTGACACTATCCAAAAGTCTACATGTATCTGCCACTTATAAAACTATACTAACTTATCAAAACATTACACGTCATACGCCACGTAGGACTGATAACGCTCTCTAGCACAATCACTTGTGTATTTTTATGCTGCCTTAATCAAAAGAGCATAAAGCTTATATAAAAGTAAGTAGTTAAGTATACACTTTAAGCAGCCGTGTTATTTTATATTTGCAAACTTTCCACGTGTACTTTTCTTGACTTCACACGCGAAAGCGAAACAATCGATAAATCGACGGAAATCGTTTGCACAGGCGGTGAATCCATTGTACTCAGGTACTATGCGTTGTCCATTATTTGTGAAACTACTACAATGTTGTTGTGAAAATGATATTGCTAGTTCTGATCTAGACAATATATAAACTCAGTTTTAATATTAAAACAAAAATAAGTTTCATAAATATTGTAATTGTAACATTTTAATATTTCATTGGTTTGTTTATATACGATATCCAATGATTATTATTTATCAATACTTATTTTATATACTCATCATCAGTGAATTTTACATAAAAATTAACATGATTAACGTAATTATATTTCGTAATGAACGTAATTATCTCCATAAACACAGTAAAACAAAACAAACTGCAACACGTCCCAAATAATAAACATAACAAATCACAATAGCAAATGACATTGGCATTCACCAGTGTCCAGTTGACATTTAATGTCTACTTGACAACTTACATTGGATAATAATTGTTTGTTTCAAATTTAATTTCAACTATGGAACAATATTAAAAAAAGTTATACGAGTATAATAAATTATAAGATTAAAAAAGTTTATCTCAAAAAATTTTAAGTTTATTATAATATCTGAGTGCAATGTTTATAACTTGACGCTTACATTGTTTTCAGTACATATGTACTGTAAATATGTACATGAATATTCACGGTATTTTAAATAGTGTAATGCCAAGGAATTATGAACCTAATCCTAACTAGGTAATAAATGTTGTATTTCTATGAACGAAATTGGTGATATTATGTTAATATTTATCACATTTTATCTAGTAGGGTTGTGACATTTCCGAATTTGTGTGTAGCCGTATAATATTAAATATACAATTTTTCTTTAATAATACAGCAGCTAATATTTGTCAATGCTATTTATTAGTAGCTATATTTAAACTTAACAACATTTAACTTAAATAAAATTAAAAGGTTTGTCTCTGTAAATCTTTTAATTAATAACTATCTACTTCACAATACAGAATCACAAATACCTTTAAATATGTTTTATACTTCTGGCCAAGATGACGAAGGCTTTTAACGAAAATCAAAAATAGTTTGCTTCTTTTACGCTTTTTATCTCACGAAATAAAATAAATGCCACGTAATTGGATATAGAAGTTTTAGGATAATTCTATTAATAGATAAATTGTAACTTTAAATAAACTTACATCGATAATTATAGCTAGTTATATAGATTTAATATTTACTCACATATGGATGTGGTGGTTGATGGTGTGGTGGCGGTTGATGGTGAGGTTGGTGGTGCGGCTGGTGATGCGGTGCGTGGTGCGGGTGCGGCTGATGGTGCGCCACCAGGTAGTGGCGCATACCCTCGTCAAGCACAGGCGGCAGTAAGGGTGGCATCATCGTCGCCGACGTTACTACCGGCATGCCACCTTAAATAGTAGTCATTTTTGTTTAGTCTTAGCATAATAATTATTATGTTTAAATGATTGAGTTTGATCACTTTTAACGTGCTATTATATAAGATTTATTTAACAAAATAACTTAATCAACACAAATGAAGAAAAAAACAATTGATAAATGTTAAAATGGAATTTCTTTTTTATTTACTATAATTTACTATAACTTTAATAACTTAAGGTAATAAATGGATTTTTATATACTACTGTTACTTGAAAATATATTTATCTGTAATTAAAACACATTATGGTAAACCACGGGTTAGTCTTGCCTAAAATTGATACAACGGAATTCGTCTATTGTATAATTTTGCGGTTTATGAATGAACATTTTTGGCATTCGCAGAAATAGCTGTTTGTGGGATAATCTACGTTGAAATTGCGACGAAAACGTGCTAAATATTTACAGAACATTGCCATGCAACAAGACCGCACGACTTGAGTAATTTAAGAGTCCCGAAACAACCTTGATAGATACTCTTATTTTATTCAAGTAAAATGGTATCTTTACTTGCTAATGAATTCCTTTGTTTTCTAGTGATACTTCGGAAAATAATTGCCCAATTTGTTCTAACGACGTTGTTTGATAGGTAGGCTATTAAATTAAATATATATATATCTCGTTTTGTTTCTGACAACTTTATTTTATACTATTGCGTGATTACGACATTACATAGGTAATAGATATGTACATATATAAAATTGTAACCCTCGTACAGATACTATATTTTATCTTTTTATATAAAATTACAGTTAAATATAGAACAGGTATAATAACCTATATGTTAAGTAAGCGTACTATTTTTAATATTAACAAAGCTAAACATTTTTACAAACCTACTACATACGTGTAAAACATTTTATGATTTTAATTACCATCGTTAATGTATGTACCTACCTAAGATTTTTTAAGGCAATATCAATTTCAAAAACATCAAAATAATAAACTCTCACAACCTGCCAGCCATATCATAATAAAACTAGTTTTATTCACTACAAATTCAAATTAAAAAATACAGTTAGATACATAATGAGTTTAATCGATTTTTTTAATAACTGTAAAAGTATTTTAATTTGCACTGACTGTTTTGCGTAGTGCGACGTCTGAATTTATCAAAATTTTCCTTAAAATCAGACAGTCGCACAGCCAAAAAAAGATTTAGATAAATACCTATAGTATGTTATCCATAGCAATATACTCTATGATGTTATCTTTTCATCATATATTTCTGTCAAATCACAATTTTTCCATAAAAAATAGATTGTTATTTATTTACTAGCTATTGATACTTGTTTTATTTGAAATGGACATTGGACAAATTGTATCACTAAGTTTAGAGCTATATTCATGTGTGCAAAAAAATATTTGAATTTAATCATACTTTTGTAACAGGACATGTAAGAGACATGGGGCGAATGTCCACTCCTTATTTTTAATTCGGTACTGTCATCCATCACTCACTCGAGTGTGATTAGTGTGATTTGTAATCATTTTGATTTTTGTATATCAAAATCTTATCTCGTATAACTCTATTTTTAAAGTAGGCAATTAGTGTGTAAAAATCAAAAATACTTACCAATTAAAACAATTTACATATTTTGCTATACATTATTACCGGTTTAATATACACATTCCTAATATTTCCTTATTCATAGCAATAATCACAGTTAATTTTATTCAAGATGTGTTCGTTTTTCTTGTACATAGTTATTATATTAAAATATTCTAATTACCATATTCAGCGTGCACTGTACACATGTGTGCATGTTGAGGATGTTGCTGGGGATGTGGACACATTTCCGGCGGCACGTAGTAGGGCTCCGGCGGGTAGTACTCGCCGTAGTAGCCGTCAGGCGCGCCGCCCCCGCCACCCTCCGCCACTCCCACGCCCACCATGACTGCTTCTAACAGCGCATCGCACGTCGGCGCCCGCGACGCATCCGTAGTGCTCGCGATCCCGCCGTACGCTCGTCAAACTGTAACAATTCATGAAAATATTAAAACTTTTAAGTACTTCTATTTTACATTTTATAGGAAGTATTAAAAGTTAAAAATAGCAAATATTTGTAACACTTTCGCTAAATTACGATGGATTGATTGTTTGCTTTTAATATAAATTTCAATCCTACAAAGCGCAATCACAAGAGACAACTTTCAATATAAAAACTTTAATACTTTCTTAGATTTACGCGAATATTTGACATCCGTATTAATATTATAAATGTGAAAGTTTAAGTGAGTATGGATCTTTGTTACTCTTTCACGCCAGAACGGATAAACGGATCTGGATGTTTGACACAGAGATAGATTATAGTCTGAAATAACACATATTATGCTACTTTTTATCCCGAAAAAATATACGGTTCCCGTGGGATAGGTTTGTTTTTGTTTTCCTAGAAGCAAACTCGAGCGAAGCGAGGGTGAGCCGCTAGTTTTGAATAAATTTATCTGTTCGGACTTTTTCAAGGAATAATCCGAAAAGATAGTTTTATTTAAAATGAAAGGTTTTTCATAAGCATATCCAAAATAGTTAGATTGCTGCATTCACATATCTAGGTTGTCTACATATATTAATGTAATAAGATTACCGCTATATCAAATCAAGGATCTGATTACCACCTGCAAGTGTCACTAACCGTTATGGTCTAATATATTTGATACATTAGACCTGAGAGAATCTATCATAGAATATAAGCATGCTCCACTTATTCCTTCGCGTCTCGTATTGCCAAACAGTAGTCAGTAATGCAGGCGCGGCCATATTATTTTTATAGTGATTTATGTCACATTTCTTATTACTTAGATATTGATTAGATAACTCAGTAACATACATATTATCGTTAGAATGCGAGAGTTTGATGTTACCTATTTTTAACCACCAAACTGAAAAAACCTATCGATAAACAAAAACGAAGCTTGCATGTTTCTTCTAAGAGTGTTGTACATACAATCTTAGATACTATCTAATAAATAATTTTCTTATTATTCTTAAACTCAGTTCAATTCTCCACCGTAGTGTTTCCCAATTTTTTTTTTCGCCATGGAACCATAATTGATCATAATTTTAACGGATCCCCATTTTGATGATAAATAAACTGATTGTATTGTAGTTCTAAATACTTTCTTACTTTTTTACTTTTGTTTGACTTGAAATAACAAATTATAAATGAAAAATATTAATACTTATACCTAACAACATTTATTGTACCATATATAGAACCTAACTATATAATGTGATGAATGAAATTTTTCTCATATTTTTTTATAATAGCACTAAAATTAGGCTTTATGTCTGACAACGTTTTATTTAACTTTTGGACGGAACTCGGAATCCTAGGTTTCCGCGGACCACCATTTAGGAACCGCTGCTCTACCGGGGTACTCCCCGGTACCGCTTATTAGTAGTAGTAGTTTCATATTTTAGTAAATTAAACCTTTTTAGGCAGGTACCTAAAAATCTTATGAATATAATACATATGAAGTTTGTATAAAAGATGAGTTTAGTACCATCACATTCGTTACGGACATTTATGAGAATAAAGAGTATGTCTATTGCAGAATTGCTAGTTCTTCACATTACGTAACAAATCTCGACGTAAGCAGACATTTGAAAGAGCACGAGTAATTTTATAAGCTAAATCTCATTAACCGTCCCGGCGATAGTACGGCGAGTTTGCACAAGGTTCCTCAAATCGATATCGACATCCGCGTGAGCGCATCGTGACGGCATTTGCCTTTTAAATGGAGTGCTGTCAGGCGCCTCACGAGTTCTGCTGTCTGCGTGGATGCGCCCGCTATCTGTGTCAGTGATTGTAGCTGAGCAGTGAGCACCTTGGTACCACGTTCTCTAATATTTTGATGCTTTTACACATATACTACATATTGAATATCATTTAAACATGCCTTTATTGAAAATTCCAAAATATACGTTTCAAATTAAATATGCATATTACCAGACTTTAAAATATCTCGATTCATTCATTTTAATTCGGAAGCTACCTATGCTGATCATTAATTTTTTTTTATTTTTCACTTGTACATAATAAGTAAAAAAAATATAATAACTTATAAGTTTTTCTCGGCCCAGAACGGCAGTGTTGCCCAGTTTTAAAACAATCATTGTAGATAATATTATCCAAGCAATATAGTAATTTCCATTATGTTAATGCGTAATTTGAATTTATCGCTAAATAATATTTTTACGGTTACCCAATATCGTCACTAAAAAATAAAGAATTCCACGAACGAAACATCAATGGGATATGCCAAGACTTGACGTCATACAAATGTCTGTTCTTTTCCAAGCTAGAGCTCGACACGATATCTCCGTATGATTGTTAAACAGTGCGCTGGAAAACCCATTAAGAAGTAGAACATTATATCTTCCAATGTTATTTAATATTTTATTCCTTGAATACATACTAATGATATTGTAATAAAATGGCATATCTTACAGATAATTGAATGTTGTTATTTCCTAAAATTTTATATAGAAAAAAGATTTTATTGAGAAAAAAAATTGGGAATTATAATTAATTAGATACATATCATCATGAACGAATTAACCATTCGTCCATGCATATCATATATTAGAGGTCCATGCTATTTTGCCATTATATTATAAAATCTGTAAAGTGCAATCCTATTATCCTAATAATATTATATATTTCAAAGTTTGTAATGAGGTTTTTAGATTAGAATGTTTGTGACTACATCTCGCGTAAACCCAACGGGTAACAGTGCAATCTTTTTAAGACCATATTATATTATCGTACGAAAATATTTTTTTACTTTAGTTGAAAACTTATAAGATAGCTCTACCCAAGTTCGTAGAAATAATAAAAAGAGGTTTTTATACGCGGAAAAAGTCAGAAGCATAAAAATTTTATTTTGTTAAAGTCGTTTAACAACTGACACCTAAATCAGACATTACTTAAAAAATAATTATATTATCAATACGGAATTTAACTTTAAGTATTTGCGTTTATATTTATGTTCGAATGTGGAGGACTGAGGAAATTCTAAAAGTTTAAAAGCTTGCATGTTTCTTCTAAGAGTGTTGTACATACAATCTTAGATACTATCTAATAAATAATATTTTCTTATTATTCTTAAACTCAGTTCAATTCTCCACCGTAGTGTTTCCCAATTTTTTTTTTCGCCATGGAACCATAATTGATCATAATTTTAACGGATCCCCATTTTGATGATAAATAAACTGATTGTATTGTAGTTCTAAATACTTTCTTACTTTTTTACTTTTGTTTGACTTGAAATAACAAATTATAAATGAAAAATATTAATACTTATACCTAACAACATTTATTGTACCATATATAGAACCTAACTATATAATGTGATGAATGAAATTTTTCTCATATTTTTTTATAATAGCACTAAAATTAGGCTTTATGTCTGACAACGTTTTATTTAACTTTTGGACGGAACTCGGAATCCTAGGTTTCCGCGGACCACCATTTAGGAACCGCTGCTCTACCGGGGTACTCCCCGGTACCGCTTATTAGTAGTAGTAGTTTCATATTTTAGTAAATTAAACCTTTTTAGGCAGGTACCTAAAAATCTTATGAATCGACTATAAAGTTTATGATGATTTTTGCCTCTTAGGCTTGTGCAAATCGGCAGATTATTAAATTGGACACTTTTCAGGATGTGACTAGCCTACCACACCTTAATCTGACGGTTTCAAGTATTTTTACCTTATCAAAACATTTTTTAAATATTTTAATCGGCTTTCCTAGACGCGCCCCTTTATATAGAAGACTTATATTGTGGTGAAAGTACTCAATAGAGTGCAAGGTAACCTCTTTTATGTTAATCTGCCGCGCTCGAGTAACTACAGAAAATCCCCTCTTGGGCTCCCCTACTACTACTTGCTGTGCCAGCGGTCGCGCTGTTCGCTGTTGTGTGTTGTGTTGTTCGCTGGGGGAATTCATTTGTATGATGATCACGAATGTTTGTACTCCAGTCATGGGTGTTTATATTTATAATATTTATGTATTTAAAGTTATATATGTGTAGTGTATCAACTATCTGGTATCCATAACACAAGCCTCGTAGCTTACCATGGAACTAGATGTTGCTGTGTGGTAATGTCCCATCATATTTATTTATTTTTATTGATAAATAGTAACTATATTTGAAAATGAGTGAAGTATGTACGCCAGAGATAATAATTAAGGTCAAAGGTGATTCATAATGTCCCTACAAGTAAGTATATTGTTAAAATCTAATGCAAGAATTTGCTACAATGTAGTGTGTATTAAAGTTCTCAAGAAGACCATTCATCGCATTCGATCAGTTTCAATTGAATAAACGAGGAGGTGGCGACTGCGTGCGTTTGCGCCGGATTCTACACGCGTTGTTATGTAAATAGGAGGACGGTCCAGCAGATATCGATGACAGGGCTACTACCGTCATCTAACAATAAAATATATTTTTTTTTTACATTTCACTTTCGCGTGTCTTTTATGTTTTGCATTTAAATAAAACATTACATCGCTACTGTCTGATTAAACCCATTATATATTGTTACAGTTATAGCAATAAAAATATATTTGTACACACATTTAATATGTGAAATTAATTCTTTACTCATATCCAAAACAATAATTAATTGTAGACATATTTTTACGACTTTCTTAAAAATAATGATATTATATATAAATTGCAGTGTTCTTAATATATTTATATTTAGTTTTATCAATGTCAAATTTAATTAATCATTAAAAGCTTTTATTTTTATATGTATAAAGCAATGTTGGCCAAATGGTAACGCGCTCTCTTGGGAAGCCAAGAGAAGCGGGTTGAAATCGTGGATCTCGCACCTCTGATATTTTTATATGTGAAGCTATCCAACATGATTATCTCTTGTCTTA